TTGGGGTGACAGTGCTATGCACTTTTCAAGCTCGCTCTGCGCTTTGCGTGGACAGCTTGCAGTGGTGGGATCCGTAGTGGTTCTGCCTTGTTGAAACACATCTGGTGGGGCCCGTGGTGGTCCTGCTTAATTGAAGAAGAAATGGCCTCTCATGGGGCAATTGCGCTGTGCGCTTTTCAAGTTCGTCCTACACTTTCGTGTGGACAACTTGCTGTGGTGGAGCCCGTGGCGGTTCTGCCTAATCGAAAACTTATTGGTGGGGCCCGTAGTGGTTCTGCCTTGTTGAAACTTTTTATTCCTTTGGGGAATTGTAGCGCTGGGCGCTAGGCATCTTATCCTGGATCTGAACTTGAGCAACAAGTCTACCACGATACGACAAGCCGGAAGATGAGCCAATCCGAAGTCTCCTGGACGATATTGAGGATGCGGGAAGGCCGCGGGCTAAGAAGCTGAGGAAGATGGCGACTGTATGCCTCCTTTACCCAAAGGTGTGACGACCTTTCTGGCTGGGACTCTTGCAATGCTCCATGGAGAGAGACTCCGGATCCAAAGAGCGTCTCAGCTTCTCAGAAGATCGCCAATCTCGAGTACTTTGTCGGGAAGACTCCTTTCGGGTTCAAGCCTATGGGTGCCGTGAGTCTGACCCTTGCAATGATTCTTCAATCATGATGCTAACTTTTGCACAGATCGGTCCCGAGCTTGGATCAGACAGAAAGACATCCGCTACGGCACGAGTACGATGAGGCCACAGGCGCACAAATCTTCTGCAGCGAGAGCAAGAAAGTGTTTTCGAAGATTGTCAAGCTTGCAGCGGTGCATTACAAAGATGATGAGGCACGGGGGAAAGACCGTGAGGCATTCAAGAAGAAGGAGCTATCTTGAATGTCAAGGCAGCAACCACCGATACTTGAACGCCAGCCACGCACCTGAAGTAGGTCACATGCTTGCCTGTCGTGCTTGCCGTTCGTCGGTCGACGTTCACGGCAGCGAAAGTATTCGTCCCCGCCTTCTCGGCAAGGTCTTCGGCCGAGCCCTCGGGTTTGACAGACCAATCGGAGTGCTCAAACCGCGCGGATGCCGTTAGCCTGCCCTTATCAGATCCGATGTGGTCTGCCGGCGAGTACTCGAAAGTCAGTCGAGCTCGTATAGACTGAGGGAGCAGGAGTATAAAGACCTGGCAATCTGCTCGATCTTCAAGGGTCTCTGCATTGATCCGAGTCATTGATTTTTGCAGTGCAAGGGAGAAATCATGTCGATCTTACCGAACATTGCAGTCATTGGCGGTAGTTATGTTGGTATGCTATCCTATGATCACTCTTCTCTGATCTAGCCAAACACTGACATCTATTCCCAGGTGTAAATACAGCACAACAACTGGCCACGAAGTTCTCGGGACGCTTCCAGGTCTTGTTGATTGAGAAGAACTCGCACTTCCAGCATTTGTTTGCGTTTCCACGATTCGCGATGACGAACAAAGTGGATACGCATAAGGCATTCATCCCTTTCACGCCAGGCACATTCGCCAATTGTCCTGCTGGGAGTGGTGTTGTTGTTCGAGCAGGCGTGACGAAGATCGACAAAGGGGAGATTTGGCTAGATCGTAAGGTCGAGTTGAATGGCCAAGGGCTAGACAAAATTCCTTATGCGTATCTGGTAAAGGGCATCAGGATGTTGGTTCGTCGAATGACTTGCTGACCAGGATATGCAGGTCATTGCTACGGGAACGAAATTAACGCCGCCGTCGACATTACCTTCGTCTGACAAGGCCGACGGAGTCACCTACCTGCGCGAGCATGCGAGGAAAGTCGAAACAAGCTCCAATATCACCATCATTGGTGGAGGCGCAGTGGGAGTGCAGATGGCGACTGACATCAAAGAGGTGTATCCTGAGAAATCTGTCACGCTTGTACACTCCAGATCGCAACTGATGAACAAGTTCCATCCCCAGCTTGATGGTATCATCAAGGAAAGATGCAAGGAGCTGGGTGTCAAGCTTAAGCTCGGTTCTAGGGTCAAGTTGCCTGCGAAGGGGTACCCGACTGATGGGTCGACGTTCGATGTCGAGTTGCAAGATGGCTCAGCCATCTCTACCGACTTTGCTGTATGTTCAAGCTCTTTTCAAGGTTTTAATTCACTGATCTGATCGAATGCAGGTCATCGCTACAGGTCAAACGCCCCAATCAGAGCTTATTAGAGCCCTGTCACCAGAGTCAATCGATGATGCTGGCTTTGTGCGCGTGCAGAGGACGCTGCAGATCAGCGACATTAGATTCCCGAACATGTTCGCTGTGGGAGATGTTGCTGACACAGGAGCTCACAAGGCTGCTCGTCCAGCGTTGAGACAAGCTCCGGTGGTCGTAGAGAACATCGAGCACCTGGTGAAGAACGAGCCGCTAGAGGTATATGATGTTGTCGACGGACCCTCGATACATCTGACCCTGGGTATCGTAAGTTTTATATCCTGTGTGTATATGTCGTTGATCGTGGTGCTGACTTGTCTCAAGACGAAGAACATCAAGTTCATCAATTCGCCAGGCGGCGCTCCGGAGCCCAAGGTCATTTGGGCTGACGACGGGTAAGCTTTGTAATTCTTCTGTTGGTTGGTCGTAACTCGTTCTGACAATGTGATTATTAGCAAGTTCGACATGGGAATCGACAGTGTCTGGCAACGGAGAGGCGGAGGTCCCAATGCTCTTCTCTAAGGGCTTATGCATGGCTCTCTGTGGATACACCTCTGATTGTGGAGGATTCGTGCATTCCGGCAGCTTGATTGCTCGCTGCTTCTCGTTTCTGGAAGATTTTTCTTTTACTTTATTTTATTTTATTCTACTCTTTTCCTTTCCCCTTTGGGGTTTAAGGGAAGGAAAGGAAAGGAAAGGAAAGGAAGATGAAGAGGGGAGGGGGGGAGGGAGGAGGGAGGAGGAGGAGAAAGGCTGCTGACGTGGAGTTGATATTCAAGGAGAGAATGGTCGTTGAATATCAGCCCGAAATGGGTTGTTGCATCAGGCTATACCTTGATGGGTTTTTTGCAAAGTAGGACCGAAAACGAAGCCAGCGTTCCTGATGTTATGCAGCGATTGTTCCTTGATGCTCGTATCATGACAGAGAAGGATCTCTCGCAATCCCCTGGGCTTATTCACTCAAGGCAAGATCATGAGTCGGTATCCTGAACTTCAGTTGCTGTTCGTCTCTTCTTGTCACGATCAGATTCTCGAAGACTCGACGCTATGGGTCAGTGACGGTATGTCAGGACCTCATCAGAATATTCTATTGATGTCAGCTCCACTTTGACAGTGTTTTTCAGGGTGCAGGTCTCGAGTGACTTCATGTGAGGGTCCTTTGACAGACCTCTTGGCACAGTAGACGTCATGTATATGCGACCCCTCCATATCGTCATTCAATCGGCTCGATCGATTGCAGCAGTAGAAATACTTCTTCAGGTCGTGTAAGTTGCACTTTTTCTTTCTTCATCATATTCAATCTTCTTCAATCTACTCACCAAATACCTACAAATCAAACTCCAACCACACACAACAGCAAAATGTCTGCCGAGTACCAAAACCAGGACCCCCTCAAGCTCGCCCAGCAGGCCGAGAGAGATCTCAACTCCTACGGTGCTAAGCAGGGCCAAGCCACCAGCGACAGCGGTAAGTCTTCGAAGTTTGAAGCCTGCGACTAGATCTCCGGTCCACTTCAAGCTATTCAGCCGATTGCGACAGCATGCTAATACTGTCTCAATAGCCCTTGAGTCTGGTGTTGATGAGAGCGTTACCAACAAGTTCCCTGGTGCCGAAGTCAACGTTGGAAGCACTGGTGCCTCCAACAACCAAAGAATCCCTCTGAGCGAGGGTAACGACATCGATCCATCCACTGGCAAGCCCTTCAAGGCTGGCGCATTCGAGGGTGTCGGAGGTATTTACCATCAAAGACGTTACCCACGAAACATGCTAACTCTGCTCCTTCAGGTCCCGAAGACAAGGCTCGTTTGAATGCCCAGGACAACGGCGGTGATGACTCAATCCGCTCCAACATCCGCAACTAAGTGCATTGTCGCTTGAAGCATGGCACGAGAGACCCAGCATGGCTTCGCGCCCTTTGAGAGGGACAAGCTATGATTGAGGGATGATATCATCTGAAAAAATCAGAAAAGCATAACGCAGGGATGTAGAGCATGCAAGAGCAGCTCCGTCGATTGTAATATTAGCCATGAGACATGAAATGACTATAATTCATACCATCATCCTACTTTCTCCCCTACAGCCGCTGTGACATGAAGTTAGATCAAAGCCCCGTCCTCGAGCAGAGCCGCAACTAAGACTCGTTACAGAGCCTCAAGATGAGTAGGCAAAAGCGTCTGTGCTTTCGTTCTGTATCCACATGATCTGGCGACCAGAAAGGCCGCCCAGCTTCCTAAAGACGTCCAAAAAGAAGTCTCCTCAAGTATGACGAGGGGTGTTTCCATGACTCCTATGATCTCCAGCAAGATCCCGACTGGAAACATAGTTGAATATGCCCACGATTGACTGTTCTGTCTTGCGTGGTGGATGGCGGACATGACCGATTCAAAGGCGGGCAGCTCCGCGAAAGCTCACAGTACAACACGCAAAGAGAGTGATTCAGCAAAAGATAAACATTCCCACGACAAAACACTTCTTATCACTTGTAGGTCCTTCTGCTCTATTTTGATCAACAGCATCAATCCGACAAAGCAAAGCTCCCTTGCTCAATCGCATCACACTGCGCCAGAACACAACGCAGTCACAATCATGGCAGCTCCACCTCGTCCATTCATCACATGCCACGTCCTCGAGACCGTCTCAGGTCGTCCAGCACCCGACATGCGCGTCACTCTCTCCCTCCTCTCGCCCAAACGCTCCAACCTCTCTTCTCCCACCACCTTCACCGCAACCACAAACTCCGATGGCCGCGTAACAGCCTGGCAATCCGTTCAAGAAGGCGGCACCGTCACCACCTCCGAGCTCGACCACCTAGTCAACACTCTAAAATCCGATCTCAAGAGCGACGAGCAAATGAATTGGAGTTTGGTCTTTGCGACCGAGGAGTTCTACGGCAAGGGAAAGACGTTCTGGCCGGAGGTGGAGCTTAAGTTCTGTACGAGCAAGGATGAGAAACACTATCATGTTCCGCTGCTTTTGGGTCCTTGGAGTTACACTACCTACCGTGGCTCATAAATCAATCAAAGAGACAATCAGAGCCGATGGGGCTATGTGGCAATGCTACAGGGCCAGCAACGAGAAGATTCATGAGGATCACGAATAGAGAGGTGGGATGTACACGGTTTGCAAGCAATCAGGCGGCTTAAAAGATATGAGATGGAAACAGGAAGGTATAACATCGCAAATTTTGCTTAGAGCATAGCACAAGATGTTCTAATGGCAAATTTGTCAAATCACGTCCTCTCCATGTGAAAGAGATCCTCATATTGTTGCTGTAGACATACACGATACTTTTCGAGCCTGCAATGCGACCATGAAAAGACTGTGATGGGACGTGGTTTCCATGGACGACACCTGTTTCTAGGAAATATTCTGCATCTCTGCAGTAGAGAGCTTGAGTAAACGGCTAGATTGTAGTGTTATAAGTTTTGAGCACATGGAGAAAGTAGACGAGAGCCGCAAATGAAGTTTTGTTCGTAAATCATTGGATTATAAGCAACAATATTGGCGTGCTCGCTAAAAACACCAGACTTCCTACCGCACCACTTTTATTCTGCACAATCTGTTCAATCTTTATGATTGGAAGACCTTCTCAATGCCCTCAAGCAAGATGTCTGCGTGCTTCTTCTGGAAGATCAGCATAGGTCTCAATCTGATGGCCTGGGCACCACTGCCACCGATGTTGATACCTGGGATTCAAGTTAGCAAACTTATTGTTAGAGGATTAAGGTCGAAGATACGTACCAACACCCTTTGCCTTGGCCAGGAAGTCTTCACGACGTGGTGAATCCCAGGCAATGAATGTGCCCTGACCCTTTCCACGCAGATTCTGAATCTCCTCAGGGTACTTCTGTGCCAAGCTTTCGAGGCCAGCATAAAGGTAGTCTCCAGTCTCGGCAGTGTTCTGAACCAGATTGAGACGCTCAATCTCGTTGATGATAGCGCGGAAGAGGATGGCACGAGCTGGGTCGCCCATCCAGGTGTTGAATTGGCGGTATGGCTTGTTGGGTCTCAGAGCATCGTTACCGAAGTAGTAACCAGCGGTCTGTGCCTTCTTGCTGAAAGTCACCATGTCCGGAGGGTCCTCGAGGTTCCAGTGGTCATGGGCCCAGAACTTGCCAGTTGCACCAACACCAGTCTGAACTTCGTCGACAATCATCAGGACGTTGTTTCTACGAGTGATTTCGCGAAGCCCACGGAAGAAGGCTGGCGAGGCGTGGTTGTCACCACCTTCGGATTGTACAGGCTCGATGATGATGGCAGCGGGAGGCAAGTGCCAGGTCTTGATCAGACGCTCTGTCTCCTCCAAACAACGAGCCTCTTCTTGAGCATTCTCCTCGGCATACTGCTCAAGGGGATACTTGAGCATGGGGAACGGTGCCTGAGGCCAGTCGAAAGCAGGGATATCGAGTTTGTGGATGGGTTTACTGCGGGTGGTTGAGAGAGAGCCAAACATGCGGCCGTGGAAACCAGACTTGAAGGACATGATGCTGAGCTGAGGAGCGCCAGGGGCTTGGTTGTTCATAGACGAGGTCATTTCTTCCTCGGTGAAGTCGACATCAGGACCACCACGCTCCTGTCCTCTCTTCCACATGAAAGCAGCCTTAAAAGCCAGCTCGTTGGCGTCACTACCCGACTGGCCAGTAAAGACTTGATTGCAACCCTTGGGAGCAACACGAAGAATACCAGTCTCGAGGATATCGGCCCAATCGTGTTGAGGGAAGTTGCCCAAGGCAGGTCTGTTAATGATTGCGGATGCCATCTCCTTTGAAGTAGCAGCTAGCAACAACGAAGGGTTGGAGTAGCCAACAGGAATGGAAGCAATCTGGGCATAGACATCAAGCAAGACGTTGCCGTCGAGATCAGCGATGTAGTTGCCAAAACTGTCTTGGTAGTTGCCCATCATGTTCAAACTGCAAGTGTCGAAGACCTTGTCCAATTGCTTGATAGCTGCCTTGCTCTTGGGTCCAGGAATGGCTGTTCGGACCATAGGGCCTTGAGGCTCGTCGGGGAAGAAGGGCTGATCGAATGCATCTGGTACTGAAGCGGTGGCCGCTGCCGCTGTAGCCTGCTTGCGATCCTGGAGCATGACAGATTAGTGACGGCTCTGCGTAGAGACTTAGTTTCTGGAAAGCGAACATACTGTCTGAGTAGCTAGGGCGCGGCTTGTGACTTGGAGTGTGGGACGAATGGCAGTACGACGGACTGAGAAACCCGCCAGCCGGCTTGTGCTACGAAGGAGAGAAGCCATTGTGACTTGGATAGGTGACCAACAAGACAAGTTCCAATCGGCTCGTCAAAATCAATGTTTACCAGGGCGTGTCAATTGTGGGGGAAGCTGCGGAGTTGAAGTGGGGTGGGTTTTGAGCAGGTTGTCGACGACGATGCACACAAGAGACACGGAGGAAGCAGCAGCACAGATATGATGTGGAGGAAGGAAAGAAGGAACAGAGGTCCCTGCAAATATTGTACCACTCTCCACCCTGGCCCACGATAAGTATCTGTCGACTCATTCTTCGCCGCGACCGCAATGATAGGCGTACGCTTATCAGATCCGACCCCTCAGACCTTGCCCGCTCAGGCAGGCTCAACCGACCATCTCGGGATCTGGAGCATTGCAACCCTGCAAGGACTTCATTTTCACATTATTTTTACGTACTGACAGGGTCTCGTGATGATCAAAGGAGAAAGCGTTATGTATTCGTGAGTCGTGAAGAGCAGAGGGGAACGGAGCCGGGCATACGATCCACCAGACTTTGCCGTCGGGAAAGGATGCCGGCAAACTCAATTCGTCTTATCAGGCTACAATTGGCACTTCTATACATTTTATGTCTTTACAAGTCGGAAGTCTCTATGGTTTGTTCGTGATTCGTAAGTTCGTTAAATTCATTTCGTTGGCTTCTTGACTCGCGGAGTCGGTGTCCAAACTCGACTGGACTTATCGCCAGACTGTTGTCCAAAGAGTGTGTCAGCCCCTCCAGGCGTTCGACCTCCTATTCTTGAAGCCAGTAGACGTGCAGCTGGTGTCATGTTCGCCCCGGGTGTTTGGCGACCAATTGCTGGACTGCTAGTAAATCTGGGTGTTGGCGTACGCCCATCTTGCCCTTTCAAGGCACTTAACCTGCTTCCAGCTGTAGGCTTTCTTCTTTGCGCATTTGACTTTTCGACAAGTCGATCATGTATTTCCTCTCTTTTGCTTTGAGCTTGTAACTTGAAGGGATTGTTGGCAGCCTCGGGATCAGCTGCGGGAAGTAGGGCCATGGCAGATGCACGTTCTTCCGCATCAGCTTCAGCGTCTGAAACAGGAATCCCTTTCGGAGGATCGATCTCATGAGGTAGTGGTTCAGCGTCGACGAAAGCGTAACCCTTGACTCGAGGAGTTTCGGCGCCTGAATATCCTGCATCTGTCGACGAGGGGCGTGGTCGGCCAGCAATTGCAGCATCAATCGCAGACATTGAAGGCGAAGGCGGTACAGACGGTTCGTCGGAGAGGGCTACGGGCAGACGCGTGGCCGCGTAGGAGACAGATTTGGGAGGAGCGACCGAGGCAGCTTGAGCACGGTCAAATCGTGTCTCATGCGTATCTTCTATTCCATCAGGCGCAAACATCAAAGTGTTCCGCGGACCTTGGCGGCTAGGGAAGGAGTCAAAAGAAGCAGAGCGATCATCGAGGTTCTGTGAAGGGCGAGCTACGAGGGCTGTTGATTGTGAGGGTGCGTTCGACAAAAGCTTTTGCTGGGCGAGTTGTTGTTTTGAGGGTAGTTTGTTGCCGTTGTAGAAGAAAGCATACTTTTCAGCCCGTTTCTGGTTCTGACGATCAAGGAGCGAGTTGAAGGACTCGTTGTCCTCGGATGTGTATTTGGCTTGGAATGCGCCTAGTGAGAGGGAAGTGTCTACGGGCGCTTTTGAGGCTTCAGCGCTACTGGAAGCGACTGAGGGAGCGACCGAGGGAGTCCTCATAGGAGTGGCGCCCTGCCATCCACGCGGAGTTGCTGAAGGGGCAAGAGAAGTGCCTCTCCTCCCTCGAGGACCAGGAGTCATGGCTTGGTGCAGTTTACGGCCGGCATCTCGGATCCAGTCGTTGTTGTTCGAATCCAGAGCCTCCAAGTACTCCTGCTGGGCTTGAGTCTCCAGCAGGCCTGGAAAGTAGTCGCGGGCTATGATGTGCGACAGGGCATCGGTGTAGACATCTTCATCAACGACTTGCGAAGGGCGTTTGATGCGCTTTGTCGGCGGCGGCGGTGGCATGAGTTGGGTATCGGCATTGCGCTTGGCTAATGCTTGCGACGAGGGCGTCGTCATATTGGTGGTTTGGACATTCAGAATGTATTGACAGTGGTTGACGAAAGTGTGGAAGAGTTCAAGGCAGTGATGCAACCGGTCAAATGTCTTGGCGTGAATTGTTGCGTCTTTCACATGCAAATCCACAATCCATCTTTTGACTTCTGATCGACACATGCCACATAGCCAACATGTCGAATGAAAAGGAGCCAGACGTCTCGAACAACGTCGAAATGGTCGATGCTGCATCTTTGCCAGCAGCCAAACGCAAGAGGTCCGAGAAGCCGTCATCAAATGTCACACAATTCACTATTCGCAACCCGCCTTGGGCATACCTTCAGCTTTCTCTCATCACAAACTCGCCAAACTACCAACTGGACGCCTTGACCGCTCATCTCCACCTTCGGGCTGCTCTCTCACAATTCTTAGGCTTGCACGGCACCGCTATACCCATTGACATTCTCAAGCTGCACAACAACGACGTACATATTCGCGTACCTAGAGAAGACGCAAGTGCTCTTGTTGTAGCTGTCGGAGGCTGGGTTGGCAAATCTGGCGAAGGCTGGAGAGTTAAAAACTCTTCATCGTGGGGAGTAGGTCTTCACTCGAACGCTGGCGCTGATCTGTTCAAATGATCGTATCAAGACCGTCATCTATATTCAGGCAATCTCGACTTGTGGGATCTAAACCCGGCGACTGCAGCATCAAAAATCTCAAGGAATCGTTCTGAGCGACCCGGTCTAATCTTGAATTTCTAGATGACCGCAAGTTTTCAAGAGAGCCATCTAGGCATGACTTTGCGACTTTCACCATTGCACGCTGCCTCTACGCAACCAGCGAGACTAGCAAATCGCATATCTCTCTTTGTCAATCCAGCTCCATAGTGAGCAAACTTGGCCGAGTTGGTCATAATGGTGCGCACCGAGGGATGAATAAGAGGCTCTCCAATCATACACCAACAAGTGTCTGTGACTGGCTGCACACCGAATTCTTCAAGCTTAGGCATGAGTCCATCTTTACACGCTCGTGCGTAGATGTCACGCCCGCAAGTGACAATGACTGCAACATCAGGACTTTTAGTCCTTCTCTCGCAAAGCTGACACAGCATGGCCATTTCCTCGTACGAGAAATGCGGGTTGCCGAGCGATATAAGGTCAATCTTTGTTTCTGTCGCTTTGTCTAGTCTCGACCACACACTTGCAAGGTCATTCTTTGTGGTCTTGACAACTGGTGTGGTAGCCATCCACTGCTCAAGAGATTGGTTGATGGCTTCTGGAGTTATGTTTGCGATGTGGAACATTGGGGCACTTGAGGTTGTTGCAAATGCTGCTCCAAATGCTTTAAGGTCGTCTCTGCTCACATTTATATGTTCGAGACCAGTAACGAGGGGAATACGATTCGCTGCGATCTCTCCTACCAGGTAGCCGAGGACTGGGAAGAGGCTGTCATCTCCATCGATACCAGGCGCAATGTCAATCACCACTTGCGGTCTTCGCTGGGAGGTGATGTGAGCACCGCAGTTTGGCGCTCTGCCAGTCAATGCGACACAGATATCCAGGAAGTCAGGACACTTGATAGATCTAGAACCAAGCACACTGTTAGAAAATACAACAGCATTAGATTCGGCCCACATGATCTGCTCTCCTTCCTTCGGTGCCGTGTCCAAGAGGTATGGAGCACAAGTGTATGTTGGCTTGGCTCCCAGCGCAACATAGGCATCGGCCAGCAGACCTGAAGGGTCGCCCAATGCTGCATCGATACCTTGATCCCGCCATCTTTGTCGATCAATAGAGATGGAGTTTAGTGTGGCTGGTATCCGTACTTTGGCGCCCCAGTCGCAGAGACGCTGAGCAAAGAGCAGTGTTGCTGGTCCTGTGTATATGCAGCCATCGATGTGTGCTTGAGTTATGTCTATGAGTTCTGTAGCGGCTTGAATCTCTGCTACTCTTGAGACAACTCTAGCAGCAACTTGCACAGCTTTACCGTGCTCTCCCCTGAGCATGGCACGGTCGAGCTCTGTCAAGTTGATGGTTGGTAGTGGTGACTTCTCCTTGGTTGTTTTCTCGTTCGATAGGCTTGATGGGTTGACCTCTACAATTCCATCGGTAATCTGCACAAGAGCATGACCTGCAAGCCCTGTGAATTCATCTGCCTCGACCTGTACAATCGGAACGGATTTCTCAAAGAACTCGGCAGCGATGATGGTTCCCAACGTCAAGATCAATTCCTCACGTTCAAAGCCAGCCGGAGCATTGCCATTGAGTAACAATTCCAAGAGAACACCGCTTCCCGAGCATGATCCCCGTCCACTAGGGGTTGCAAGAATCTTTCCGCCTAGCGAGCTTCCAGCTAGAGGATGATGTTGATCGATGACGATGCCAGTAGCAGGATCAACACCACCCCAGAAACTGAGAGGCGTTTGACTGTATAGTAAAGGTCCAGATGCATGGCCCTCGCTCAAACATCTGCCTTGGATGGTCTTTGGTGTCAGGGTGAGCATGTTGTTTGATGCAGTACAGAGAGGGAACAGCTTTGTGCGACAAAACAGAGTGTTATGTATATGCAGTAGTGAAGATAGAAAATCTGACCCAATGCTCTAGAAACTCCATCAGAAACGATGTGTTGTTGCCTATCTTATAGCAATTGAGTCGTTGTTGGATGTGGAAGGTGATAGCCAGTTTACCGGACAAGTTTCCCGAACGCCGCGGAAAGCCGCGGTCTTCCGACGTGAAAGGCCACGTCCTACAAACCAGCCATCCGACTGGTATGTCCTGTGGGCGATCGCGCTGAATGCCAAAGTATATATCTTTGCAAATAAAATAAAGTTATGAACATGGTGTAAGGAAAAAGTCCTGCCCATTCTGGTTTACACGAGAACAAGGCCGTCTTTCACTGTCCAAGCCCCTCGAATATCTCAATAGATGATTTTATATATTGTAATCTCTCGGAACCCATCGAACCGATCATAAGACTTGATGGCTTGGTATGCAGACATTGCTTACGTTTTGATGTCAATATAGGTACGATGTACTAGCACAAGAATCAGAAGCATTGATCATCATCTTTTCAGGCGGCCCGGAGAACCATATGAGGCAGATCATTTGTTTATTCAAACGTGCATCGATAATCAGAATCGTGCTTTGATTCCCGTTGATGACTAAATCGTCTAGATTGCTACTATACTACTATTCGTGGTATATCAAATGAATCATTTGCCGGACAATCGACGAAATTTGGTCGTTCTGAAATACGTCTAGGCGTAGTTGGCAGTAGCAGTGGCTCTGACATCACCAGTCTGAGAAACATTCTTGACAGTGACAGTCGAGCCAGTCTCGCTAGTGACTCTGATCCAGGCCGAGGAAGCACCAGCTCCGCTGGAGATCTCAAAGAAGTTGTAGGTAGTTCTGGCAGCAGCCTTCCAGGTCTTGCCAGAGTCAGTGCTGACCTCGAGCTTGGTAGTGCGGCGCTTGGCATTGACGACTTGGGCCGAGAACCAGTATTGAGAGACACCAGTCTTCATGTGAATCGAAAGAGGAGAGGTAATGGGGCAGGCAACATAGTCCCAGGTCACATCAATGACACCAGCAGACTTGGGAGCCAAGTTGGGGAAGGCATCCTCGTAAAGGTCGAGGTGGTTGGTACCGCATCCAGGGCACTGATCAGTGATCATTGCGGTGATGCTCTTGCCGTTGGGTCCTTTGACCGAGACGCAAGCACCGCAGTTGGCGGCATTGTCCCAGTTGGAGGAGGAAAGAGCAGTTCCGTAGACTCCAGATGGGAGAGTGTACTGGGTGAACGAGCACTGGCCGCCCGAAGTGTTGCCACCGTAAAAGGTAGCCTGACCGGACAGAGCACGCTTAGCGACAGTGTTTGGGTTTGCAGAGACAGGCAGAGCGGCACCAAGAGCAGCAGAAGCAAAGGCCGAGACAGCGGCGAGGGTAGAGATGGAGAAAAGCATGTTGAAGAGAATGAGGAGACAGAACCGGCTGTCTTGGAATGAAGGTGTCTAGAGAATGACTTGAAGGTGGAAAGAATGAAGTGGGATGAGAAAGGAAAGGCTTCAGCAACAGACCTAGCAGGACATTTTATAGTCGTCGAAGATGACATGAACAAGCACGATGTCAGGTACGCATTTGTGGGCACATGGGTCTAATGCAGAGGAGTTTGCACAGGCGGCGGGTCTCTGTTTCATGTTCATTAGACGAGGGAGGTAGTTCTGCGGAACAACGGGGTCGAGGCTCTAGCCGACATCTGCAGGTCAAGGCAATGTCAAGGATGTTGCGAAATCGGTTGAATGGCATGTTGCGGCAGATGAGATGTATCGAAGGAAATTGGTGACATGAGCATCGCGTCAGACCGCGGTTCTCTCTACTCGGTGGGCTGTGGAGCGATCGAGGAGGAAGGAGCGTCGGGTGTTTCGTTTCAACTTCCAAGTGTGGGCAAGAGCGATGGAGGCTGGAGCAAGCGCACCGCCACAGTTGCAGCCACAGTTGGACGTGATGCATGTGAAAGATGGACAACCAAGACAACAAACACGCCCGGTCGCCAGCAATAAAGTGGCCCCGATCGTCAGAGACTGCTCGAGACCATGGCTACGACTTCATGACCGACACGACAAAGAAGGCAGGCTATAACTTAATCAGCAAGCACCATGGACGAGGTCGAAAACCCGCAGGTCAAGGCTCCTGAGGAAGAGAGCGACAGCATCGTCACACCAGCAAAAGACTCCGCCGAGAAGCTGCACCTCGACAATGGCCCTGTCAATCCACCTGCAGACCAGCCAACCTCCAACGACGCGTCTAAGCGACCGCTGTTGAAACGCGACTCGTCAGCACCGCCGCCCAAACAGCCTCCGCCCGCCGCGCCTGACGTCGACCCGAGCCAGGATCCTCCTGATTCTCTGACACTTGCCCAGCTCAAGAATCTTCGTGCTGGCTTCCCCGTCCTACAAAATCAACCTCAACAGCCTGTCCCGCTGTCCACTGTCTACGACTTTGAATATCGCGACTCGCAATCCTTCCCCGTCGAGATCGAAGAATGGTTCACATACAGCGAGAAAGAGAGGTCCAAGCTACGACAGATCAATGCTGCCTTCGACCATGCATGGAAGGCACACACTGCTCAAGATCCTGTTCCCGACTGGACTGCCTCGCCGCAACTGGGCATGAACTTTGTTGCCAACTTGCTTCATGACCTGCAGCTGGGTTCTCCTCACCAACAGAATACAGCTCTTCAGGTCTTGACATACATCTCTCTGGGCACATGGGAAGAGACTGCTGGTAGAGAAACTCCGAATCCTTTCTTTGCTGTTCTTGGTTCCAATCAACCACAGGTCACAGCAGGCTTACCAAACTATGCCGGTGCAACATTTCAGATCCAAATAATGATCAACACTCTTTGCATGCTGGCCCAGCAAGGCGCCGTGCCACTTGTCTATTCTCTCATGAAGTCTGTTTGCGAAAGGGACCTTACTGCTTCTGCTCAGAACGAAGACACATCCAACTCAAAGTATGCTGAGGGTGATGAGAGTATCGATGTATGGTGTGCTTTGACTCTCATTTACTTGTTCGTCGAGTTGAGTCGTGTAGCTGAGGGCACGCTCGATGCTCAAGTGTTGCACAGAGAGCTTGGTAAGTGATAGTCACAGGCCGTATTGCATCGGAGCTAACCCAATCGAAAGCTTCAATCAAATCGGATTTGTTGGTCACTTGTGCGAACATAATTGCTCAAATGAGATGGGACGATTTTGCTCCTGTCCCTCAGACGAAGGTAGACCTTCAAAGATCTCAGACCGATGTCCATATGCTGATTTGCTTCTAGATTTTCTTGTTACTGTGGAAGACCATTCTCATTTCTTTCGGTGGTATTGAGAAAGCCGACGAGGTCAAATCCTCGTTTCAAGAGAATGTCGGCGAGAAAGATGCACGCGGTCATCCCCTCATCACAGCCTCCCCACTTGACTACCATCTCTTCAGACAAGAAATCACTTCGAAATACCCTGCGTATCAACCGCCTCCGCCATTGTTTGCGTTCGAGCCTGAGAATAACACCATCTTGCCTCCGCTTCGTCACAGACAAACAAAGATCGATAGCAACGATAACACTGCATCGACTGGCACAGGTGTCCACGGCGCCTCAATGTTGCATCAAGCAGTGCACATTGCCACTCCGGCACCGTCACCTCCACCTTCTCCAGCTGGCCCGGGGGGCAAAGGTGGAAAGAAGCAAAACTATCAGACCAACCAGATGTTCCCATTCCTCTACCCACCCTTGGACGAAGCGAGCAACGATCTAGGTGGCAAGGGCTCTACCGAGTTGCAGGACGCTTTAGCAGGCCGAAAATGGAAAGGAAGTGACGTTCCAGCTTCTATCCTCGAGGCCGCTGATTTGTTCTCCAAACGTATGAGGGCCACTAGAGCCATGAAACAGCTTTGGGACACCAGAATTGACTACATGAGATTCGAAAGGGGTTGGACAGATGCCAACGATGACTCTGATGTAGAAAAGTTCGATCTCTACGAGTCTCGAGAGAATGGCTTTTCCTCATCTGAGCATGAAGATGATGCAAAGGAAGCACAGAAGTCCAAAGATCAAGAGCCATTGTCGGAAAACGACAGGATTTTGGAGGCGGTCGCACAATTCTATCGAGATGTGTTACCACAGATGCAGTCTGTAGTCTTTGTGCTGCTCAAAGGCATGGCGAGAGTCTATGCAGATACTACTGCCAATCCACAAGCTCAAGCTTTTGAGAACGGTCATGTTCCCGATGGCATATCGATATCTGCGGAACAAGTCGATGCTTCACGCTCTACAGAGATCACCGGCAAAGCCGTGTCATCCATCTTGCTACTATTGCTCAAATGGTTCAAGTTGTCGCGTAAGTACAGTCGTTTCCTGTGACGACATTTGGCGCTAACTGCTCCATAGACATCCTTCGATTCGAATATTTGAACCAATTACTCTTGGACTCTGGATACATCATCGCAGTGCTACGGATATGGCAATGGCAAGATATCGGTCGCGCCTGTCATTTTATGCTGGACAGACCAGAACTTGAGTGAGTGGATTTGTGACTGCTCGTGTGTACTGAAAACTGACTCAGTAAAGCTTCTTCAACTTCTGCCGCGCCAACTCCAGGAACCCAGCTCTGCCTGACTTCGTGACGATTGATGAAGCAGTAGAATCCGAAGATGAGGCGATACCTCCACCTATCAAATTCCGCAGAGAGTCGGAAGCAATTTCAGAGGTTTCGGCCAGCTCAGTACCACCAGACTATACCACTCACCCACCCGAAGTCGATGAACTGGGCTACCCGACTCAAGCCCCTCCTCCAGCGCCCATTCAAAACTATTCCTACCGAAACACTTTCACCTACATCAACTATTTGCGCGTACTTCAAAAGATCACCCGCCGCAAGGCACATCGCTCTCTGCTCTTGGTGTCTTACAAGTCGTCCAATGTGCTGAAGAAGTCGCTGCGGGTACCTGTGGACATGATGAGATACTACACACTTAAGCTCTTCAAGACCCAAGTGCCATACTGTGGTCGCAAATGGCGCCAGAGCAATATGAAGATCATTACAGCCGTCTGGCTCAGCGTACCTTCGGAGCTGCGCGACGATTGGCTATCCGGCGGTGGCGGTGGCATGGGCGGCGCTGGTCCCGGAGACGTAGACGGAACTGTGGAGGAAGCTCTGCCTCTCGAGCAATCGCTGCGTAGTCTTACTCACTGGTGGAATGTACGCAACTACCCTGACAAGATGGGTGTGGACAAGAAGCTACTTACTGAAGAGCAAGACTTCTTCGCCAGAGAGCTAGAGAAGATGGAATTGGGACGCATAGAAGATGAACTGCTCGAAGAGAGTATGATTGAGGAGGCATGGACTCAGCCTATGGACAATTATGCATAGATTAAGTGGGTGACTGCTTAGTATAGCGAACGAGCCTTTTTCAATAATACTTTTGATCAAAGCCAATATTCTCCTCCTTGACTAGAAGCACTGATAGAATGCCTTTTCGTCCTGTGTCGACTTAAACGAATCAACCTGCGTCCATTCATCTCCATAGGCTTGTGAAGATGATGACAAGACCCTGAATAGCAAGAACATCTTTAGGCTCATGGTTGGCCAGCAAACTGCCGATAAGAACTGAACACATAAATATCAGAGGGTAAGTCATAGTACCAGCCTGTACTGGGTCAACATTGTCCAACCGCAACAACGCCATGAAAGACTGATAAACGCCAAATCGAAGCTCGATAGCAATGACGATGGGCACGCCCAGAGCAAACTCGAGCAGTTTAGATCCGAGAAGTGACACTGCATCGATTTCGTCGTGGGCAGACTACGCCTCGTCGACGATGACGCCCCACTCGTGCTGCTCCTTGCCGTACATGATGTCCGAGAGCCAGCCACGGACGAGTCTGGCGTAGACACCAGTCTTGCCTTCGACCAATGGGATCTCAAGCTCGTGCTCCTTCCAGCCAATGAGACCGACGGGAGCAACGAAGAATGCAGTGCCGGCGGCGAAAGCCTCGACAAGACGACCCTCCTGATGAGCCTCCAAGATCTCCTGCATGGTGAACTTGCGCTCGATGACCTCGAGGCTTTCGGCGTTGTACTTGGAGGCGTTCTGAGTGGAGAGACGCTCCTTGGCGATATCGAGCACACTGGCGCGAGTGACACCTTCGAGAATCAGGTTGTCCTCAAGTGGTGCGGTGATCAGCTGCTGCTGGCCTTCCTTGGTCTTCCAGACAACGAAGAAGTTACTGGCACCAGCCTCAGTGACGCTGGCGTTGCTGCCGAACAGCCACAGGATCTGATCGTAGCCACGAGCGCGAGCCTCGCCTTGTCCTACGAGCGAAGGACCATAGTTGGCGCCGAGCTTGGCGTATCCGAAACCGCCGGGCCATGCACGGATGGAGTCTTCCTTGCTTGCAAGAAGCTTGAGACCTTGAGCCTTGGTGACAGCCTCGCTGAGATTTGGGTTGACGGCGGATGCTGCGGGCAAGTTGCGAGGGTCTGACCAGTCGGGGAAAACGGCGATGATAACGTAGAGAAGAGCCTCCTTAGGCACCTGAACGCCGAGACCAGGATCTGTGCCGATGAAAGTGGGACGCAAGTAAAGGAAACCGCCCTTGTTGGGCAGCCACTTGGGGCCATCAGTGGCGCAAAGTTTCTTGATCAAGATCTCCAATTGCTCAGCAGGGAAGTCTGGAAGTGAGATACGAGCAGCACTTCTACGCAGACGCTCGCAGTTGCGACGGACACGGAACAAACGCAACTTGCCGTCCTCGCCATGGTAAAGCTTCAAACCCTCGAAACATTCAGTGGCGTAGTGAAGAACAGAGGCAGTAGGCATGATGCTCAATGGACCATAAGCCTTGAGTTCGGGGGCCTCCCAGCCATCCTCTAGAGTCCAGCGTGCGGTGATCATGTGGTCGGTGCAGGTACGCATTCTCTTGAGCTCCTCGCTGCCAGGGACAGGAGGATCTCTCGGCGCACTGGTAAGAGTAATCTTCAACTTTGAGGCATCGAGCTGTGCAGTTTGTGCATTGGAGGCAAGGTTGTGTTCAATGCCGGCCTTGGTCAACGACTTAGCGGTAGGCGTGGCAGTGCCGGAGGCAGGGGGTGTGATGTCTTGTGCGCTCATTATTGGTGATGTGTGAGATGAAGCCTTTGACAGATGTTGTGTTCTTGACCACTGGCAGCGATGAGTTTCAATTGTAGTTCCCTTGAATTTGTAGAACAATTGTGTATAGTTATTGAGTCTCAATTGAAGTGGTATTTCGTGATGATAAAAAGGGATGTTCAAAGAAGACTGTGGGGTTCTAGAAGGTATTTGTATAGACAACGCCCTCGCCGCCGATACAGGAGCGTCGTGAATCAATTGCTAATGAGTCAATGGTACTTGGTACTGAAGCCGGCATCCGAGATGCAGCCCAGGTTCTGTCTGCTTCATACGATCTCTTATCTAACAATGCACGCCTTAGATGTATACGCCTTACGCCTTTTGTTATCGTCCACGCCCTGGGATTTTTTTTCTGTGCTTTTCATCGGCTGCCGGCGGTCATGATCCGATGGTATGGGGGAGCTGTTATCGAACGCATCAATTGGCTTCTGTCGGTATCGCGCAGGATCTGGACGTTCTATACGACAATCCTATCCTTGACCAATCAAATGGTCATCTTCATCCAACTTCATGGCCTGTTTTCAGCCTGTTTAAACACTGTTCAGACCCTGTTTCTACCACATATTGAACACATTTGCAGCTAGGAATCGGTCTGTATATGCTGAGCATATGCTCCCTTGATGGGCAAGTTCGATCTGTCAAAATGTTATCAAGATTCTATCAAAATGTTATCAAAATACTATCAAGATATTATCATGATTCTATCATGCTTTTATCATGCTTCTACCATGCTTCTACCATGGTATAACCATGGTTGAACTACGGTACACTGAAGATGCGATGCAAACACCAAAGCAATTCTGACTAGACCTTCCTACAAGAACGAAGTGCGCTACACTATGCCATCTCGTTCATAGACAAATTTTCGATACTTAGGCCATGCTACGCACCAGAAAGTGATTACCAAGCACCCTACCTCGCTTCCCAGCCTTTTCCGACTGACACAAATCATCGCATCTCTGCTTTTTCATACAGTCTGTTGAGAGGTAAAATTCTATGGAAAGCATGCATTTCTGATCACATCGTAGCTCATCTGGCACCTCTCGCGCAATAAACTATCGGCAGATTTACAGCGCAATATCTACACCCTTGACCGCCCGTTTCTCACCCTTCGTACAGTCATGACTTTGCTCGAACATATTCCTTTTCCCTACAAAACCGCAAAGTTGCCCTAAGAAGTTGCAACCAATACAATACTGAGATGGAAATGGAGTTTCGGGTACCAGAAGCCAAGCTAAGCTTAAGAGTCGCCGGGCCGGCCATTCGCCTGTGATTTGCAGTCCCTGCGGCGATGTTGGCTGGTTACCTGGGCAATCTCAGAGCGCGTCACGTCCGCGCTGCGGATGACAAAATCCATCTCTCGAACACCCCAAGTTTCCTTTGTGTTCGTGAAGCTCCTTCATCCAAGGAGTCTGTCATATACTCTCCTGTCCAGCTCGTTATACCTGCTGAAATTCGCGAGAAATCATTGGTTTGCTATATCTAGGCCCGCTTGCTCAAGCATATCACTAATCATCCTAATCTAGCCACGTCCTCCGCAGTCCGATACACCCAAGATGGTCGAGTACAGTGAGCTGAGAAACCCTGAACTTCGAGAATTTCTCCAAGCTCGGAGACTTCCTGGTACTGGCACTAAGGCCGTCTTGGTACAGCGACTTCAAGAGAGCGACATATTCTATACGTCGTTCTCGTCGCAACAACATCGCGCGCACTCCAATCCTTTGCTCGAAGACATATTGGAGAAGATGAAGACCTCCGATCCAAGAGTTATCACGAAGATGCTGCGCAAGCTCGTCCACGCTAAGAATCTTCACAATACCAAGGAGAGAATGAAGAAACCGGGATTCGGAAAATATCGCAGCAGCAGCTCCATAGCTGGTGACTATAAAAAGCTCGCGTCTGGATATTGTCTTGAATGGAATTGTTCTCTCTGCTGCGATGCCTCCCTGAGCAAATCCCTCAACCATCTCCTTGGCTATGGTTCAACATGCTGGGGCAGGAAGTGTAAGGATCTCAACAACTGCTCCGGTTGTCGTGACGAGCTCCTAGGACTTGAGGATGCCTATATACAACGACGAGAAAAAGAGAGCTGTGAGGATGGGTCTTGTGGTGATCTCTCCAAATGTCTCAGATGCGAAGACCATATTTAAGATGCTTTGATTCCACTCAGCAGACCTGATGGTATCCCAGGACCTATTCATCACAGATGGATGCCATCAGATGTCACTCTACTCAAACAAGTCCTGACTGATGTGAGAAGCATGGTCCACAACGAGCACCTCGGCAAGCTTTTACTGAAGCTCAAAGATGAGGAACCAGATGCTGTTGAATGGGTCAATATCAAGCAAACACTGGCAAACAAAAAATGTCTTGGTTCAAACTGCTCTGCGTGCGGCACTGCCACCCTTACCGAATCCCTTGACGCCCTTTCAGATGGACTACATACTGACTGTGGCGGGGATGTCTCCTCTGCTTGCAGCAACATCATAACGTGTTCAAGCTGTCGTCATGCTCTCCAAAACATGGAAAACATCTTATCACGAAACGTGGAAGAAGGCCGCGATCACGAACCTTGCAAAACGTCCCTTGATTGCGATGCGTGGTCTTATCTTGCGACTGGCCTAAATCCGCTTGCCTTGTATCCCCAGCATGATAACACCAATCTCATCGAAAAAGCCTCACAAGTGGAAAAGCACTGTCAGGGTGAGAATCTTCGTGCGATGGACACATATGACGCTGGCAAACGGACCAAGTATGAACACAAAGGAACACAAACTGAAGGCAGCCACGATATTGTACGGCAATCCTGTTTCAGGGAACACGGACAATGCGATAGACCAGATCAGGACTTATCTTATGGACTATTTCACCCCTCCTCAGAAACCAGTATGGACCTTGATATACGGAATGATGAGCTTCGTCGTCGCCGAGTCAAGAGAACAAAGACGAGCCTGACTGAGAGCTCTGATGGTACTATGAGAGGCGCCAGCCGAAAGAGGCGATTCAGTAATCTCGATCTGCACTACACACTGCCTGCAGATTACCTCCTGGCAAAGCAAGTTCGTGCTGAAGAAGATCGAGAGAGACAAGAGAGGGAACGAGCTCTGTCAAGACACGAGCGGCCGTCATGGTTCGGGACGCCACAAGATCCATTGCCAGATCTTTGGATGGGGCGTCCAGTCCTTTCGGCAACCGGGATCGGCATGTTGAAGGCCATGGATTCGATACCAAAGTACTATCTTTCGAACTCGGAAGAAACCATGATCTCCTATGCCAAAACACAGAAGGACAGGCGTTTTTCTGATATCATCCGTAGGCTCGAAGCGGAGCTCATGTCGCGCGATTTCTGGATGCAAAGCCTGGGTTACGATTCAAGTGATGGATTCGGCAATATACCTGCTGGTGATTACAGGTTGAAACATGAGCAGAGTGATTTTGGCCAAGAGAGAGAATCGAATCGTGTGGAGCGCTGGGTATCTACCCTTCCAAGGTTTTGATATCTTCTCTTCAAGGTAGTGAACAATCGCTGTTCACTTGTTGGGATGTGGTTTGTATAGACAAAGTACCTCGATGAGCTTGGCTTCAGTAGGCTAGTATCTAACGGGTACAACCGATACCTTCTGAAGACTTTACAAATGGGTAATAAGGTCCAAGTGATCGTCAAGTGAGGAATCCTCCTGCCTGTGGAATCTTCTTATCCTTTCACCATGGCGTAGGGTCGAATTTTACGCTGTTCAAAGACAAGAGATTTCGAATATGTTTCGCCTCTCATCACACACTGCTCTACCGCATTACCGGAATAGGTTGTCTTACTAAACCTTGACAGTACTTCCTATTCTTTCTTTGAAGACGGATTTGTTTTTGGAGTGACCCTGGCTTCACATGTTTCCTGTCTCAGTGAATTCTTGCCGAGCCGGTATGCGTCAAACTCGGCATATTGTATAAGGATGTGGACATTGCATTTGTGACGGTTGTGACACTCGCAACTCGAACATGATGAACGGTGGTGTTGTCAAGAGCTTCAATTGCATGAGTGAAGCGTGCCAACTGTAGCACATTCTATAAAGACGGGCGGAACAGGAAAGCACAAATGGCATTATGTTGATCTACGGATCGGTCCTTCCTTGAGAGATGATATGACACGGGTGCCTTCGCGACGAGACGAATCTGATGTCTGGTGGCCCCTTCGGATTGGGAAGGAAATGGTCTCTTAGTGGACTCTTGGGGTGGCCATATGTGTAACATGTGGAGTGATCGGCCCTGACAGGTCATGGCCCGAGCTTCATAGGATTGATGATGAGTAGACACTCTTGACAACATTGAGTTTAAATACGAAAGGTTGCCTTTGCTCTTCGTCTGCCCAACTCCTTTGGCCTCTCTCGGGTATTTTCAACATGAGTACATTCGCAGCCACGGCATTCCGCCGCACCGCACAAGCAAGCCGAGCACCTTCCTGGCAAGCTCGTGCTGCCAGATTCACCAAGCAACAAGTCCGTTCAATTGGCGACCATGGCACCAAGCCGCCGCTTCCTCCAGGCACTCCTCAGCCTTCGAGAGTCGTCGCACCCAAGACGCGCCTCGCCGTCGGTGTCGTCTTTGTCGGTGCACTGATCTACTCAATGGTACACTTCACTCCATTAAGACGTACATGGACTGCCCAGACACTGACACACGACCAAACAGGCCACTGGAGATGTAGAGCACACCGAGCCGCCATCCATTGCAGAGCGCGATAGTCTCAGTAAGCGCGAATCCGGCGTCACCCAGACGTCCCCCATGCGTCTGAGAATGGAACAATTCATAAAAACAAAGCAGGAGGAGATCGTCCGCGAGCTTGAGAAGGTCGACGGCACCCGCTTCAAAGTCGACAAGTGGGACCGCCCCAATGGCGGCGGCGGCATCACCTGCGTTCTTCAAGACGGCAATGTCTTTGAGAAAGGCGGCGTCAACACCAGCATCGTCTACGGCACCCTGCCGCGCGCTGCCATCAGCAAGATGAGGGTCAACCACAAGGCTTTGGATCCGGATGTCGAGAGCTTGGAATTCTTTGCTGCCGGTTTGAGTATGGTCCTGCATCCCAGCAACCCCATGGCTCCTACCGTGCACCTGAACTATCGCTACTTTGAAACTGCAAATGCCGACGGCACCCCCAATGCTTGGTGGTTCGGCGGCGGCACTGATCTTACCCCTTCGTACTTGTTCGACGAAGATGTCATTCACTTCCACCGCACAATCAAAGATGCCTGTGATGCTCATGACAAGACCTACTATGCTCGTTTCAAGGAGTGGTGCGACAAGTACTTTTATGTTTCGCACCGTGGAGAGACACGTGGTGTCGGTGGCATCTTCTTCGATGACCTCGACGAGACTGAGAAGGACCAAGAGGCTCTCTTCTCCTTCTCTCAGTCATGTCTCAATGCTTTCCTGCCCTCATACATCCCCATCATCGAGAAGAGAAAGACTATGCCCTTCACTGAAAAGGAGAAGGCATGGCAACAATTACGCAGAGGCCGCTACGTCGAATTCAATTTGGTGCACGACCGCGGCACCAGCTTTGGTCTCAACACCCCTGGCTCCAGAGTTGAGAGTATCTTGATGAGCTTGCCATTGACTGCTCGCTGGCAATACATGCACGCACCCGAGAAGGGCTCGAGGGAAGAGCGCATGCTGAGCGTCCTCAAGGAGCCCAAGGAGTGGGTATAGAAGGTCGCAAGACGAATAAAAATTGTAATATAACCTTTGTACAGAGCATCTGCGGGCGGATGGTTTGGAATATCTGTAGAACAACTCAAAAAGAAGAAACGCAGCATGTCGTCATGACTTTTTCCCTGGATGATGTCAAGTAAACAGTCGGAGCTTCACACATATTCTGCCACGCAAGTACAACTTAATAATCGCACCTTCTATCTCAACTATCTCAATTGGAAAGAACATCAGAATCTGAGAAAGTAGTCGCAGCCATGTCAGCACAAGGCGCCTTCCACCGCTTGCTCTCCTTCTTCGCAACCCGTTCATCACGCCCAAACACCTCGACGATAACCTTCATGGACTCTCTTCGAGGTGACCTCTCTCTTGGCCTCAACTTCCCCGTCGCAGTCTTCCTAGCCACTGTCCGTCATCTCGTGTTCCGCAACACTGGTTTCTGGTCCTTGACCATCTACGTCCCCACCGTACGCACAAGTCGCAAACTGCTCGGCGGCCCTTCTGCATGCAAAGACCTAGATGAAAGCAAGAGATATGGATGTGGGGAACTAGTGACATTGGCAAAGAATGACGGCGTCGTCGCTCAAGCTGATGCTGTGGGTTTGTGGATGCTTGCTGCCGAGAAGGACGGTAAAGTGAAGGGAGAGGAGGTGAGATTGTTCCAACGGGGTGAGATTATGGAGAGAATTGCTGCTCGTAGAAGAGGCATGGATAATGTGTTGCCCTTCTGGAGAGGTGGGCCATTGATGTGAGTTTCTTCTTCTTGCTGAAGTGGGTTGTTGTTTGTGGCTGATGCTGACATGTTTCACAGTCCTTCTGCTCATTCATGGGCTGTCAAGAAGGCCTTTGATGTCGAGGTCTACGATGGCCACAAGAGAGCTTAACGGCCTCTAGACATTCAATAGCAGCGATCCCATGGTACAATTTCACGACTGGTCCACCACAATAGTGTGCAACAGAGCCAGCGCTAAATCAAAGAACAAAGAGACGTGTGGCGCGAAGCTACCTAGCCGCTTCGAAGGACCAGCTACCGGCTCAGTTACACTACGTTCAGGGGTTACACCGAGGCATAGAGCAATACTGCAAACCCATCAAAATAAACGCCTGCGTCTCACAATAAGGTCTGCTCCACAGATTGATCCTCGAGTATCTCTGGACACATGTGGGGACTCATTCTGAAGATACGGAAAGTCATGAACAAAAGGACAGTCTGCGGTTCCCTCGAGGACACATCGGTTCTCGCGAGAGGTATATTTCAAGCAGTTACGAATGACTCAGTCATACCTTCCGATGGACGCTTGCTTCACATTCAATCTAGAGCAAGAATCTTCGGCTAAAACTTCTTGCCATCTGTGATGATCGTATGTCTATGACAATCAATTGGACCATATGCTTGCCAACCAATGCTCTATCTTTTTACCTAGCAAGCATTACACACTTTCGTGGTTCTACCATTCTCCTCTCCCGATCTTCAACCAATAGTCCTTTGCCTTCTTCGCCACCTCCACTAACGAGCCCTCATCTTCGACTTTTCGTAGCTCTCGACTTGCACAATGTATCGAGCCGGGGTGGTGACTCTGATGTGGGTGTATTTCTTCATCCACTCCTTTGGATCTTTGGGGTTGTCGGGCTGCATGACTCCAGGTGTTTGAGCCACGGATGTGTCGTTCTGCTCGTACAGAACGTTGAAGCGGCGGTAGGTTTCGCATTCCTCAACAGCACTGCCTGCGAACCAATTCACCAAGAACTCTGTGGCTTCCTGTTCACTGCTGTCCCACGTGGACGCGTATTCCGGCATCTCGATCTTGGGTGGAGAGTACAGCATAGAAGGCGGTCTCACATCTGAGCGGAACGGGTTGCGGCTGTTGTCGGCTACAGGTGTACCAAGCAGTTCACAGACGAGCTGCCAACATTTGACTCTGGGGGAAGTGTCATTAGTGCCTTTCTCACGGTCTTCGTCAATCAGCTCTGCGAGCCATGCCAAGATACCAGGTCGACAGTAGATGCGGTCGTTTCGTCCACCTTCCGGCTTTGCCTTGTAGCCTTCAAAGATCTCTAACACCTGAAGTGCCTGGGCTGGGTGGTACTTGAAGATCTCGTCGGTGATAAGTGTGAGTGTGCCACTCGGGAATAGGCGCATGCAGTTGTACTTCGCTGGCAAATCGGCACGATTTCTGATGGCCTTCGAAACACCAACTTGGAAGATGTTAACTCCAGTCGCCAAAACACTCCAAAAGTCTGGCAGTTTCCAAAAGAAATTCATCGACGGGTGGAATAGAACCACTCTGTTAACGGTCGACCCTTTGCCACAGAATTGGCTCCACAGGTCACAATCCTCCGAATGGACGAACTTTGCGCCGACTTCGTTCAAGAAGACTTCAACAAGTTTCGTCTCCGGTGTCCCCTTAGGGAAGCAGAGATACACGAACTTCTCGATATGCTTGCCTCTGTTTGCAGCGAATAGTACCTCGGGGTTGAGATCAAGGTGCTCAGAACACATTGAGATGAAAGAGGCTTTGGTCTGTCTGACGATGATGGGTTCAGAGGTGCCGGGTACTGCTGCTTGGAGATACCATCGCAGGCCTGGCCTTTCTGGACCTCGATAAGGCATGAACTTCCAGTCTGGATTCTGAGTAGGATAAATGACGAAGATGAAATCGTCCGTTCGGAGGGCGATACAAGATGAGTGTAAGACTAGAAAGTCCTCGAGGTAAGTAGCTAAGGCATCCCCTGGAGCACAAATGACACCACCAGATGCCCATGTGTTGTCCTTCAAATACCAGTAGGCTTCGAAGTCACGCGAGCGACAAATTTCGGAGCCTTCGAGTGAGGAATTCTCACAGATAGTTTCAAGAAATTTTACTCGACTTACTCTTTCGTCGAAGACCAGCTTGATGTTCATAGTGTGAGCAGGTGGCTTAGTAGGTCTGATGCTGAGACTTATGCTAACAGGATCTGAAGTATCCTTCTCGTTCGACACATCGAAATTAGTTGCTGTGTTGATAGGTAGTTCCTCAGTAAGACCTTGCACTTCAGCATCTTTCATGTGGACCTCTTTTGCTGCGCCATTTCTAGGCTCAAATGATGCGGTAGATGCGAGAGATGGTGATTGGATCGGAGTCCGCTCATCAGGACGCAGCCTGGGATTTGGCAGACTGGTTCTGTCTCTGCGTCCCTCAGCCTCGTCCTGACGCAATCCATAACGATCGGGGCTATCTGAACGGCGCCTTGCCCGGAAGCCGTTGACATCCTCATGGCTCTCTCGCGTAGATACATCGACATTTCGCTGGAAATTATAACCATGGACATATTCACACTGCTCGTCGGTGAATTTACATTGGTTGTTTTCCCAATATGCACAGGTAGCGGCTTTCTTAGGCTCCAACAGCCCAGTCCAAGTATGTGCGCAGTAGCACTCTTCCTCAGACTTGTTACAAGTGCCTCTGTACCAAAATCGACATGTCAAGTGTTTTCTGGAGAAGCGAGGTGCGTCTGGTTGAGCTAACGGATATGCGAATCTTTGTTCGGATGCTTGTGCCGTATGAGGTGCTGGAATGCGAACATGAAGAGGTTCACGTTGGTACCCAGAGGTCGAGGCGGAACGTCGCTCTAAGGCAGACGCTGACTTTGGTGCTGCTGAACCTTCTAAATTCTCGCGTCTGGTCACATTGATGTCTAGTCGCAAGGCGTTCGATGTAGATGAAGGGCCACTTGGAGGGTTTAGGACTTTTCCAGTATTCGGATCGATGAAGTTCAGAGCATTTGGGTCAGGTGCAGGTTCGTTGTGGCTGTAAAGATGCATTCGCCTTTGCGTAGATAGATTGACGAATTGAGGATCAGTCGAGTCTTTGGGCGTGTATTCATTGACTCGTGGTCGTTGTCTAGGCTTGACCTTTGGTTCATGGAACAATTTTATTGGTGGCGCTCTACGCGACGGTCCAGCGGCTTTGGGTGCGGGTTTCGAAGTGTCATTAGTGACAGTAGCGCCGGCCGGATTTCTAGGCAAGAGGCTGGTCGAATTTCTAGGCACTTCCGCATACGTCTCGGTAGTGGCTGTTGATGCGGCGTCCCTGCGCTCGGGGAACTTTCTTGATTCACTTGGTACAGTGGTAGAGGTAGCGTCTGAAGCACGGCGTTGTTCGAGATTGCCCGGCACTGTCGACAGATTTCGCGCCGTAGATGATTTTACCAGTTTGGAAGCCTGGGACGTTGAGGAACTATCACCGGCGTCTTTATGTGGACGTCCGGGACCTTTGTCTTTGGCAGCTGCAACTTCGCTGGTAGCGTCCCCTGGCTGAGATTTCTTATGAACGCTTGAAGTGTTGAATGATTTAGGCCTAGATGTAACTACAGATGTTGTTCTGCCTAGAGGTGAAATTTTTAGTCAGTATAGGACCCTAAGCCTTCAATGTTTTGCTAGAGCTCTTGCGAATATTTCGATGTCCATCGGGATCAGAGTATGCCACAAGACTAGGCAGTTGTTTGTTGAGAACAACATCACTTTCACAGGGTCTTAGTTGAGCTTGACCCTGTGCGGCATTTCCTTCTGCGAAGGCAACTTCCACATCAAGTTGTTGAAACAGAGAGCGTGGAAGTTCTGACGCACGAGGTCTATACCTTTGTCTGACGTACCTGATGGTTGCTTCGTGGCTTCTTTCTCACTGGGTTGATCATTTACACGAGCCCGCTTCGGCACAGTTGTTGAACGTGACATCGGGGACTTGCGAGGACTTTCCGTGAGTTCAGTCGTACGCTCGTTGAACATAGAGTACTGTGAATTGGACACATCATTGATCGACAGCGATGGAGAGGGTGAGCGAGGGTCGGATAGAACCCTCTTACGCTTCCGGCTGGCAGAGCCGCCGGGGGTAGTGGGCTCGGAGAGAGAGGTGTCTGGTTTTCTAGGCGATTCTTCGGTGACGGAAGACGGGGAGCTGGTTGCATCACGGGTTGGCGCCTTCCTCGCAGTTCCCTTCTTGGTCAGATCCTTTTTGGAGACGAGACGACGGCGGGGTGTAGGTTCCCGAGCTTCTTTCTGGCGGCGCTTCTCTGCACGTTTGGCACGGCGACGCTCACGTTGCTCTTCATCTTCTCTTACTGCGGTATTGAACTTGGAAACCTTGAACAGTTTAACACGACCGTTAGCGGCGTCTCGTTTGTGACGTTCCCATTTGACGAGGCAGTCAGTATCGTGGAAGTTCTCGCGTGGCTCCCAAGTAGATCTGTGGAGTTCGTAGCCTTCCCATTTGACCAAGTAAAGTGGCTCGCCGTCGTCTGACTCTCGCTCTGCAAGAATCTGATGCAAGTCAGTGACAGAGCAGAGAGAGTGAGGTGGCAGGCGATTGACCTTTTCGACACTGTACTCTGGTTCAAGTTCGCTTTGAACAGTGCTATCAGTGTTGACTGAATCACTATCGTCGTCCTCTTCGAAGGGCAATCGAGACTTATGAGTGGCCATGATGGAAGACGAGTTGGGAGGTCATGACAACGCGTCGACAGGTAGAAGTCTTTGACGGTGCAGCACGACTGGTGGAGTGACGGAAGTTTGGAGAAAAGTCGATGTTTTGAAAGGTCGCGCCTTCCACCTGCAAGTGATAGATAATAAGTTGCACGTGTGATAGTGCCAAGGCTTTGCGATGGACGGTGCGGATTGGCTGGAGGTGGGGAAAGATGGGAAGGAGCAGACGGCGCTGGCGTTGGCGTTGGCGTGTCTCTCTGGACCGGGCTTGGGCTGCCTGGAGTTTCAAACAACAGCTGATCTTCTCTCTACCACGTCAACTCTCCTCTTGTGCTCAACCCCTTGTTGTTGCTGTTCGCCGACACACTGCTGTGCGCTCCATTGAAACAACACACACGACCTCGTTATCGCTGTCTCTGCCGCCACGCCTGCTGAGATCCGCCCCTCCTTAATCCAGCCCCCGACTTCACACATTACCACCATGGCCAACGACGAGTACGATGTAAGCTCACACCTCCGTCGCGCCTTCATAGTCTCAGTACTAACTCCACCTCCAGTTCCTCTTCAAGGTCGTCCTGATCGGAGATTCTGGTGTCGGTAAATCCAACCTCTTGAGCCGTTTCACCCGCAACGAGTTCAACCTCGACTCAAAGTCGACCATCGGTGTCGAGTTCGCTACGCGCAGCATCCAAGTCGACAACAAGACCATCAAGGCTCAGATCTGGGATACCGCCGGACAGGAGCGTTACCGTGCCATCACCTCAGCTTACTACCGCGGTGCCGTCGGTGCCCTGCTCGTCTACGACATCAGCAAGCACCAGACATACGAGAATGTCACCAGATGGCTCAAGGAGCTGAGAGACCATGCTGACAGTAACATTGTCATCATGCTCGTTGGAAACAAGTCCGATTTGAGACACTTGCGCGCTGTGCCTACCGAGGAGGCTAAACAATTTGCCAGTAAGTCTCGTGCGCTTCGCCATGTCTACCACATCTGACTAATTGCTCTTTACCTCAGGCGAAAACAACCTTTCGTTCATCGAGACCTCTGCTCTGGACGCCAGCAACGTCGAGCTTGCTTTCCAAAACATCCTTACAGGTATGCAGTCTATGCTTCGTTGCCGCGACTTCGTCTTACACATGTTCCAGAAATCTACCGCATTGTTTCCAGCAAGGCTCTCGATCAAGGCGAAGGCAAGGAGAGCGGCCCCGGAAGTGGTGCCCCTGTCAGCGTTCCCTTGACCAAGCCCGCCGACGGTAACGCAAAGTCTGGCCAGTGCTGCTAAATGCACAAAACTCCCCGATACCCGACCCATGAACAATTTCAAAGAGCACGCGATACGAGAAAAACAAAGAAAACATTCCGGAAATGCTGTTCACACTTTCATCCTTCCCTATGGGCGATGTCGTGTGACCCTTTCCCTACCGGCGTTATGAAGGCGTAAACGATCTCGCCATACACCACGCGAATCACCTGGTACGAGGCTCTATATCACTCTGCTCCACGTGAACGCTTATTTTTCTTTACCCTTTGCGTTTTTGTTGGTTGCGATCTAATTCCCTTTTTGTCATGTTAACGTTGCAAATGTACCGGGCTGGAGGGAGCATGCTTTACGTCTTCTTCCTGCTTTCTTGTCTGTTTGGTGTTTATACATCGGGGGAAGGAGTCTTTGGCAACACGAATGCGGGAATATAGTCGCACTCGAAAGAGGAAGAAGAGATCATGAGCTTCCTCCTCGAGACGCCAAATGAAAACGAAATACGAAACATGCCTTTCTTGTTTTCTGCGTGATAGTTTGTCAGCTCCTCTGGGCTATGTTTAACATTAGTAAATTGTTTGTCACACTAATCAACAAGGCTTGGCTGCGCGCTCTCACTACCTGGGTCGAAGTATAGTCTCTGGGAATCATGAAGGTCGTGGCTGCACGAAATTGGAGTATCGTGTATTGCAAGAGGAAATTTACAGAAGTTTGCTAGGTCAATTCATGAGATTATAGATATCTCCATGAAATCAGTCAAATGGATTGACCTGTGGATGTTTAAAATTTTCTGAAGCCACCATTGCCAGTGACCATGTCCTGACCCTTTTGGCTGATCTCCTGACTTGGTTGCACCCAAGCCTTCGAGGCATCAGTGTGCTTTGCAGTCCCGAACTTTTTGATGCACCAGTCAAGGACAGCATCAAACTCCCTCCTGCTCTCTTTTGCAAGCGCTTGCTTATCTCCTTGACCTTTTGACAGCTTTTCTAGGCTGTCTACAAAGTCTCGAGCAGATTTTTGAGGAGGCATCTTGTTTTCACCTTGATCCTTTTTCTTTTCCACCTCGGCCTTTTCCTCGTCTGTGGCTTTTTCCCATACCAATTCGAAGGGCTCGGAGCTCGAGACATCGTGGTACCAGGCTCTAGTGTTGTTGAAATCTCCTTCTATACGATGGAGGATACCGTGTAGGTACATGGCTTCAAATGCTGGATCGGACTGCATGTGTCGCACCAGGAAATGGGCTGAAGGCAGGTCATGGTTGAGAAGATGTAACAGAGCCTCGAGTGCTGGATGTAAATATAAGGATGCTATCTTGTCGGTCAAGGTTGGGTCGATGGCTTTTGCTGGTGGCAGCAATGGTACGGGGAGAGTCTTGATGTGAGTGAGCAGCTCGTCAAAGCTGACAGGACTGTTTGCCGAATACACGCTGGTCATGGTTTTTGATTGTGGATTCCTACATTGCATAAACAGGCTCCTCGGAGGCTATATTTACTGGCGTTCGATTCAGTGCGCGGAACAATTTATCGTCGTCGTCATGATCCAGCAGGGCAGCGGTGGTCGGCCCGTGGCCGATTCACATAGCAAGAGACGTCATGTTACCAAACCGGGACATGTGGGAGGTGATGGAACCGGTTTTGAGTTATTCGCTGGTGGAGCTCGCGCGCTTCTTGACTAGCTCTCAGGAACAAGTTTGCTTATATACACGGTGCTGGCCTCCAAAATCTGTTCACAAGCCTCTTCAATCCCGGTAATACAAAGGCGAGCAAGTCCGTACGACGAGCGAGACGAAAGCCCCCAGATCATCGCGCCCCCCAGATTCCATCTCACCATCGCCTTGGCCCGACGTCATTCTCGAGATCGCCAAATAAACAACGCGACACTTGTTCTTCGTCTTACACAGCCAGGAGCCAGTTCTTGATTTTCTGTATTAGAATATGGTCGGCACTAGAAATGTTGCCTCGTTCGGCCTTAAGAGAAGCAAGAGCAATGGCAATGGTCGTCCGGACCAGGCAGACATCGAAAGCGGCCTAAATGGCAGGAAGAAACCGAACATGTTCAGATTCAGGGACGCCGCCCGTACTGCCCTACATGACCAGAGAAGAGAAGATCTCAAGCAGAAAATCTTGGCTGGTGTTGAAAATGTAGACATTGAGCACTTCAGAAAGTCCGACGAGGAGCTCAAGCAGATCAAAGACAAGAAAGTCAGAAAGTTCTACCAAGATCAAAACAATCGTCTCAATGACTGGGCCGAAGTCGACGCTTTGGTCAAGGCATTGGCCGATGATGTTCTAGACAGCATGAACCCAGACGCAGATGGTGATGGCCAACGAGAACGCCATGGAGGTCTGCAAGATGCCGATGGCGCCATTTGGGAGTTCCTTCCCGACGATGTCAAGGAGAACAGACAGAAGGCAGAGAAGAAGGCCAAGTGGGCCATCAACATCAACGTTATTGCCAACATTCTGCTCCTGATCGCTAAGCTTGCCGCCGCTTTCTACTCATCCTCGCTCTCTTTGATCGCCTCGCTCGTCGACTCGGCTCTAGATCTACTGTGTACTCTGATTGTCTGGAGCACCAACAGACTCGTTCAATGGCGCCTCAAAGCTCTTCGAAAGCGTTTCCCCGTCGGCCGTCGTCGCCTTGAACCCCTCGGTATTCTCGTCTTCTCCATCATCATGGTCATCTCCTTCCTCCAGATCTTGCAAGAGTCGGTACAAAAACTTCTGCCCGATGCTCCCCACAAGGCCAAGGAGTTGTCTGCTATCGCTATCGGCGCCATGCTGGCCACCATCATTGTCAAGGGTATCATTGGTCTAGGATGTGTTCGTATCAAGACCACTCAAGTGCAAGCTCTGGCCCAAGACTGCAAGACTGACGTTGTCTTCAACACTCTGTCCCTCCTGTTCCCCTTCATCGGCTACAAAGCAAACGTATGGTGGCTGGACCCCGTCGGTGCTGGTATTCTATCCCTCTTCATCATCTACGACTGGGCAGGTACCTGCTTTGAGAACGTCACTAGACTCTCCGGCCAGGCAGCCGACGAGCAGCTGCAAAAGAAATTGCTGTACCTATGCTACCGTTTCTCCCCTGTTGTCGATGGCTTCAAGAGCATCACCAGTTACCACGCCGGCGACGGTATCTGGGTCGAGATTGACTTTCTCCTCAACGACCAAGCTAAGTTGCACAGCACCCACGATATCGCAGAGACTATTCAGTACACCTGCGAGGGCTTGACAGAGGTCGATCGCTGCTTCGTCACATGTGACTGTAAGTTTTCTCTTCTAGCTAAACTTTCAAAGAGAATGCTGACCCTTTTGCCTCTAGACACTTCTGCAGGCCCAAGTGGTCACGCCGCCGACTCAGAAAGAGTCTAAAAAGACAAAGGTTTTTAAGAGCCTGAGCTTGCTCCTATAACGTTCACCATAAATCCATCTGTGATGGAAATCACTTTACTGTATGCCTTCTAGTTTGAGGCATCCAAGAAATGACATAAAGTCATTCGATTGCGACAGGCTGTGTCTGCGCGAATCAGCATCTGGCATCTGGCATCCATATGCTTTTCTCCCTTAGTTCCGCATTTTGTACCATAAAAATTGTTGTAGTTCTCAAAATTCGATTATTCTTTTGTCCAGAGTATGTGCTGCATCAACTTACTCGTGCCCCAATCATCTTTCTGTCGCGAGATTTTTGTTCTTCATAAACATTTGCGTGCCTTACCATTCTTGAAACTTAGAATTGCGTCACCAAAAGACCACTTCATTGTGACCGCATGCAGCATAGGACTGATTTGACTTGCATAAATTGATCTAGCTACGCACATCATTTGTATCGTATAAGGTCATTTTCGTGGTTTGTACTGAGCCACTCTACTTCATGTAACCATGAGCCGACAGCCACTCTCTAACAATCTCAAGATCGTGTTGTGCGTATCTGGCTCTGCCCTTAATTGTGTCGCTGACGACAGCAAGACCACGGTCATAGCCAGCGTTGTCCTTGTTCTTGAAGAAGTCGGCAATATCCTTCTCTACCTCGAAGCTCGAGAATCTGTTCAAACTCATGCGGAGATATCTCTCTAGGACGACCATGTTGTTGCCAAGACGCTCTCTCAGCATGGTCCAGTTCTCCTTGACGAAGTGCCAGACTTCGAGCTTGGTCTTTGAGTTGAGAGCCAGTGCTCTGGAAGGAGTGTGCAGGTCTTGGGTGGCGACGGCGCCGCTGAAAGACCACTTGAGGTATTCTCTGGCCAACTCAGTCGACTGGACTCTGCCGAGTGCTTGAAGAGCAATCTCCTTGCCATCGACAGAGGTTGTGTTGAGGTATTCTTTCATGACAGCATCGTATGCAGGCTTACCACCTTCCTTGACGGCAATCTTGAAGGTAGCTGTGCGCAAACTGGGGTGAATAGCCTTCTTGTCACCGCCCTCAGTGAAAGCAGTGAAACGCTTCTTAGCTTCGGCAACAGTAGCCTCATGTCCTGCCATACCAGCAGAAGCGAGCAGAAGAGCACGCAGCTGACCAGTCAGGTAATCGTCGTGGGGAGCGAAGTCCCAGCCGATCTTGTCAGTGGCTTCGCTAACCAAGCGCAGAGTGTACTGGCGAAGACCCTCAGAAACCTGCTCGTCGTCGGCAAAGACAGATCTGATGTTTCCGAGACTTGAAAGAACTTCGGACCAGACAAGGTAGTTGGTCTCCTTGGTGAAGCCCTCTAGGAAAGAAAGGACACCGGCAGTGGTTGCATCGCCTGAGATGGCGAGAGCTGCAGCATCGCCGATCAAACCAATCTTGTCCTGAGGAGAGAGCTTATCAAGCTGAGTTGAAAGTTGTGTGAGTCTCTTGGGAGGAAGGTTTGTGCGGTAGAAGCCAGTCTGTTCGGAGTTGAGCTTGTAGAAGCTGTCGTCGACGTCACGGATAGTATCCTCCTTAGCAGTGAGAGAGCCGCTCTTGACTTCGGATGTGTTTGAGCCAGACTTGAGACCAAGAGGGATCCACCAGGTGGTCTCGTCCTCTTCAGGCTTGACATCTCCACCACTAAGGAATCGAGACTGCTTGATGCTGATTTGACCGGGCTCTTCAGCTACAGTAACGACAGGGAAACCAATCTTACGGATCCAGGGGTCCATGAAAGTGTTGACGTCCTTTCCGCTGGCCTTGCTAAGAGCAGACCACAAATCACTAGTGGTAGCGTTCTGGTACTTGTGAGCCTGAAGGTAGTCGCCAACACCGTGCAAGAAGGTCTCAACACCCAAGTGAGAAGCCAGCATACGGATGACTGAGCTTCCCTTGAGATAACTGATAGAGTCGAAGATCTGATCGACTTCCAGTGCGTTCCTGACGGGAACCTCAATAGGGTGAGAAGTTCTCAAGGAGTCCAAGTTGAAAGCAGTTTGCATAGACTCAGTGACGAATTGAGACCAGACTGACCAATCCGGGTGGAGGTGGTCCACAGCCAACCAGCCGACCCAGGTAGCGAAACCCTCGTTCAACCAGAGTTCTGACCACCAGTCCATGGTGACGAGGTTTCCGAACCATTGGTGGGCAAGCTCGTGAGCAACAACGTAGACAATGCGGTTCTTGTACTTCTGGTCCGAGGCGTATTCGTCGAAGAGGACGGCGGTAGTTCTAGATATTGTCAGACGAGCAAATACAAAAACGTTCCTATTAACTTACCTGTAGGTGATCAAACCCCAGTTCTCCATGGCACCGTGTGACTAGCAGAATCTGGTCAGCATGATTTGCGCTAAGTTGAGGTATAAGAAAGGTCAGAAAACATACGAATTCGTGAACAGCCAAAAGATCGACCTTGGGAAGAGGGTATTCAATGCGGAAGATCTCGGAGAAGTAGTCGACGACCTGGTGAGCACTCTCCAGGGCCAGTTTGCCCTGTTCCTTGAGGCCTCTGGTGGTGTAGACTCTGACGGGGAGGTTCTTGCCGTTGTACTTGCGTCTAGTAAAGTCCTCGATGTATTCAAAGTCACCGAAAGCCCAAGCCAGAAGGTAGGTGCTCATGATAGGAGTGCGGTCGAAGGAAACGATCTTTGTGCCAGACTTGTTACCCTTCTTGACTTCCTTCTCAGGCATGTTGGACAGAGCGGTCTGGTCCTCTGGAATCTCAATCTCGAAGTCGAAAGTTGCCTTGAGGTTGGGCTCATCGAAACAGGGGAAGGCTCTGCGGGCGTCGCAAGATTCGAATTGAGTGGACAGCATGTAGTGGTATTCAGAGTCTCTGGGGACAGATGCGGCGGCAGGGACGGTGGGCTTGTACTTGGAACGGTAGAATCCAGCCATCTAAGATGACGGGTATGTTAGCATTGGTTCGTGTCGGGTGCGATGCGGATACTGACATCGTTGTTCATGATACCGCTGAATTGGACCGAGATGACAGCCTTGTGCGATTGAGGGATGGGCTGGTCGAAGTGGAAGGTAGCCCTCTGGTTCTTCTCATCGTAGGAGATGGTGGAAGCCTTGATAGCACCCTCGGTCTTTCCTTGTTCGGTCGAGACCTGGGCGCTGTGGACCTTGAGCTGGTGGGTGTTCAGAGTGATTTCCTTGGTGTCTTGCTTGACTTCGACGTCAATGTCGACCTTGCCCTGGTAGGACCAGCTACCGCCGAGCTCGAGATCGAATAGGGAGATGGCATAGTTGGATGGCTTGACCCTGTGTAACAACAATGTCAGTGATGTGGTTATCTAACGTGTCGGCGGAGGACATACACGTCGGGAAGAACGTCTCTGTCGGCCATGATTTTTATCAAGGTGCTTGAAGCAGAGCTTGAACAGTGTCTAGTAAGGGATTTTGTACCGAAGGATACAGGAATCAAGGATGGCTGCAAGGGCACAAAGCAGTTTAATTTGGATGCGTCTCCAGGGCGTCGGATAGGGCGTGAGTGGCGTGTGGTGTTGCACGAGTACAAACGAGGAAGGAGGGCGCTCGGGAGCTCGTTTGCTGCCCCTCCCCCGCGCTTGCCCTGCACACCCTGCAGCACATTGTGGATCCCTCGCCGAAGCAGCGACGACTTTTGCATCTGACTGACAGCCTGTCTCTGAGACAAGACGAGCACTCGAGTAATGCTCTGTCTTCCGCAATGAATAGAGCATGAACTGGTGCTTTCTGCGCGGGGTTTGCTCCTCAGCCGCCTCGGCGAATGCAGACAAGTCGGCTCTTTTCACTCATGGCTTTATTAAGCTCAAGACAGTTGCTGCTCACAGATAAATTCGTCAAATTTAGGTATTTTGGTTATGCTTCGCTTACTGGCGACAGAGCCTTCTCTTTCGATACGAGTCCTTTTTACAAATGGTTACGACAAAAAGCTTGCTCCTCGTTTGCGACCACAGTATCTGCAGTACACAGCCGAAGTCTTCTCTCGTCCGATCCTCCTTCATTACTGTACAAAGCTTCGATGCACTGCCGTGTTGACCCCCAAATATGCAATATCCCGTAGTCCCAAATGTTCTGTGCTGTCGTGTGACCCAACGCCCGAAATGCTTCTCTCATGTCATTATGCCTCCAAGGTCTTCATTCCATGGTTGTGCTCCAATCTTCTAGAGCCTTACGGCAACGTCGATGCATGGTATGCGCCACTCTTTCTTTCCAAACATCTCTTTCAACCATTCGGCCACGCTGATCTGCGGTTGTATATCGAGTCCTGTCTTCTTGGAGAAACCGTCGGTAACTGAATGCGCAATCGATGCTGCTGCCGATTGAATGACCGATGAGGCTACTGCGACGTTGTCTCCAAGAGCGGTGGTTGTAGAGTTTCCGGTATGCGCCGACGACGAGTCGGGCTGCGGCTCGAACCAATTATTGTGGAAGTCGTAGACGGAGATGACGAGAACAGTCAGGAGCAGCGAGCAGTATACGCATGGTCGGTTGAGATAGTACATGGCCGAAATGAAGAGTACCAGGTAGAGGGGCGGCACATTCGAACTGTTGTTTAGGTCAGCAACATGATCTCCACTGCTACGCTCGGCAGGACTGACATGAAGAAAAGGACTGGAAGCCATGTCCGTAGGCAAAACATGATCGCTGCCGATCCAGAGTCACTTGGCTAGGAGACCCTCTGAATTGTCTGAATCGTCCCTTAGGTTGGGTTGAGTCGAGAATAACAAAGTGTTTGGTCCCTCGTTAGGAGGGTCATCGCAAAGGCCGCGAGTCTTGGCTTCGTCACTTCCCTCCTTCGGCTCCTCCGCGCCTGACGTCTCAACCTCTACTCTTGACTGCCATCACAGAGTAAGGTGACGCTATCAAAAGGCACAATCTCATTCAGAGACAAATGCTGTCCATAAAGAGTCCATGTTTCGTTGCTTCTCAGTGTGTTTAGTTCCTGATAATATTGTGCAATCCTACAGCTAGACGTGTTACATTGGTTCACTTCACTTGAGCGTCCTCGTCCGACTGATTGCTTGAACGAACAATTCCGATCCCTTCCACCAACTCACTTCCACAGTTCTACGGTAAATTTTTATATAAAAACAGCCCCTATTCTCTTGCCGACCTCCTCCAATACATTACAAAGTCAAGTTGCCATCTCGGGCACTCGAGAACTACTGCCATTTTTCAATTCACTTTTTTTACACCATTGGCCTCTACATTCTCCTTCCACTACCAACATTCACCCTAACCCATCCCGACCACTCACCTTACCTTTCACTCAACACTATAACAACTACCTCGACATCCAAACTCTTTCTTCCCTCTACTACCTTTCAACTACATACCCCTTCTTCTTTCCCACCACATACCCCTTCTCCCTACACCATCAACACCAAGTATGGCCTCGCGATCAGAATCGCCGGATATCATTGAAACTCGTGTGGTTCTTGGTAAGCGCGAACGAGAAGTGCCAAACGAACCGGTTCCCATCAAGGTCGAAAAGGCCGATGACAACCAGAACGAGATGCCTGAAGAAACGCCTGCTACCGATAGTGGCGGCTACTTTGACGACGATGATGATCTAAGCTCAACCGCACTTTCAGATATGGAAGACGACCCCGAGAACCCCGACGACAATGAACCTGAACAAGGTGAAGTTCTTTGGCGAGAAGCTGACGAGGAGTTCCCTCCTTGCCCTGCGTATCATGAGGACGTACGCACCATATCTTCTCAAATCACGGCGATCCTGGACAAGACAGTCGAACATCTCTCAGAAATCAGTGACCAGAGCGACAGCCTTTCCAGATTGCTCGAGCAAGCTAAGGAGACCAGGAAGTTCCCTGACCCAAAGATCCCAACCATCGCGCTCCTGGGTGACGCAGGCGCGGGTATGTCTTGCTCTAAGGTAACTATGAATGCAGCTGACATGCTTCCAGGCAAAAGCTCCCTGATTAGTGCCTTGCTCGATACACCCCACATCTCCAGAGAGGTATGCAACACTTTTTGGCGTGTCGCAATGCACAGTACTCATCGATAACGACAGGGCAACTTTGGAACGTCCTGCACATGTGTCATAACCGAATACAGAAAGGCATTCTCTCAACAGAAGAAGCAGTTCGCTGCAAAAGTCGAGTTTCTTAGCAGCAAGGACCGTTGCACTCTGCTGAAGGACTACCTTTCCGATTATGTCACGTTTCACTTCCAGCAGGACGAAGACTGGACATACGACGAAGAAAAGGAATTCAGTGCTCAGGCCAAGACCGCCGAGGCAACCTTCCTGGATCTCTTCCGAGGGCAGTCAGAATTCACTACACGTGAGGAGCTGAAGGCGTACATTCATACGGCCTTTGAAGTTGCCGAGGATGCTAAGCCCCTACTTGCACAATTCGAGGAGTGGTGCAAAGAGCTCATTTTGGAACATTCATCCTCTACTGAGTCTGAGCTGATCGAAGCAGACAGAGCCTTCGAGCTAGCGAGACTTGTGGGTCCATTTCTGTCTGCCAGTGCATCTTGGAGTGACAAACCCTCGCTCTGGCCCATTGTTCGCCAAGTCAGGTAAGTTACAGATACCATGAGTACTATACATATTCTAATTCCTAAATCTATAGCATTGGTGTTCGCGGTCCCAGGATTCTTGACTATGCCATTCTTGCTGATTTACCAGGTATTAGGACTCTTTATACTTGTTTGGACCAAGCTGATCATTACTAGGCGTCTCTGACACTAATCGCATTCGAGTCAAAGCCAGCAAAAACTACATTTTGAAGAGTGATCATCTCTGGATTGTTTCGCCTATAGGCCGTTGTGCGACGGACACCAGTGTTGATAGTCTGATCTACGAATTCGGTGATCGTTTCAAAGATCGTCTGGCTATCATCTGCACCAAGACGGACGACCCCATGACATTTCAAAGTTTCGCGCAAGAATACCAGGAAGATGCAAAACCTTGCAAAAAATACGACGACGGAACCAAAAAGGCAAAGACGGATCTTTCAAATGCAAAGGCAGCACTCAGAAGAGCTACAGCTCCAACTACACGTCAAGAGCGAAGCAGAGTCGTCGAACATTGCCGCAAAAAGTACGAGAGACTTCTTCATCGTCGTCTGGAAGTCATGGTTCAGGTCAGAAACCGCAAAGTTACCGCCTTGATCATGGCTGAGAAGGCCGATCGCATCCAGGGCGAAGCGGCCAGCCTGATCTTCCCTGTGTCAAACCTACACTATTCGTGGCTCAAGGGTTACAAGGATGGGGGCAATGAAGCTTCACCACAGTTGAGCGCTGAGATGACAGGGATTCCCAAGCTCCGCGCACATGCACTTTCGATTGTCGCTAAAGAGGTCTGGACGACTTTCATGATCCACATCCGCCATAAAGTTGTTGCTTTCGTTACGGCCCTCAGAGCTTGGGCGACCGCCACCAGAAGAGGCAATGATAGTGGGGTCGCAGATGCCCATGCGAAATATGTAAAGGTGCGGTCAAACTGATCCATTGTTGTCTCCCTTCGCTCACGTTTCACAGATCATCGAAGATGCCCTGAAGGTTTATCGCGAAAGAATGGCAGGAAGAGCGACAGACCTGTTGGCCGCTCCTATGAGAAAGGCCAACCTTGAAATGGGCAAAAAGGCGCACGAATTTCTGCACAAAGAGGTCCGTGGTTGGCATTGGTGCACCATTAAGGCATTCGTGCGCAGAGGCGGGAAGTACAAGTCCAAGAGTGTGGGCCATCATTCTTGGAATGCAAAGATGATGCTACCTGCAGTCAAGTTCATGGCGAGTGGTTGGGACGAAGTGGTTTCGGAGGAGGAGGATGCCATCAAGGCTGCTCTTGCCGAGATCTTGAAGGCCCTTACCGGCACCCTGGAGGACGTGAAAGGTACGCAATTATCTGGAAGGTTTATCGATCAGGCTGACAAAAAAAACTCGTTAGAGCCGATGGAGCTCATGCAGATTCCTCAGGAGCAGTTTGAAAAGTTCCTCGACGCCCAGAAGCACGGTATTCGCGATGCCTTTGCGAGATATAAGGACGAATTCAACAAAGAGTTCCAGTAAGGACAGAACAGGCTTTTTGTCAGAAATCAAAACTGACAAGACATAGGAATGTCAAATACACTGCGGAAAAGGATGATGCTGCAGGTTACTTTGCGGAGGCAATGCAGAAGATTTACGAAGAAGCCGAGTACATGAAGGGTCAGAGCATAATCCTTGATTTCGAGATGAGTTCCAATGCTGATGTTATTAGGTACTGGTTACAAGGACGCCGTTATGACCAAGCTCGAACAACACGTCAATTCAGGCTCCAAGAGGTCGCCTTTCATCCAGATGGCTGACACATCTGCCAACAAGGTCTATCACACAGCAAGTACTACCACCAAACCTCTGGAAGCAGACTGCAACAAGATCTTCAGACAAATCTTCGACCAATTCGGTTGCATGCTAGACAACACGCCTGACCACGACGGGTCCGTCGCCGAAGTCAAAGGCAAACTTGCAAAGTATCTCGTCGACGCCGAGAAGGAGATGAAAACCATGGTCGAACGTCTCGCCGAGATTGAGCAAAACCCATACCCCGAGGGCGTCAAGAAAGAGGAAGAGTTGCCCGCTCCAAAGAAGATCAAGCTGGATCAGGACCAGTCAAACAAGGTCAAAGCACCTAAAGTCAGAAGATCTCTCAGAATCAAGAGTGAGGCCGAGGACGAGTGAAGAGCGGGAGACCAAGGTTCTCCGCTTCTGAAGAAGGACTGCGTTCTCGCTCGTGGCAGATTCTGGGATTTCACCTACCAATTTTCCTTTGTTTTCTTTGTCTTTTTTTCTTCTGATCATCCCCAGTTCTGATCATCCATCACATTGACATGCATCCACTTGCACATACACATCTGCTCGAAGGCGTTTCCAACCATCACATCACACCCCAAAGATTAACATCTTCCTGCTTCTTTGTACACAAGCATATTTCTACTTTTTGTCACCTTAATTACACAATCCCTTGGTTTATGCAGATCAACAATGCGAACATGGTCATGAAACGATATATGTGCATGGCGTAGCCCAATTGTGTGACAGGTCCCTGCTATCAAGATGACAAGCCATTGATGCATACAGCATCATTGCTCTACGTCACTTTAAAGTATCACTGTAAACTGTCACGAAAACATGAAGTAATGTGTTTTAAAACAATTCGACTTTCGCTAATGCTGGGTTGAGAGAGGGCCGAGTATTTGTGGACACAGAGGAAATCGCAGTTCTTAAAGTACACAAGCTCTTGGTAATCTCCATTCACCTCAAAACCGCCAAAAGACGACCCCTCCCTTTTTACAATGTCGCTTTAAATCTTTTGATATTCGTCGCGGGTATGGCTATGGCGATTGACCAAAAAGCTCCTCATCATTCTCCATTACGAGACATCTATTTGCCCTCAAGCTCGGCAAGAATCTTCTCACCCTTGGCGCGTGCTGAGTCGAGGTCACCGACCATGTAGAAAGCACCCTCGGGGAGGTCATCGGCCTCACCGTTCATGATGGCCTTGAAGGACTTGATGGTGTCCTTAAGGTCGACGAGCTTACCCTCGATACCAGTGAAGACCTGGGCAACGGTGAAGGGCTGCGACAGGAAACGCTGGAGCTTACGGGCACGCTCGACGGTAAGCTTGTCAGCCTCGGACAATTCATCCATACCAAGAATGGCAATGATATCCTGGAGCGACTTGTACTCCTGGAGCATCTGCTGGACCTTGGAGGCGGTGTCGTAGTGCTCCTGACCGACAATACGGGGGTCGAGCATACGAGACTTGGAATCGAGAGGGTCGACGGCGGGGTAGATACCCAACTCAGAGATACCACGGGACAAGACAGTGGTGGCGTCCAAATGGGCGAAGGTGGTGGCGGGGGCAGGGTCAGTCAAATCATCAGCGGGGACGTAGACAGCCTGGACCGAGGTAATGGAACCCTTCTGGGTGGTGGTAATACGCTCTTGCATACCACCCATGTCGACGGCGAGGGTGGGCTGGTAACCGACGGCAGAGGGAATACGACCAAGAAGGGCAGACACCTCGGAACCGGCCTGGGTGAAACGGAAAATGTTGTCAATGAAGAGAAGCACTGCAGAGCAAGTTAGTCGTGCTCAATTTCGAGCAGATAATCCACGAAAACTCACCATCCTGACCCTCCTCGTCACGGAAGTACTCGGCGATGGTAAGACCAGTAAGAGCGACACGGGCACGGGCACCTGGGGGCTCGTTCATCTGACCGAAGACGAGAGCGACCTTGGAGTCACCGTCGAGCTGAATGACACCAGTCTCCTGCATTTCGTGGTACAAGTCGTTACCCTCACGAGTACGCTCACCGACACCGGTGAAGACGGAGTAACCACCGTGAGCCTTGGCAATGTTGTTCTGTGGCAATTGTCAGCAGCTGCAAAGCGTTGAAATAGCAGATAGGAAAACGCACAATGAGCTCCTGAATGAAGACAGTCTTGCCGACACCGGCACCACCGAAAAGACCAATCTTACCACCACGGGCGTAGGGGGCGAGGAGGTCGACGACCTTGATACCAGTGACAAGAATCTCGGCAGAGGTGGACTGGTCAACGAACTCGGGGGCCTCAGCGTGAATGGGGGCGAGCTTGGCGGCCTTGATGGGACCACGCTCGTCAATGGGGTCACCAGTGACGTTCATGATACGACCGAGACAGCCGGGACCGACGGGAATCTTGATGGGAGCACCAGTGTCAACGACCTTGCGGCCACGGACGAGACCCTCGGTACCGTCCATGGCAATGCAGCGGACGACGTTCTCACCCAAGTGTTGCTGGAGCTTGTTAGATGATGTATGTTACAGGGGGGACAGTGCGGCGAAGCTTACGGCGACCTCGAGGACGAGCTTCTGGCCACCGTTCTCGGTGGTGACGGCGTTGAGAATGGCAGGCAGCTGCTCACCGTCGAACTTGACTGTGAGTATGCATCAGTATAGGTGTTCATGAGGCGACTACGACATGCGGTCGGCGACAATGGGCGCGGCGGCAGTGGCGCTTGTGCTCGGCGTCGTGGGGAAAAGGTTTTCTCATACCGTCGACGACGGCACCAATGACCTGGTGGATCTTGCCATCGGTGGAGGACTGAGTGCTGGCGAAGCGCTGGCTCAAGGCGGGAGCGAACGAAGGCTTGATGGGCTGGAAGGCGCGCTGCAGAGTAGCAGGGCGACGGGCAGAAGCCCTCAATGACCTGGCAATGCCGCTGGGAAGCGCAGTCGAGTCAGCCGGGTTGTCGTCGCTAAAGTTGGTGGCGACAGCTTGGAGCGTACCTGCTGAGCATTTTGACGGGTCTCGGGAAGGAATTGATGGGAGTGGAGAGGTGATGGAGATGGAGGTCGGTCTGCTGGGAGGTTGAAGTTCGAAGAGCCACCTCAAGTTCTTGCCGGACGGGAAAGGACCGAGCTCGAGATTCCGTGACTTTGCAACTTGGCCAGAAGCTGTGCGCTGCTGAACATTAAATCTCACCGCCCGCCTGCGCTCACTAGACAAAGCATCCAGCAGCTTCTTCAATCACGCTTGCAGCTTCATTGTGTGTCTATCTATGTTGTACCTTCTCAGTTGTGGCCGTAACCACCTCGTTCACGCAGCCAGCTCATTTCTGCTTCAAGGGTGGCCAGCACTTCTGTCCTCGAATATCTCCAGATCGTGGCTGACTATTCCTATTTGGGAAGCCCATCCGATTTGTTCCTTCCTCTGCTGCGAGACCGGTGTTTCTGTTGTCTATCAACTTTCCAATGCGCCTGCTTGCCATGTACACATTTACTCGCACCTTCCGCTTGTCCACAACTTGACAGCCTTACACGCCTCGAGCCTGCTGTTTTCGACCACTCAATGCTATTCAACATCCATCTCCTCCAACGCTACAATTGTCAAACTCCCACGTATTCGTGCTTCCTCACGTCCGGCCCAAATTCTTCGAAGAACAGAAAACTACACCGGCACAATGCCTTTGTACCCTTACAATGCTCCCTCTCTGCTTCTGTCAGCGAGAATAGCTGCCTTGCGCAACACATATTTTCAAATGAAATTCGTGTCACAGCGAGCGACACTGCTGGAGACTGGAAGATGAACTCCCTCGAGCAAAGTGTGCCATAGACTCATGCCGGCGAACACAACCATCTTCCAAACACAAAGACTTTGGCCACACTGGAAATTCAACAGTTCCATAATTCATCCTTTGACCGGTTGTCTCTGTTCTTTTCAACAATGAACATTGCCCTCATTCTTTGTGTTGGGAAGGATTGGGTGCACTCGTCTTTGTCGACAGCACGCATCAAAGCAAGCAGACAAAGACACAATCGCATTGTTCTCGCCTGAGGCTCTGATAAAGACACCACACGAGTAGGACATTCTTGCGACAACAGGACAGCATCGGATACTAACAATACAGAGACACAAAAATAACAATGCCTTCCATCCCTCAAAGATCCCTCCTCGACAAGGACACATGGCTCACAGAGTTCAACATCTGGGCTGAGAACAACAAAATCCTTGTTGACACTCTCAATCCCGACTTTTTCAAGCCGGTCATTGAAGCAGTCAGCCTTACCAACATTGAGTTCAAACTTATGATGCTCGCTAATATCTATCAATTCGCCGACTCCGATGAGGCTGTTATCGAAGCGTTAAATGATGAAATCGAACTCCTCGAGAACGAGAATGAACGTCTTGATGACTACATAGGTAAGTGTATTGCCGAGTTTCCCTTCATATCACCGAAGCTTGTTGATGAGTATCTGCTGCTTCAAGCACACGCTCGTAACACTACAAGTTCTGAAGCAAACTTCTGCGCTATCATGACCTGGTCCTCTCACTTCCCTGCTGGTTGTCAATACCTGCTGCGTGTAAGAACTGTGCACGCTCGTAGGATTGAGAACTTGAGCGCGAAACGTGATCTGATCACCTCCGGCCGTCTTCACTTTGATCAATGCTCGAGTATAGCATCACTCCTTCGCGTGGATGCGGACGATTGGCCACATGGATATGGCTATGAGCGCTCACCAATGCCGAATGGTCTTGCTGATTTCGATGCCCCATCATTGACAAACAGCGATCCCGGTAAGGCTCTCTCATACGTCCGATCTGCGGCTTTCATCCGCTCTGAGCGTCGCCGTTCAGCTCTCACTCGTCTGCAACAAGACAGAGGTGGTCTAAGTGATTTCGTCGCTCCTTCATATGTCGACATCTGGCATCATCAATTTTCCAAATGGGTCACTGATATTTTGCCCGTTTTGTTCAGAACCAACTCTGCGTATGCGGCGCAATGGATTGATCTCGCCAACGAGCTTAAAGCTTTGCACCACGATTGGACCGCTGAAGCTGAATATCAGGGCCCTCACGTCTTGACCACCAAGAACGCCTGTTTCTCATTGTCAAGAGACAAGACGCGTGTGCGTCGTGAAGCCGGTAAGTTTTCCCTCCCTGCGAGACATCACCCTATCTGCATTGAACTTCATCATTGAGCGAGGTAAGTGTAATTATTTCTGTTTTTGTATCCTGTTGTCTCATGATGCCAAAATATTTTTCATCCTGAATTCTTCTTCCCTCTATGTCGTGCTGAGCTTCTAGTAGTTATAATGATGTTGTTGCCTCTTCTTGTCAATCATCGATGTGATGTTGACTATTTTTGTATGCCTTCAGCATGGGAATCGCTGATTTCTCTTGTGTTCGACGAACGGAAACAAAAAAAACCACAAAAAGGTATTCTCAGCATCTCGCCCCACACACAGGCGAGCACGTCACTGCTCAAGACAGCCTCACTATTGCTATATAAAGGGTATCAAAGCAAATTGCCGTCGTAATCAGAACCTCATGGAAGAAACAGGGTCATACCCTCAACATCCAAATTCTTGAAGCCTTCCAGCACGGTCCCTCGCCACTAAAGACAGAAAAAGAAAATGTAGCCATCATCGACAAGAGTATTCCGCTAGAGCCATTGTCGAGACTGGAGACAAAACAAAAATCAAAAGATTGATGCCGCTTCTGTGGATCGAACACAGTGCCTCCAGAATACTCTCTGCTAGTGCAAGGAATGGACAGAAGTTGACTTCAGTCTGGCGCTCTCCCAGATGAGCTAAAGCGGCTTTTGATGAGGATGGCTCGAGCGTTGTCGTTTAACAATCTGTGTCGGTCGCTGTCTGCCGCTGTCTGGACGGAAGCTGTGAGACCAAGCATTCGCTGGGACATGGAGCAACAAATCTTCTGCAAGACGTGGTTAACTAAGAGAGCATGAGATCGATGATGTACATTTTGTGCATTTTCTTCTTCTGGGGTGGTGGTAGTAATATTCAAATCTATAAAGTCGAGTCGTTTCCCTCATCTCATCGTTCCTGTGGGATTAGATATCATAGAAAAAGCAAACAAGATCAAGACGTAGACGCTTTCAATTACAGAGAGGATTCGAGTGCAAGAACCTGCAGAGACATAATTAGCAAACAGTGTTCTTTTTGGGCCGAATCTGAAGGTTCAAAAACTTACAATGGCTGTTCTGGTGGGAATGTAGACTTGGAGGAAGTTCTTTCTGTTGTTCCAAGCAAAGTCGGTGGTGAAGAAGCGGGTGCTCTCATCAACACGTCCCAAGCCGCCGAACGAGGGGCTGTCAGAGTTGAGGATGATACGATAAGTTCCCGCCTGCTCGACACCGACGCGGTAGTCGGTGAAGCTGTTTGAAGGGTGGAAGTTGAAGATCCAGAGAAGACCGGCACGCTCAAAGACAATGACCTTGTCATTCTCGTTCTTGAGAGAAATGTAGGCTTGCGGAGAGTGGAGCCAACCATACTTCTCCTCAGTCCACTGCATCTTGCCGTCGAAGTCGTTCAAGAAGTGGTAGCGAAGCAGCTTGTCGTCTACAAGGTTGAACTGACGGCGAGCGTAGTGGAAGCTGTTGCCGTTGCCCTCACGAGGGAAGTCGAGCCATTCAGGGTGTCCGAACTCGTTGCCTTCGAAGTTGAGGTATCCCTCACCTCCCAGACCATGAGTAATGAGACGGATCATCTTGTGTAGCGCCATACCACGCTCAATGACGGGAGTGAACTCGCTGAGAGTAGACATGTTGGTGTACATTTCGGCATCGCAAAGCCAGAACAGGAGAGTCTTGTCACCAACCAGAGCCTGATCGTGCGATTCTGCGTACGCGATGGTCTTCTCGCCATGTCTTCTGTTTGTGAGAGTGAAAGCGAGGTTGCCCATATCCCAATCGATATCCTGCTTCTCCTTCAGCCACTTGATGTACAAGTCGGGGACAGCCATGGCAAGTCTGTAGTCAAAGCCAATACCACCAAGAGAAAGAGCCAAGCAGAGAGCGGGCATGCCTGAGACATCTTCGGCAATGGTGATGCAGTTGGGGTAGATTTGGTGCAACATCTCGTTGGCAAGCATGAGGTAGACGACACCATCCTCGTCAACTCCAGGGCCAAAGTACTCGTGGTAGCCACCGGAGAAACCCGTTCCAATACCATGGTGGTGGTAGAGCATGCTGGTCACACCGTCGAAACGGAAACCGTCAAAGTTGTACTCCTCCATCCAGAAGCGGAGGTTGCTGAGCAGGAATCGAAGAACCTCGTGGTGGCCATAGTTGAACAATCTGCTGTCCCAAAGCTCATGTCTGCCTTTTGCACCCTCGTGGAAGTAGAGGTGATCACTGTTGTCGAACATGTTCAAACCATCAAGCACATTCTTCGAAGCGTGACTGTGAACAACGTCTAACAAAACAGTGATACCCATGCCGTGGGCAGTGTCAATGAGCTCCTTCAGGTCATCTGGAAGACCGTAGCGACTGCTTGCAGCGAAGAAGCTGTTGATTTGGTAACCGAAACTGGCGTAGTATGCATGTTCCATGATAGCCATGAGCTGGATGACATTGTAGCCCAGGTTGTGGATTCTGGGTAATGTGTTTTGTGTGAACTCTTTGTAGGTAGCGACCTTTGGGTCTGGCGATGAAATACCAACGTGGGCTTCGTAGATACGTGCACTCTTGGGCTTCGGGGGCTTGGGGTGCTTGAAGGTGTAGCGCTCGTTCTTGGGAGGGTTCCAGAAGCGGGCATCGTAGACGGGAGAGACGTTAAGGTCTTGTGTGACTCTTGTGATCCAAGCGGGAATACGCTCTTGTCTGGCGTGATCGTTGGGTACGACGAAGGAGACCTTGATCTTGGAATCATGAGGGATTGCAGGCTTGCCATTCTGAGCAGGCAGAGTGATCTCGAAGACGCCGAACTCGTTCTTCTTCATCTCGTGCGAGTCGCGGTTCCAGTTGTCTGGGCCTTGTTAGCCAGAAAAGCAAAGATTGGCATGTGGTGGGCTTACTGAAGTCGCCAATGAGGTAGGCTCTCAGAGCGCTTTGAGCCCATTCGCGGTAGACTATGTCGCCATTGGGCTTGACGTTGAAGCCGAGAATCTCGTAGCCCTGGTCAAGCTGTCAGCTGGTGTGGCTGCCATGGAGCAAGAGATATGCCTACTCTTGTGAACTTGTCGAAACCGCCTTCAGTCTCGTCAATTGTCTTGATCCACTTTTGTGCTTTGGAGTATCTGCTCTTGAGCGAATCTTTGAAGGGCTCGAGGTAAGGATCGAGCTTGATGACGCCTGCAGAGCTTGGGTATCAGTAGGTGGTATGGGCGAGAGACAATATGCAACATACCCGTGCCGTCAGCGGGAATGTCATCGTTGGCCGGGTGGCCTCCAATCGAGTTGTCGGAAGTCTGGTTGATAGGATCCATGATTGGGTACCTTGTGACAGACGATGAACTGAGAGAGATCTTGTCGGGACAAGATGTGTATACAGGAAGGAAACAGGAGCAGGAGGAAAGCAGACGGCGTTTTGATGTGCAGCAAAAGTGATGCGCATCCTGATTCTGCTCCACCCCCAGCTCAGCAGTTCTCCAGCTCCCCTCCAGACTTATGATGCTATCCCGCATGCACTAGCCGCTTTCGGCCCGACTTTTGGCACCTGCTGCTCAACATTTGGCTTTTTCTCGTCCAACGCGACCTCGCCGGGGCCCAGACTGTACCATTTCCTTCATTTGGCGCTTCAACATGATCGCCTGCCTCAGCGGCCATCCGCTGGATTTTAAGCTGTTCACACAAACGTTTGCCCGACATGTCGCAGACAGAGACAGTGATAGCTACGTAAGTACCTTAGCTTGGGCGTTCGTCGGATGCACATCCGACCGACCTATCAAAACCCTTGGCCCTAGCCACAGCTGCTCAAGAGCTTATCCTTATCTCCATGCGGGGCTGCTGCATGCCCGAGTCATCATCACTTCGGGTCAATCACTTGCCATCGTCGGTCGGTCGTTATAGCGGTGCTGTGCCGAGTCTTCAGGTAGGCCTGTCCATCTCATATCTCGTTGATCCTGTCATCCCACCATGCTCGCCGCACAGAGCCGGTCTAGTTCTTCCCAGGCCCGCCTAGTATACCACTGCACAAGATCTTTACATTCAACCCCCGCCAGCTTTTCGAGCCCCTCCGACTTCCGCTCTAGTATCTCCGGCCAAGGCTTCACTGGATATTATGAGCCAGGTGAAACCGAAGGTCCTCTACGGAAAGCCTCTAATATTGGCGCTCCCAAGATCACTCCACGCGCCCTCAAAAAGCATCTTGACCAGTTTGTAGTCGGCCAGGAGAGAGCAAAGAAGGTCCTCAGCTCGACCATCTACAATCACTATCAGAGAATCCAAGAAATTCAGCGTCAGCATGAGGAAGCGCAAGAGATACTCGAGCGTCAGGCCAGGCGGTCGAGACATCCTGTAGAAGGTTGATACTGCTCTACACACCACTATGACCATCTGCTAATCACTGCAGACAGATGAATTTCCCGGCCATCACGCTACCATACACGCTTGGGTCCCACCCTCTCCACCTCCATCGCCCTCCCTCGACGACTCATCCCCCCTGACTATCGAAAAGTCCAACATCATGCTGCTTGGTCCATCGGGAGTTGGAAAAACACTTATGGCAAAAACACTGGCTCGCGTGCTCGACGTACCCTTCAGCATGTCGGACTGTACTCCATTCACACAAGCTGGCTATATCGGCGAGGACGCGGATGTATGTGTACAGCGCCTATTGGCCGCCGCGAACTACGATGTGGAAAAGGCTGAACACGGAATCATCTGTCTCGACGAGATCGACAAGATTGCCACAGCCAAGGTGTCGCACGGCAAAGATGTTGGCGGAGAAGGCGTGCAACAGGCATTGCTCAAGATCATCGAGGGCACTACTCTACAAATACAAGCCAAGCAAGAAAGAGGGAACAACGCAAATCGCAATAACAACCAGTATCCGACCAGTTCGCCCACCAACAGTCCACTGAGTAGTGGTGGCGCGGCTGGAGGAATGGGCCAGCCACCAGGCAAGAGCGAGGTCTTCAACGTGAACACAAGCAACATTCTATTCATATGCACCGGTGCATTCAGTGGATTGCACAAAACAATTCTTGATCGTGTAGCAAAAGGAGGCATAGGATTTGGTGCCAATGTGCGTTCAAGCACAGCTCAAGATGGTGGAGCTCAGGAGACAACCATCACCGATGACGACGAAATGATCCGCAAACATCTTCCCTATTACATGCCACCAGCTTTTGAGGAGGACTCATACAATCCCACTCAAAAAAGCAAGAAGGCCAAATACAACGTCTTGGACCTTGTTGAGCCGCAAGATCTGCAAAAGTATGGCATGATACCTGAGCTAGTCGGCCGCATACCAATCTCTTGTGCACTGTCCGCGCTGGACGTGGATGCCTTGGTCAAAGTCTTGACGGAGCCGCGAAACTCATTGTTAAAGCAATACGAACAGCTCTTCCGGCTTTCCTCAATAGAGCTTAGAATCACAACGGCCGCCCTTCATGCCATTGCAGAGACTGCCTTCACCATGGGAACTGGTGCCAGAGGTCTTCGCACTGTTTTAGAGAGGCTCCTTGGAGAGAGCATGTTTGAAGCTCCTGGCTCAGACATCAAACACATTGCCATAACTGAAGATGTAGCCAAGCGGAACTCACCAGCACTCTACTTCACTCGAGACGGGAAAACGAGATTCAATTCTCTCATTGCTAGAGAGGAAGAAGAATGGGAAGATCGCAAACGCGGCGAAGAGCCCATGGAAAGTGAGTTTGAGCGCAGAGCAAGAGCGAACAGCCGCGGCGGACATGCGACGACTTTTGAAGAATACCGTCAGAAAGCCTCTGCCGCCGGATTTACATGAAACATGTCCTGAATTGCATATATGGCATCGTGTATTCTGGGAAGCATTAACGATTGTAATGAGTCTGAATCTATTCTTCAAGTGTATTAAAACATTGTTGGCCTCTTGTTCTGTATGTTTTGGCAGGGAGTCCAGCTCTTTATCTTCCTGACATACTTCATGCGAGCTTCTTGGTGTGAGCCTCTCTGAGCTTCCACATACCGAAAGTACGCCAGAAGAGGTAGTCCTTTTGAGAACTGTCAGTGGCATCTCTAGTTGAGTGTCTGAATGACTTACGAAGATGCTGGATGGCAGGAAGGTGCTCGCGAACCAGACCCAATAGGAGAAGGCACCCTCCCAAATTTGTCTCTTGTGGCGGCCGCCGAGCACCTGGCTCACGACAGACTTTGCATACTTCTCAGTGGGCATGCCAACCTCTTGCGAGTGCTTTGTGCGTCTCATGTATTCGGGCTCAATGGGCAGATAGATTGAATCCCTGGGCAACTGCCACTCGTTTCTGGCGATCCTGCTCTTGACGCCGCCAGTCACGACGGTAAGGACCTTTACATCAAAGGGCTCTAGCTCTACTCTGAGCGTGTTGCTGTAGGAGTGCAGTGCGGCCTTTGTCGAGTTGTATACAGAACCGAAGACGTATGGCATGACGCCAGCCAAACTGCCGATCTGGACAATTGTACCCTTGGCTTCAATCAACAGCGGTGTGAATGCCTGACACATGCGCATGACACCAAAGACATTGACTTCGAACGTCGACTGGACTTGATCAAAGTCAATGTCGGTGGCAGGGACAGTGTAGTTGCGACCAGCATTGTTGACGAGATAGTCGAGCTTTCCACTTGTGCGCAATGCAATCTCCTCTTTCAAAGCCTTGATGCTTTCAGGGTCGGTGACTTCGAGCGAGAGCGTTTCAATTCCCAAGTCGGCAAGGTCGGTAATGCTGTCAGTTTTTCTGGCGGTTGCGAAGACGCGAAGGCCTTTGGCATGGAACTCGCGTGCGAGCTGGTTGCCGATGCCGCCGGCGTTTGTGCCGGTGATCAGAATCGTCTTCTGGGACATGATTGTGTGTGTTGATATCTAAAGTGCTTTATGCTCTAGAGCTCAGATGCCAGCTCGGTCTCGTACGGATAATTAGAAGCTATGACACCAGAAGAGAGATGTAAGTGGACGAACCCTGGCCGATAGTGCACTGGCGCTCATCGGTCAAGCTGCCGAGAGCCTTGGAGATAAGGCTAACAACGACAGGCACAACTTATCAGGTAACAGAAAGGTGAGCAGAAACGAGACGACATATACTGTGTTCTCGTTGGAGACTTCAAGCCGTAACACACTTCCCTACAATGCTTCAAGTTCTACTGTACGCCCGTAACGAATGGAAAGCCCGCTTCAAGCCGAAGCCTTGCACACAGGCGGACCACTAGATCTCCCTCCCCCAGACGCACCCACGGACCATAGCAGATAAAAAAAATTGGGTCGTGGGAACCGGTCTGCGCCCGAATCCTTCAGACGCAATATCGGGCAGTCCAGACCTCGAGAGCGCTGCACGTGTAGAAGCAGGGTGAAAGAACAACTCGCTGGCATCCCGTTCAATTGCCTTTTGATGTTGGATCCTTTCGCCAATCTTTGCTCCTTCCAAGGTAGGAGGGCACGCGACAGTTTTCAACGCCAACTGCTTTAGGTAGGAGCCATGACTTGTCCTCACGCAGCGTGCACATGGGGCGAAAAAAGCATCAACCATGGCACCGAACCATCGACGGCGGTCAAACTAAAACGTACACGTACTTTTGTAGCAGTGCCTTATCACCACCTATTAAAATGTAACTAAAACCCGCCCTAAACCCGCGTCCAAGCCCTGTCTTTGGTTTCTTTGGCGGATCCGTTTTTCTCTTCTTCTCTCCCCTCCTTCTGTCTCGTCGCCGCTATCTCTGTCGCTATCAGATAAGGCACGCAGCACAGATAAAGGACGGCTCGCGCCTGCATCCTTGCCCGCTCTCAGGACATTCTCTCCAGCGACCGCCCAACCATGACTTTCCAGTCCGCAAAGGCTACGGCCATGGAGAAGAAAACGAATGCTGTGAATGCCTTCAAGAGCTGGGACAACTTCAAGCAATGGGTTCGTGTACCAGACACGATCTTGGACCGCCATTCGCATGAAGAGTCAGGACCGACATGGTCCAACGAGGATCTTGATCCAACTCCACCTGAGAGGCGCACTTGGAGATGTGAGTACTCGTTTGGACATTCCTGAATATGGGTGTCTAATCAGGGTCTAGGGTACAACTACGTCGTCTTCTACTTTGCCCTGTCGTTTGGTAACTGGACTCTTGGTTCGAGTTTGATCGGTATCGGCCTCAACTACTGGCAGGCCATCCTCGCCATCTTCATCTCGCAGTTCATCAGTTCTGTTGCCATGCTGTTCAACTCGCGCTGTGCTTCGGTCTACCACATTGGTTACCCCATCGTTGCACGCAGCGTCTTCGGCATGTGGGGATCCTACTACTTTGTGGGTGCCAGAGCAATTCTGGCAGTGTAAGTTTCTGCGTTTGGCATTCCAAGACTTCGAATGTCTAACCAAGATGTGATAGAGTCTGGTTCGGTGTGCAAGCCTTCTCTGGTGCCTCGCTTGTAGCAAACATGCTGAGAGCCGTGTTCGGACACAACTACACAGACATTCCCAACCACATTCCCAAGTCTCAAGGAATCACCTCTGCAGGCATGCTCGCCTTTTTCCTTTTCTGGCTGGCTCATTTCCCTCTGGCCATGATGCGTCCTTACCAGCTGCGCACCTTCTTCAACGTCAAGACTTGTCTCATGATTCCCGCTGTGTGGGGTCTTTTCATCTTCTGCATGGCCAACACTCACGGTGAACTCGGCACCGACAAGTTGTCAGCAGCCGCTGGCGGGAGTGCATCTGGAAAGTGGGGATGGTTCTTCATGAACGCTGTCAATGCTGGTCTTGGAAACACTGCCACTTTGATCACCAACCAGCCTGATATTGCAAGATGGTCCAAGACGAGATCTGGCGCCATGTGGTCGCAAATGATCACCAACCCTCTTGCTGTCACTCTGTCTGCCAGTCTGGGTATCTTATCTACCGCTGCCATCAACAATGCATGGGGTCTTTCGCTCTGGAACCAGTGGGATCTTCTTGACGCTATCATGAACAGATACTGGAGAAGTGATGTTCGCTTTGCCGTCTTCCTTACTGCTGGATGCTGGGCTGTCTCTCTTTTGGGAACCAACGTTGCTGCCAACATGATTCCCTTCGGATCAGACTCTAGCATGTTGTTCCCTCGCTACATTACTATTCCTCGTGGACAGTTCTTGGTCACTTGCTTGGGCTTTGCGATTGGTAAGATCATTTTTCTACCGTCGTACAGTGAACTTCTCGCTAACAATATACCTCATAGTCCCATGGAAGATTCTCGCGTCCGCCTCCGTCTTCACCACTTTCCTCGCCGGATACGGTCTCTTCATGGCCTCTGTAGTCGCAATCATGATCTGCGAGTACTTCCTCCTGACCCGCGGCAACCTCTTCATCGCCCACTGCTACAACGGCGGCAAAGAAAACCCCCACTACTACTACTTCTACGGCTGGAACCCTCAAGCCGTCATCGCATACCTCTGCGGTATCGCTCTGCCCTTCCCTGGCTTCGTAGGCAGCTTGGGCGCCGATGTCAGCACTACAGCTCTGAACATGGGTCACATTGGCTGGTTGTTGAGTTTCACGACCAGTTTCGTCATCTACTGGGCTATCTGCAGCGTCTGGCCTACCAAGAACCAAAAGATCATCAAAGAGATGGGATTGAGATTTGAGGAGATGGCTGACAGAGACATGATGGCTCTTGACGGTACCATCATTCCTGAAAGTGCCGAGGGCATGTCTGAAGACCACGAGGTTGTCTGGGATGCTGCTGAGAAGAAGGGTGTCGCTTTCGACTCGCGCAGAGTCAGTGACTGAGGAATGTATGTGACGATGATGGACGATTTCTGGACGACGACCTTCAAGGATCAAAAAGCAAGATATGATCAATATATAAAGCACTGAATCAATATACAATCACGGTTGTAGACTTGTATTCCATCTACATACCTCTCATCCATTTATGCATGCTGCTTGTTGTGGTGTAGACATGTAAACGAGAGTCTCACATGCTGACAACACAGTATGTCAGGAGTGGACAATTGGCACACGGGCTGTTCACTTGATTCTTAGGAAGTTTCGATTCTATCACTGATGATCCTCATACACGAGTTGCACCTCTGCTCCTACTTCGGCTCCGCCTCTCAGCCCTTTCAGCAACAGCCGCATCCCTCAGCCATCTTTGCTGAAATGTCCGCTGCTGTTGATGCTGCTTGGCCACCACACTAGGCTTTGGTCTGACCTGATCAATGCGAGATGCGTCGGACGATATATCCAAAGGCCTGATCGAGGGTATTGTGGTAGCTTTCGGAATTCGACTCCGCTGCTGAGTAGTAGATGCTACACCAGGTCTAGCCCCATCTCCAATGGCCCCCAAAGATGGATTCGTGCTGGGTAATGGCACCTCAGCCTCCACAAGGGTCGCCTCATCTTCATCCGCCTCAGACGCTTGAGAATTCGCCGACATTGCTAAAGTCATGATAGGTGATGCCTGAGAGACCTGATTGTTCGCCACCACTTGCTCAGATGTGATTGTTGGTCCAGATGCTTGAGGCGATGCAAATGGCAGCACGGACTCAATCGATTGCGAAGAAGAGGAAGATGGCACAGCTGGTTCGACGTTGGCAGATGGAAGAGTGGACGGGCTGTTGGGAAACTCGCCTGGCATGAGCGGGCGATCAAGGTTGAATTTCTGCTCTCGACTGTTTGAGCTCATCATGCCAAATTCCTGTGTTGCAGCATCAACCAAGTCGAGCAGGTCAGGCATGGTCTTCGCTCGTCTTCGGAGACAATCAGGTGAAGCATCCAGTATGATTGAGCGTCGGCCGTTGATGTTCCGGGAGAAAGCTGGAGCTTGTCTGATGTTATCCTTTGGAAGAGATGCTACCTCTTCCGAAACCTTAGTAAGGTCGCGCGAGAGCTTTTGAGTCCAATCACTATCTGGCATACCATTACGTATGTTGGAGATGACTTTGTCTAGACTGCCGCTGTGTTCAACGATGATGGCATCAATCATGTCACCAAGATCGGTCGCCACGATACCACCAAACTTATCTGGAGGCAGCTCAGACACAGTGGCTCCAGGTACCTTGACAATTTGGTTGTCGACGCTTGTTCCCACAAGAACGTTGGATGGCTGGTCAGGCTCAGGGGGCGTTCCTCTTTCAGTGAATATCGAGCTGCTTGCGGATCTGAGAGGTTGACCCTTCCGGGTGCGGGAAGTCTGTTCATACATGTCGGTTTCGCGCTCCATGATTCGTTGTTCGGCGAGGCAGTCAGGACAGATATTGGGAGAGACTGTTGTTCCACTGGTCTTAGCAAGACGTGTGCCAATAGCCCACGGGCTCAGAGGGTCGACTTGTTGTCTGATGCGATGGCCAGTAGGAATGTACGCACCACTAAAAGCCCTGTCCATGCCGGCTGGTACGCCCTTTCTAAGCTTAAGCTTGCGGCCATGTCGATAGCAAATTGGTTGACTGTCGATTGGTATTGCTTCCTTCTCGATGTTTGCTGATAGATGAGGTTGCTAACGCTTGGGCATCGGGCAATGAACCACAGGGCTTCTACGAGGTCTTGACTGTGAGAGGGGTGTGTCAGGCCGGATGGGGCTTTGGGCAGAGTCTCTTCGAGGAAATGGTGAAGCTTGTCTGAGGACATCTTCTGAATTGAGAGTGGGTGGCGGATTCAGGGGAGGAACAGGCTCAATGGATTTTTTAGGGAGATTTGATGACAGCTGCTCGAGGCTGTTGATTGCTCGGATTCGATCAGCAACGCGACCAGACTGACGAAGAGAAGGCACGACGCCCGGAGCATTCGAACGTCTCTGATCCGTAGATATAACTTTAGTGCTGAGGGGCTGGAGCTGAGGCCTGAGCTGGAGCGGGAGTCTGAGCTGGGGTTGACTTTGGGGTCCGTCTAAGTTTGGCGGCGAGAGCCATGGATTTGAGCTTGAGCTTGAAGATGAATGCTACCATCCAAGCTTTTGCATTGACCATTGATGCTGAATAGGTGCTAGAGATACGATAAAGAAACTGTCAGGCTGTACTGTGGGTCAAGCGATGGATGAGTGTATGTTGGAAAGCAAAAACAGGAATGAGGCTTGTGTTTACATGGTCGATTGTGCCAAAACTAGCAGGCGCTTCAAGCTCACAGGTCACCAAAAGTGGAAAGCGCAATGCACCAAAATTGAACAAAGCCTCGGGCAAAGCAGACGGTTTACTATACATTTTAGAGATGCGACCTAAGTACAACCGCTAGTGCACTTATTTCAGGAAGGCCTGGAGGCTCTCCAAAACCTGCGTTCAGTCAGTATATTGAGATTACAGCTATATCAGTCTGGAGAATGCTCACCTCAAGCTCGATCTTGGCCTCGGCGATGTCCTGCTCGCTACCACTGCCGCTTGCGATCTTCTGAGCCTCGGCGATCTGGTTTCTGACGGCCTGCACTTCTTGTAAGCATCCAAACTGCTGCGTTTGTTGCGACAGATACATACCTCGGCGCTGAAGTCCTCGAGAGGGAAACCCTCAACAGCGTTGATGCTGAGCTTGGAGCCGGGCTGGACGGTAGCGAAACCACCAGAGACTATAATTCCATATATCAGCCACCTCCTCGAATCCATATCGTTTCCAACTTCTTGCAACTGTTCTGTGCTTGGGGTTTATCCAAAATGGAGGGTGTAAGACGTACGGAAGAACTGCTTGCTGCCGGCGGACTCCTCGATAACCTCAACGAGGCCGGGTCTCAGCTGCTCAATAGAGGGAACGTGGCTGGCGAGGACACCCATGTCACCAGTCTCGGCGGGAATGTTGACCTGGACACTGCAGGATCCGAAGGTTAGTTGTGCTCGTCCGTGCCTGATGGCGCTATCAGGGAAAATTGTGGGGATTCGTACACATCCTGCGACTTGTAGATAGCCTGTAGAGGGTATACACGTTAGCAAAGGTCCATTTTCTTCCATCCTCTTTCTAGCGAGCATTCGATCGGGTGCAATATGTAGACGGAGCAGGGCGGAGCGAGCGTACTTGGTGAGGAAGGGACAGAGACAGCTGGATCTTGTCCGAGGCGACATCGGCGTAGCCTCTACGGGCAAGGGGAGCAGCGAAAGCGGTAGGGCGGACGCGCAGGGCGGCGCGGGCGACACGGAAGGAGTTCATGATGAGCGGCGGTCGAGCGAGGGAGTTCGTCAATTGCACAATGTCTGCAGGAGCTGGTGCTTGCGACGTTGGTCCGCCATCTCTCACTCCCGCATCCAATCCTCGGCTTTTGCCGCGACACTTCCGACTTTGTCGTCCCTTCTTGGCGTTGACTTGACCACCAACTGTTTCTGCTACCGACGATTGAACTTGTGCCTTGATCTTGAGCATCGGGCGATTGCAAACTTCATCTGGAAACTATCTGTGCTATCCATGTCTACTGACCTGTTTCAACAATAGTGAATAGGAAACAGTACTGTCTCATACAGGTCGTGTTCTCTTTCTCTGCAAAACACCATATTGCCTTGTTTCCGAATCTACATACAACCTGAAGTATTCATGTCTTATTAATAGAGTAGAATCTCTTCTGTGCGCATCACAAGACTCGAGGCCTAGACCCACTGCAACATGGCTCTCAATTTCTTGATTGTTTGCCGTCTACAAGTGACCGCACTCATGACGGAACTTGCAATGTCCAGACTCAACCCATTGGTCTATCCATATTGTGTAGCAGCATTGATCAAGGTTAGATGCGTTGCGCATGTTCGGTGGTACAGGTAGGCCGGTCTTGTGCCCTGGATGCTACTTGATAATGAAACAACACCATCTACACAGCCCCTAGGATTCTGACATGTATCCCTAGGTATGCTCAAGTGCAAACCATCTGATACGCTGTCTTATGATTCTTGTCCTTCAACACACCCTCGAGTGACACAATGTTTGAGTCTAGATAAATTCACCAAATTCGACTGTTCAATGTGAACCACATGTCTCCTTTATCCGCAACGTCTGTCTCTCATATTTTGGCATCTGCCACAACAAGGCCACCATTCCAGATCAGTCACAGTCCCGTGGTGATGATAGACACGGCCCAATCTCCTCCACCAACGCCACATGGTTATGTGCTCTGGCAAAAGCAGACGCTGCGCGAACAAAAGGATGCTGTGGGAAAACCATTTCCACCTCAGTACGTTGAATTAAGGGGCTGGAAGTTTGTACGTATCGAGGACCTGGCTATTTGTGCCCAGCCACCATCCTCAGGCTTGCCTTCATTTGAAAGGCGTGATCAGGAGCTCAACGATGAGCCTGAACAATTGGTGGAGAGGGCCAAGGTCAAAGAATACATCTTCACAGGCTCTCGCGAACAAGACATCCACGCATTGCATGACTACATCGAGGCTTGCAACAAGGCCATTCATGCTCTTGATCCTGCCAATCGAGAAGCACGTACACTGGCAAGGTTGAAGCTTCGGATGGACATGACAATCCTTAGAGAGTCACTGAAAGAGGAGCTTGAGGTATGCCGCATAGTCCATATCGACCCATTCATGCTCACAGGGGCTAGGTCTTGACAGAAGAGAACAGTGAAGATGGCTACCAGGGATTCGATGATGGGCCGATCGACGAATGCCAGTTCCCGCGATCGAAGATGCGACCGAAAGGATATCGTTGGTCCTGTCCAGGGTGGCTATGATTGTGTCGTAGTCAGTATCAGCATGCTGCTTGATATGTATGGAGTGATCTGCGGGTCGTGTCCTGATTGAGAATTCCAAGTTTTCCATTTGATGACGAATGAAGACTCTCTTTACTTCCACTTGGTGTTTGGGTATCAAAATGCAACATCCTTGTGGCAGTGCCCGCCGTGCCTAACCATTTTCCCAGCCTCAAAACGCCGTCGCTCTTTTCGTAGATGATTCGTGTATGGAAAAATATGCAGATTACATGTCGTCGATGCTAGTGCCGTCGCGACTGATAGGCGTTAGTCTTAGTGTCAGGCAGTGTCGACGTATGGAGAGTGAACTCACGGGATGTACTTGACGCCGGCGGCTTCGACGGTTGAGATGATTTCTTCAGGCAGCTGGGCGACACAGTTAGTGGTATTGAAGCGGTGTATGCGCTAGCTGTCTGCTTACAATGCCAGTGACCTTGACAGCGTAGACACCAGGGACATAGCTGTCGAGGCGCTGCCACCTGGCTACCCAGCTGGTAGTAGGGTCGGCAAGAGTGATGAGGCCCTCAAAGACCTGGCTGGTACATTCCTGGATGGCATCGTCGTGGCCAGACAGCTCAAGGAACTCTTCGCAGTTGGGGCATCCCTCACGGCGGAAGCGCGAACCTGGGAGGACAATGCTGCAGACCATGCAGGCGCGCAGCGAGCGGTGTTGTGAGGGTGGCACAAAGTTGGACATTGTGGTGGATGTGATGGTAGGCGACAGAGAAAGGAGAGTGTGAGAGATGTCGTCTTTGTCGAACAGATGTTGATGATGATGCTCAAAGCGAGACGCATCCAGAGCCAAAGCCAGAGCCACGCTAAGAGTTGCTCCTAGCCCGTCGGCTAAAACTATCAACATCTTCCACCCCACATGGCAGGCCAAGCTTTCTCGACCGCGGCGGCGGCGGCGGCGAGCAACAGAAAGTGGCATATCCAAGTGTCTGTGCTGCTTTGTGAAATTCCACCATCTTCCCCTCTACATACATAGCATTCTTGGAGCTTGAACCCATATTTTTCATCTGGTCTTGCTTGCTCAGCTCCATATCCGCTCTATATACTAGAAATCAGCTTCGCCTGCGCCATCTCTTACCAAAACTCTATATAACATCCCTCCACCATAACCATGGAGGAGGCAACCGCCCTCAAGAATCAGGGCAACGATGCCTTCAAGAACAAGGACTGGCCCAAGGCAATCGACCTCTATACTCAGGCTATCGATAAGTACGACAAGGAGCCTTCATTCTACACCAACAGAGCCCAGGTTCGCAACAAGTCGCAATCCTATCTTCTGCGTCTGCCCCACTAACTTGACGACAACAGGCTCACATTCGACTTGAAGCATACGGATACGCTATCGCGGACGCTACAAAGGCTATCGAGCTGAACCCTGACTTTGTCAAGGTGCGAACTACCAAATTCAACCCGTCCACGTGCTCTCCTACTGACACTCGACCAGGCCTACTACCGCCGCGCCGTCGCCAACACCGCCATCCTGAGACATTCCGACGCTATCCACGATTGGAAGATTGTTGTCAAGAAGCAGCCCTCGGACAAGGTCGCCCGCGCTCAACACGATGCTTGCCAGAAGGTTATTAAGCGCGATGCCTTTCTCAAGGCCATTGAAGCCCCTGACGCTCCCTCAGCCGCCGAGGGCCTCGACCTGGCCAACATGGCCATTCCCTCCGACTATGACGGTGTCAAGCTGGGAGACGAAATGACGCTGGAATTCGTTGAGGATATGATTGAGCGTTTCAAGAATGGCAAGAAGCTGCCTCTAAAATACGTGTACCAGATTGTTCTGGCCGTCAAGGACATTTGCTACAATGAACCTACCATGGTAGAGACGCATGTCGACAAGGGCAAGAAAATCACTGTTTGTGGTGACACACACGGTTCGTTCTTAGGGCTACCTAATTTTCCTGGCCAAATTGCTAACAACTCCTGTAGGACAATACTTTGATTTGATGGAGATCTTCAGAATGAACGGACGTCCCTCAGCCGACCACGCATACTTGTTCAACGGAGACTTTGTCGACAGAGGCAGCTGGTCTTGCGAAATCGCACTTCTGCTATACGCCTACAAGTGGCTGTACCCCAAGTCAATGTTCCTGAACCGCGGCAACCACGAGACAGACGACATGAACAGAATGTATGGCTTTGAGGGTGAATGCAAGGCCAAGTACAACGAGCGCACCTTCAAGCTCTTCTCGGAGTCTTTCAGCGCACTGCCTTTGGCTACGCTGATCGGTGACAAGTTCTTTGTTCTTCACGGAGGCCTCTTCTCAGACGACAATATCACACTCGACGACGTTAGAAAGCTTAACAGACACAACCAGAAACAACCCGGGCAAAGTGGATTGATGATGGAGATGCTCTGGACAGATCCTCAGACGGCTCCAGGAAGAGGACCCAGCAAGCGTGGAGTGGGATTGCAGTTCGGACCTGACGTGACCAAGAGATTCTGTGAGAAGAATGGACTGGAAGCCATTATCCGAAGTCACGAGGTTAGAATGGACGGTTACGAGGAAGAACACGACAGCAAGTGCATCACCATCTTCTCGGCACCCAACTACTGCGATTCAACAGGCAACAGAGGCGCCTTCATCAACATCGAGGACAACTACAAACTGCAGTTCAAGCAGTTCGATGCAGTCAAGCACCCCGATATCAGACCCATGGCATACGCCAGCTCACCCATGATGGGTATGATGTAAAGAGAATTTTGATACAAGAGACGGGCGGTTCATTCTCAAGGCGTTCGGGGCATGTGTCAAGTGCAAAGGTCGTGGCATGCAGCATTTAGCGGGGAGGTCATGGCGGGAGTAACTTGTGGAGGACGATATAGGAGGACCGGATGTAAGATTATAGCAATGACTGTCATGTTGATACAGTATAAGGAAGAATCGATGAGTAATGTGTACTTGTTGATGGTTTTAGAGGAAAGCAGCAGCAGCTTATGGCGAAGCACTTTCACATGCTTACGACAATTGCAGTCTTGGCAAGGGTCCAAGAGCGTGAAGCAGTGGAAAGGGCAAGAGGGGAGGAATTGTACAAAGTGACTGTCCAGGCAGGCTGCGATGCAATGCACTTTCCCAAGCTGAGTCCGTTACAGTGTCGCTTTACTGTGTCGCTGGCGGCATCGCTGCTGGTTCTGTCCATCTATCTCTTCCTCTGGAACCCGCACTTCGCCTACGCCTCTGAGATAGAAACTCCGAACGCTGCCTCCCCGCTCATTGTGCTGGACGATTACGCGCTCGACTCGCTAGACGACTTGGACGATGCAGAAGATGTATACGAAAGTGCACAGGCAGACGAACAAGATGTACAACACATGAAAAGAGCTACGGGAGATGTCGTGACGCTGGGCGGAAGCAACGTGCCCGGGCTGCTTAACATTGAGGCTGGCAACACAACCATCTGGCACTTCACCAACTCGTCGCTCTGGGCTCCCTATGCGAACCACACTCCTGGTCTTCCTAGCCCTATCGACGATGGCGATACGGGCGACTCTGGCACCATCTACAAGCGCCAGAATCCCGCAACCAGGCTGGTTTACATCTCCGTCACCACTTGTCTACAACCTCAGTGGAATGGCTCGACAAATCAGACGACCCTCCCACCTCAGCTCACCCTTTTTGTCTCCAACTCTACCTCGAACAAAGAGCCCGGCCCAGATGCTCCTGCCGATAGACAAGTCGCCATCACCCTTAACGAGGGCTTTGCCAATTACTCGATGAACGCCACGACCGATATCTACATGTCAGTCCATGCTCCCCAAATGCCCGCCAATTTTACTGGCATCTGGAACTACGAAATCGCTGCCTCTATTGACAACTACTACCATGGCGCCCATCCTGACTCACCCTTCCTCTATCTGGTTGATACCGACACCCATGCCGCTCTGCTTGTCACAAACAACTTGACTCAAGCCAACCCCGGTGATCTTGTCTACCAACAGTGGATGAACCTCACTTCGCCCTTCACAGTCTTTGTCCAGCCCACTCTCGAAAGAAGTCTTGATGGTATGCGGAACAGCTATTGCGGCATGACCCATGCTAGCATTAACAATGCTTCAAGCTCTGTACAGTCGGGAATGATCACTCGTGGCTTAGGCCACAAACCTAAAGAGCAGTTCTACATTCAGGACTTGAATGGCAGTACCTCGTACTTCGGAGTTCTAGCCATGGAAGGCAACTCAACAAAGACAGGCAGTGGCGTTGTTGGCGGTGGAGGTCAAGTCTGGCAGGCCGTCAACTTCAAGACCAAGGCCGACAACAACTGTGCTCTCGTCTTCAACTTGACCTTCTGCCACGATGTTGCCTATGCCGTGCCCAGCAATCCGGAAAGGTATCCAGACCAGCCCTCTCTGAGCGCTGTATACGATTCGTATGCCGCCGGCCTGTACGAGAACTTTGACAAGTCACTACAGCAAATTCCCTGTAATACAACCTTGTCAGCCCAGTACTCGCCCGCCAAGAATTGCGACGACTGTGCCGATGCATACAAGCAGTGGCTCTGTGCCGTCACTATGCCACGCTGTGAGGACTTTTCTTCTCCTCTACCATGGCTGCAACCCCGCAACATGGGTCAAAAGCCCATCAACTCATCCTCCTCTTCGATCGGCAGCATGCCCAATTCAGACATGTTTCAGCAAATACAAGATCAGCTGAATCAGCAATACATTCCCATGATCTCTGCCCCAGGTGACAGCGCTGCCTTCCGTCAAACCTACGGCTCTGTTCAAGCCACCAATAGCTCCCGCAATCCGACTATTATCGTCGATACTATTGCTCCTGGCCCGTACAAGGAGGTCCTGCCCTGTGAGGACTTGTGCTACAGTCTAGTGCGTAGTTGTCCAGCTGCTCTGGGTTTTGGCTGTCCTGACCCGGGCAGAGGGCTTGAAGTCGATTATGGCCAGAGAAGTGACGATGGACAGGTGACTTGCAGTTACCTTGGTGCGGTGTATTACTTGAATACGGCGCCTGCATTCAGCGGTGCTTCCTCACTAGCTATTGCGGTTGCTGCTGTGCTGTCACTGTGCATAGTGATCTAAAAGAGTGGTGGATCATAGATGTAGTTTCTTACAGCATAGCGATTGGCGTTTCTTGCAATAAAGTCTGGCACTTTTGAGAGGGGTTTGCTTGTAATTTCATGATACCATTTTCTTCATCTCTTTCCCTCTCAAACATGCATCTTCTTTTGTTGATTGAAGCGCATCCTTCACTGAACTTACCAGCGGGCAATCGTCTTGAAGAAGTGTGATTCGAAACGACACACCACCTTGGACGCCTTCTGGAAAGTCTTGAAACACGAGTGACTTCTATGAACCATCCAAGTCTTCCAGAAAGGTGTTTTGTGTGGTGGGTTGGTGCCTCTGAGTGCTTGGACCTACAGTATCCAACCTAGGTTTCATGTTTAATATCGCTTGGACCACGCTTGCCACGGCATCGATATCCCGAATTGCTGGGTTTCAGAGATCGCCTTCTGGCACTTGACTTGGTGGCACTTGTTTGGCACAGATGTGGTTCATTTCTTTGGTTCTTTTGGTGGTAAGTTTGATTTGATTTGATTTTTGCTCAATCCAAGAAGGATGATCATCTATGTGATGTAAAGTTTCTCTATATACATTATCCATGTCCTTTTGAAGAGGATGCTGGTAAGTTGCGTTGGTCATGTGTAGGAATGTACACCTTTGCGCAGGCATGCAGCTGCTTCAGCTGTGCTGCTAGAAATTGACCTCATGAGATCTGCCGATGAAAAAATATGTCGGTACGAGAACCGCCGGGGTATATGCAAGAAAATAGACAAAAGATACAAGAAAATGAAAACATAAATCGTAACCAGAGTTGGAGGGGCCAAATCGCCTACTTGGAGGCGACGACAGCGAGAGCGATGATGGCGCCAATCAGAGCGACTCCCACAAAACTCATTATACGGTTGAGGTTTCTCCACCATCGAGCCTTGAGGTATCTGCGCTCTAGATTCCAGTTTCTCAATTCGGCTTGCAAACCATGAGGGTAATCGGTCTTTTCGCCTTCGAGCTCGGGAATATCCTGGGTGGACTCAAGGTTGGTCATGGTGGTTTCCATAGGCCTATGTGGCAATGGAAGGAATGCTGCGATCATCCAAAAAAGCGGACACAAGAAACCAAGGCAGAAGAAGAGTATTTGGCGATTGCCGCGAGAGAAGACAAGGCTGTTGAGGGCTTCGTCGAAGCTAGGAGCGCGCCAGGTAGAGAGGCGGTGGGAAAGACGGCGAGAAGGGGCGAGATGAGGAGGTGTGTTGTACATGTGGCTGGCGGCAAGGGATTGAGGGTAGTTGGAGGAGCTGTACGTCTGCTCGCGGGGTATCGCGCGTCCAGAGTTGACTGTTTTCTGTCGACGGGGTGGCTGGAAGGTAGGCGCAGAGCTGTGCCTGCCTCGAGGAATAACGGTAATAGCCATGCTGTCGGTCGAACTTGAGGTTGAGCTAGCGGTATCATTGTCGTTGTCGATGTCGCTGAAATCAAGCTGGCTCTCATCAACATACAACTCCGCCAGACTACTACTCCGCGTGACAGAGGACATGGTGTTGGTAGATTGGCTCTGGTTCATATTCGCTCGAGGTCGGTAAGGGCGGAAGATGCTTGGAAGGAAATGAGAAGATTTGGGAGAGGTACTACGGGGTGTGCCTCCTTGAGACGACTGCTGCAGGCTCATCAAGCTGTTTCCGGCACTCTCCCAGCGTCGATGATGGGCCCATGGAAGCATGCGCATAGCTGGAGGGGCTTGGTGGTGAGGAGGTAATTGTCCGTCCGAGAGAGCAAGACTGACAGTGCTTTCGTTTCCGTTAGGGAAGTGCAGCTTTCCACGGTAGAAAGACTTGGCCCATTGTGGAAAGATGGAAGAGCCTTGAGATCCACGATCAGGGTTGTAAGTTGTTGCAAGGGTATAGTTGGAGCGCGCGGATGCAGGGCGAGGATCAGAAGCTGATCTGCCTCGGGACATCAGACCCGATCTTTGCGTACGCAACGGATGAGCTTGAAGTTCGGCAATAGTGTCATCTTGCTCCGATTTGAAGTCGGTAGGAAGTTCGTGGATGCCTGACGAGCTCGGGTGAGTGATAATTGGGCTACTCAGCTGTTGTACTTCACGAGGGCTGCTTGAGAACAAAGGCTCTGGCACTGCCGAATTCTCTCTGTTCAGTTCCCAACGAGAGCTCTCGGTCGATAGGGTCTGGTAATTGCTGTCGGTCATGATTGACGAATATGAGCTAGAGCCGATGGTTTGGCGTCTAACATACCAGTTTCCAGACTGCGATGAGGGGTTGACCACTGGTGGTGATGTGAAGATGTCGGCCGTTGAACTGCTGAGATCACGAATTATTGACTGGCTGGAAGGCTCGGACTCGGATGCGATGGTGGAGAGGTTCGACATGCGCACTACACCAGCTGACGCAGAATGCATATGCGTTCGCTTTTTGGCAACGGAAAGTGGTGGCAAGTTTTCGGCCTCGCTAGATGACCAGGCACTGCTTGCAGACTGCGACTGCGCCGTGGGTGGCCGAACTTGGGCGTATTGTACCGATGTCATACTTTCAGTAGATTTGGCATAATGAATGACATTATACGAGTTAGATCTCGAGTGTTCCGGCGGCGTGCTCGAGTACTGAGAAGGCGAGCTCACATCGTAGACTTCGATATTTGGGCCTGATGATCCTGATGCGCTAGTCGTGGCCAGGGATACAGATCTTCCAGCTTGAGGATTCGGAGCGTCATTTCTAGGGGCATCAGAGCCGCGTGAGCCTGGACCAGATGATGATGACGCTGATACAGGACGTATGGTAGACGCTTCAAAACTTGTTTCTACGACAGCTGGCAGAGCCTCCTCTCTGAGTCTTTCCTTCTCGCGCTCTTCAGATGCGATAGGTGTTGGCGTGTTTCGTAGAGTTCCATCCATCGAGAACCGGGCACTCGTTGGAGAGAGGGAATCGTCATTGCAATAAGTGTCCGCAGCAGATGTTGTAGTTGATTGAGAGAAATTCGAGGAGCGCTTAGAGTATCTGTTGTTGGTAAATTGCGCCGAAAGCCTTCCTGACTGGCCAGCAGAAGGATCCAGCTTGTCATGTACCTTGGCGTTGAGACTCGAGACTCCTTGATCATTCTGAATTGTGTACCCGTGCTTTGTAGCCTTGGTGGGCTGTAGCACTTGAGCGGGCTTGTGTGGGTAAGGATTCTTGTTGTAGACATTTTTTAGACTGTTGTTGGAACCAACCAGTCGGATAGTAGGATGTTCGCCATTTTCCCGATTGAGATCCGAGGGGGTTCGTTCATGCAGCGCACTACGACTTTTGGTGGAAGCCGGTCGCAGGTTGAATCTGCCATTTTTGTCCAGTTCAATGGACTGCCGCGGAGAGAATACGCGGCCAGACATGTGGAGTTAGAAATGAGTGTAAAAACGAGAAATATTGGTGGAATAAAAGAGTGACAGGGTATCGTTAGGCGGAACAATGAACGGAATAGACACTAATAGTGCGACATTTCAAAAGAGCGGACGGAGATAAATCCAGAGACTCGAACGCGTCGAGTTGGGCGAGAAGGAAAAAAGCTGGCAAGCGTGTTGAGAAGGAGCGACGGGCGGTTAAGGGACAATTCTGGACAACGCAGAGAAGATGGCGAGTCACGATAGCTGCGGGGAGAGGCGGGTCGGGTTATATTATTATAGGGCTGCTGTGAAGAGCGCAACTGGTGAGATAAACGAGAGACTGATGAAGAGCCAAACCTCAGCCGTCAGAAGTGGCAGACAGTCGTGTCCATATGAAAGCAGTAGTTACGTCCGTGCCATAGGAGTCAAAAAGGTCTACTGGCCATACAGTAGCCATTACGCCCTGAACCGGTTGTGGGAGATGAGTTCCACACGGACAAGAAGCTGTCAGGATGGCCGGTTCAATGAGGCGTCCAAGTTGCCGGCACCAAGGGGCCTAGTAGCGCGGAAGCGACGTGCTCCGTCCCTGAAACGCTGTCGAGTCGTGTCTGACGGCGATAGGCAACGCGCAAAGAGATGGTTCTGCACAACATTTCGATACGCGAAGCCCCAAACGGGTGTCGCCAAAAGCTTGCTCGTGCGAGCTTTTGGCTCACCGATCATCCTAAAAACACATGCTTAGGAAATTGCGAGAGACCAGCCAGCGCAACGTGCGATCCTCTTTGGCGGGACCTGCACACGCGAACAAGCTGCGCACTGGCAACCGCGGGCTTGGGTTAAGAAGCATGGGCGCACTTCTTGTCCAGCATCCGAGACGAACGCCTACATCATTCCATGCTCTTCTCAAACATCGAGGCTGACTGACATTTGGTTGTTCAATCTTTCTCGAGACAAACCTCGAACGTCCAAGACGGAGTGATTACGCTGTCGATTGTGGATAACTTTAAGCAGCGTTTCAACTGCTGGCCGTTTCGTCATCTCCAGCTTCCCCTTTGCTATTGTTGGCCGCCGACACCGCCTGCCGCACACCATTCCTGAGCCTGCCGTTTGTTTCTACCGTTGTGTAATCTCTCACATCAAAACATCTCGCGCAAGAAGGAGATTTCAGCGTTCGCAGCGTTTTCGTCATTCTCGGCCTCTGTCTAACATGCTACCCACGAGTAAGTCCATATCGATACAGCCGAAGAGAGAAAAATAGAGAAAAGATATGAAGCGGCATGACTATCTACCCGGCGTGTCATGCTAATCGACAAGCGGCGTTGTCAGATAGAAACGCACGAACTGACCTCTATCTTCTGCAACAGCGCCAGCGATCAGCCTTCACGTGGCGGGTGGCCTAACCGTCCTTTTCACAATCATCTATATTGCCCCCTTCTACCTTTCACCCACCCTGCGGAGCAATTCGATCGCCAATCGTAACACCCCTTCCGTCATTGAGGCGCGCATCCGCGCTGTAGTCTGGAGTTGTGTGGCCAGCGTAGTCATCACTGTCTGTGTGCTCTCTCTCAAAGGTCATGTTACCATTGGGGAGACACTTCATCTACTCGGTGTGTACCCTGTAAACGTTCTCGATACTGCCAAGTCTTTTCTCCTTGTAGCCATCCTCTTTGCAGGTCCTCTATTTGAAAGAGCCATCATCGAAGGAGAATGGAGAAGCTGGGGAGGTACTGCAATCAAGGAAACGGTCTATGACGACCTTATAGGTTGGCGTAATCTTGTTGTTGGCCCTGTAAGCGAAGAAGTGGTGTTCAGAAGTCTTGCAATCTCCTTGTTTCTACTGGCTCAGGTACGTAGCCATTTTTTCAACTGTCGCGTTATCCATTCACTTTCTAATCATTCGTGACAGACATCCGCTCTGCGGATAACGTTCACTTCGCCATTGATCTTCGGTGTGGCTCATGTGCATCATCTGCATGAACACATCAATGCTTCTCGGCGCCCTGGAGCAAGCTATCTGGCTACTGCTCTAACGCCGTCGGTCATACTGCCCGGCTTGCTTCGTTCCATTTTCCAATTCCTCTACACTTCGCTGTTCGGCTTTATCGCTGCTTTTGTCTACTTGCGCACGAGCTCGCTCGTGGCATGCATTCTTGCCCACAGTTTCTGCAACTGGATGGGTTTGCCTAGATTCTGGGGCCGTGTTGGACAGGAAGTAGGAGAAGAAATGGTAGACCAAACACACTACGATGGCAGTGTGACTGATGCATTGCAGACTGGCACACATGGTCAGCGACTGTCCGTTGCCTGGACGATTGCATACTACGTCGTGCTTGTTGCAGGCGCTATCGGTTTCTGGAAACTTCGCTGGTCGTTGACATACAGCGATCTGGCTCTGATACAGTTCTAGATACGTAAAGTAGGCAGCCTGTGGCAATGCTACATCTCCACTTCACTGGCCACGACTACTGGTACGTCCGATGGCTGCCACCCGCTGATCTCCGCATTCAAGACACCCGTGACTTCCTTGTGATGGTATGCAAGCATCTCTTGCATGTCGTTGTAGTCGCTCTTCTGCAATGAGCCCCACTTCCTAGATGGAGGCTTCATCTTGTGCTTCTCCCACAAATAGTGGTCTGCAGCGACGTAAATCTTCGACGTGTCTTTGTACCATCGATCCAGGTAATCGTCTGTTGCGGATTTGTATGATGGCAGGGGACATGAATCGGATATAAAGCCAATAATCTTTCTTAGCTTTTCCCGACATCTGTCGTTCTTCTTGAGGAAGCCGATCAGACTTGAGTAGGCTTGACCGACGCCCATGAAGAAAACGTGGTTCGAGTCACTCAGTCTAATAGATGGTCAGCCGCCAGATTCTCAAGGCGACGGGAATAGTATTTCGACGATTGACTTACTCGATGTAGTTGTCCCACAGATACTTGGCAAGTGACTCAGTCTCATCGGTTCTCTGCTGTGGGTCTGCTTCTGCGGCGTACTCATGGCTATCGTCGGGCTCTGTGACATGCTTGGGGATGTTTATGTCGATGACAGCAAATCCTTTGTCGACCGCCCACTGTGTGTATTGCTTGACGGAATCAGTCTTCACCTAATGTCAGTGTGCGTCGAGCTTGGACAGATGAACGGTGCGTACCAGCCACGTGTTATGTAGTTGAAGTTCTCGAGTTCTTGGGTCAGTCTCCCCAGTGAGCTCTGGAGGATCGTGGAAGATGACAAGTAGTGGGCGAGCTTCGTAATGATTGGGGCTAGGATGGAATGTCAGTCACAGTGTAGCCAAATAGTCAGACTACTTACGTCGCCAACACCTGGTTCTTGAAGCTCCTTGATGCTTTGCTGTGCGCGATGAATAGATTCGACATTTCAAGGTTCTCCCAAAGCCATGCAGCTTGATAGTCCCGAACGATGTCATGCATTCTCTCGCTTCCTAGCTTCTTGAGCCTGTGAGAAGGGTTCCTGGGGTATAGACACGGCCAGTAATATGCCTGCTGGCGGAGAACTTCTTCGACAGTATCCACGGCAGAGGGTGTAGCTACCGTAGTGACGATTTTTCCGGGTGGTTCACCCATCAACGTGCGAGTGACTGCTAGAGCTGAGATCGCGATGGATCTCAAGTTGTATCCTCCTTCGAGACACACGGCAATCTTTCCATCGGCTAACGACATGAGCATACGTGTCATATGGCCATAGCCAGCAGGTGAAACATGGCACTTTCCTAGCATATCGCCCTCTGCAGCATCGAAGCCAGCAGAGACTACTACTAGGTCAGGGTCGAAGTCTTGTGCAATTGGCATGACGATTCTTTGGAACGCAAGAAGATAGTCAGCATCTGTCATCCCGGCTGTTCGCCACGGGATGTTGATGTTCTTTCCCAGACCAGCCCCTTCACCGCAGTGTAGATGATCTCCAGCAGGACCAGATGGGTAGAACTTTCCTCCTTGGTGGACGTGCAGGGAAATGTATAGCACATTGGGATCGTTGTAGAACGCCTGTTGTACGCCATTGCCATGGTGAACGTCCCAATCAAGGATCAGGACTTTGCGACATTTGTCACCAAACTCCTTTTGGCAAGCCTTGATCGCGATAGGAACGTTGTTGAAGAGGCAGAACCCCATTGGTTCATCGTGTTCAGCGTGATGTCCAGGCGGACGGATGACAGCCACGGCATTCTTGACATGGCCGTTCAGGATTCCTCGACATGCTTCGATAGCGCCTCCAGCTGAAAGTCTTGCACACATAGGCGAGTTCTTCGATAGATAAATGCTGTCCATCTGCTGACCAGCGTCGTGTAGAAGATCATTGTCCCAATTTTCTAGGCTAATGACCCAGTCGTAATGTCGCTCTGAGTGGACCGCGCAGACTTCCTCCTTTGTGACGAATCTGGTTGGGATTCTTGCGAGAACGGATGGCGCCAGGCTGACCGTGTTGGGGTCGTCAACTAGACCGGCATCTACTAATTCCTTGTAGATCGCGTAGATGCGCCTAGGATCTTCTGGGTGTACTCCTTGGTTCACTTCAGGGCGCACTTCAACATGGAAGCGCATGCGAACATCATAGACCAGTCCAGTCTGAGAAGTCGAATACGGGAGGTGCGCCATACCCTTTTGAGGTAATGGGATTACTTCTTGTCGAAAGGAAGGTGATCTAGATACGTCGTCTCGCTGACCATTCAACAGATTCTGATGTTTTGTTCGCGCCGTAGGAGATCTTATGTCGAGCACGAACGGGTCCATCTCGGTCGTGTCGATGACATTGCCGTCCATCAAATGGTCGGAGATGTCCATGTTTGAGGGCTGGAACTGGCTTATGTTCACGACATCACACAATGGAAGTTTGCTTGATGATCATTAGCAAATGGTCATGGTCAACTCACTTGCATGATTGCTATATCAAGCAACAAGTGAAAGGAAAGTGAGCGAAAAGGTTACCTGCGGCGCGAGCGTTTGAAGGTATCGATCGCTCACGAATTAATTCGTGAGTTGCAGTGAGCCGAGCTCAAATCAATAGGAAATGACAGGCAGATGTTGATACAGCAAGGCGATGTATCGTCAAGGTATCCGAGCATCTAGTCCGCGTTACAGCGCGTCCTGTCGCACGGTAACTTCCGGGATGGTTGGATTCTTTAGCAATTAAAGAATAGCTGCCCTTAAACCAGGATATAGAGAAATGGTTCTTTCATAGACACCGGAGGTAGAATATGGAGTGCTTTCAACCTCGGAGGATATAAAAGTACAGGGTTCTTGTCCCATCACTGGTTTATGGCTATGGCAGCCCCGAAGCCGAACAGCTTGGGTCGGTAGCTCTCAACGAGCGTTGAGTAGAACTATACACTTGCATAAAAACGACATCAACGTAATCATAGTAGCCATTCAGTTGGTAGGCTCATCAACTGGGCATCGGTGATCTCTAGCAGCAGGTGTTCATTGCACAATGACCAGAAGGGAGTTCAATAAAGCTGTAGTATATGGTCCAGGGTGACCCAAGCTTCACGAGGGAAGATTCAGCACCTTCTGTGTCAACAGCAAACGGGGTTGATCAACATCTGAACAGCAACCGCTTCATCTTTCGGGCCAGTTTGCTCGGTTCATTCAGTAGGTACCAAGTTGGGTTATCGTGCATTGATGATGACCTAACCACAATATTACGAAGCGTGCAAAGCAAAGTGTGCCACTCGACCTTTCATGAAACACGAAGGTTGAGCTCCAACAATAACACGTTGATGGATCCGGGCGCGATGTCTCTCCGCGGTGCGGAATAGAGTTATTGTTTGCTTATATCGCGAAAGATGCAAAATGCGAGTTAAGATCGCGGATTGAGCAGCCAGCTGACTCGATCACAGTCGGCACTTGGAGAAAATACCCCTTAAGCTGGCCTAAGCTTTCTCGATCTGGACATATTAGCTCACATTAATGAGCACTAAATTTCCAATCTAGACTTTGTCAGCCCGAAACGAAGACCCGCTTGCTAAATGTGAGTTAAGTGGGATAAACAATGTATATATTCGCATGCCCATCCCTGCCAACTGACATTTCTCCTTGTCTCATCTCTCAATCCACCTATCCTTTGATTGATCCCTAATAGCTTTTGCTATACACATATCAAAAATGGCTCCCCACGTCGCTATCGTCTTTGTAAGTCCCTCCTATGCTCGCCCATCATGGTCTTCTTTACTTTTTGAAGCTCGAGCTTGGGCCTTTCCAATTGAGCTCAATGGACTGACATGCATGTAGTTCTCGGCGTACGGCCACATCTCGCAGTTGGTCGAGGAGGAGGCCAGAGGTATCAGAGAGGCTGGTGGTAACGTCACCATCTACAAGATCGAGGGTACTCCCGAGACCGTGGGAGCCCAATACGAGGTGCTCACAGACCCCTCGACTCTCGAGAAGTACGATGGTTTCCTCTTCGGTATCCCCACCAGATACGGCAACTGGCCCGCTCAGTTCAAGACCTTCTGGGACAAGACTGTAAGCTACATCATGCGTGAAGCCTTGAACATATACTAATGATCCTCCAGGGTGGCCAATGGCAGAACGGTTCCTTCTGGGGCAAGTACGCTGGTGCCTTCGTTTCCACTGGCACCCCCGGCGGTGGTCAGGAGTCCACCATCATCAGCGCCATGTCGACCTTCGTTCACCACGGCATGATCTTCGTTCCCCTCGGCTACAAGACTGTCTTTGGTACTCTTGCTGACCTCACCGAGGTCCGTGGTGGCTCTCCTTGGGGTGCCGGTACCTTCGCTGGTCCCGACGGCAGCAGACAGCCTTCTCAGAAGGAGCTCTCGCTCGCCTACGAGCAGGGCAAGGCCTTCTGGACCGTCCTCACCAAGCAGAACATGGCATGACTGCATGATGGCGCCGCGGGTGCGGAGACCAACAACAAGCAGGAGGCCGTTGGTGGTGGGGCTCCAGTCACTGAGCCCAGCCAGAGCACAACACAAGCACCTAAGCAGCAGACCTCGACCGAGCCCCAGCACAAGGAGGAGCACGACAAGTCTGGTCCTTGTGGCTTGCCTGTCAAGTGCACCATCTCTTAGCCTCTGATTCCCCTTCTGCGTTGTTGTTAGTTCAGACTTAAATTTATACCCCCTATTCACAACCTTCACGCTACTATCAACACTGGTGCACTTCTTGACATGGACGTGACAAAGCGGGATATGTTCTCAAATAGGCATTGCAAAAGAGTGTTCACGTCATGAAGATACGGTAGACAGAACTCATAAAACATATGGATTGAATTGGTCATTAAGCATATAGTGTTACATGGGGCGGTATTAGCAGAAGGCAATTTGAAGCCATGGCCATACCATTGACCTAGCGAGAGCATCGGCTGGCGCTCTGGTACTTGAGCAGCAAAATTCTAGGGTGTCTTGCCGAGTCTGTTCAGTGGTCGCTACTGAGATGGTTGTAGTTGGCAGTCAGTAGAAAAGTATCATCAGAAGAAAGACTCAGCAATTCAGCTTCCAGCTAGAGCGCTGGCAATCTGCAGACTCAGATCAAGAATAGTGAGGTGCTCGTCACTTCCGTCAATCAATCTCTTGTCGGTCTGTGAAAAGGACATGACAATGCGATTCTTCTTGGGGTTGTCGATAGAGTCGTCCATGAGGATCTGCTCGTACAGTTGTGACACTAGCTGTGTGGCGCTCCAGCCTTCAGCGATTAGGTCTTGAACTACACGAGAGATGGCATCATAAACCGAAGCTCGAGTGTTGGGCTGCAAGGCTTGGACGAGGCGGGAGACAGTGCGATCAGGAACGACACCAGCAATCTCTTCGACACTCCGTACAGAAACCGAACCAGCCGTGACTTGATCATCAACGTCCATGGCATCGTCGTCGGGTTTTGATTGTTCTGCACCAGCCAGACGAGCAGCTGACTGCAGGAAAGTGATGGCTTTTCGCAGATCGCCCTCAGCGCAGCGGATCAGAGTATCGACAACTCCATCATCAAGCTTGACCTTCTCCATGGCGGCAATGTTTTTCAATCTCTTGCGAGCATTTCCACCATCCAAACTCTTGAATCTGAACTTGCTGCATCTACTGGCTAGAGGGTCGATGATGCGTGTGACATAGTTGCAGATGAGGCAGAAGCGAGTGATCTTGCTGTAGGTTTCCATTGTGCGACGCAGAGCGGACTGAGCATCCTGTGTCATGGAGTCTGCTTCGTCGAGGATGATGATCTTATAGGGCGGGCAGGGATACTTTTTGCGGTACTCTTCGCCTGCGGGACCAGAAGGAGGATTTGATAATTGCATGCGAGCAAAGTCCTTGACCTTCTCGCGGACAATGCTGATGCCACGTTCGTCTGAAGCATTGAGCTCGAGGACACGGGTCTTGATGAGTTCAGGGCCATAAAGCTGTTTGGCAAGAGCGAGGACGGTCGAGGTCTTGCCGGTACCAGGAGGACCATAGAAAAGCATGTGTGGGAGATTGGCGGACTGGAGGGTACGGCGGAGCACATCAACTGTATGTTCTTGCGAAGAGACATCGTCGAGCGACTTGGGGCGACTGAAAGCAAGTTAGCTACTGAGTGTTGAGTGGAGGATTGGCGACGGACTATTTCTCGACCCATGGTTGCAAGCGATTGTCGACTTTTGGGCCAGCAGATTTGGAAGAACCCTCTCCTGTGGCAGAAGCAGCAGCAGCGGCTTTGCGGGCCTTTAGATCAAAGAAATTGGCCATGGCTAGGTGATGTGAATGAGCAAGATGAAATGCTCGACTCCGGCTGGACTTCAGGCGCACGCGTCGCAGCGCGACACACAATCAACGCCCAAAGAGGAAGGGGGACTTGGCGAGGGCCAGCCAGCGTCATACGAACAAGTCGCAGCACAAGCAGACGCGACTTGGTCGTTTCAAACACTCCCGTCGCTCTTTTTTGTATGTACGGTACATGATGTTCGAGTAATGCGAGCGACACGACACAGCAACACATGAATGCCCGGAAATGAACCATGAGCCTGCGTCGTCGCTTCCGCTCGACGATGCGACCAGGAGAGAGCGCCTGCAGCGCAACAAGGCCACCTTCAACAAGAAGCGACATGCTTTCTTGCAGGACCTGCTGCGCAACATCGACCTTCTGATCTATGCCGAGCTGTCTGCCGTCTACTACATGGAGTGCGCCACTACGACTCCCATCTCACTCCAGTGTCATGCTGACAGCCTCGCAGCTGCTCCTTCACGCGCTTCCTAGTCCGGGCCGCTATACAATTCATCTTCTTAACACCCAAACCTGCCTTTCTTCCCGAACCTCCGCATCCCAGGCCCTACCTCGCTGCCATCTTTGGCTCCAACTTGCTGATCATCCTCTTGCACATCGTCCTCGACCGTCCCGAGGCTAGCGAGGCTACCAGAGGCTACCTGCATGGCGGTCTGGCTATGGATTTTGTTGGCCAGAAAGGCCCCACATCAAAGTTACATCTAGTCTTGCTGGACATTCTGATACTGCTCATGCAGCTTGTTCACCTGGCCGCAACCACGACTCGTCAGCGAGTCAAACAACAGACTTCGGCCACCACAACCCCTCCAACAGCAGTCCAGAATCACGACTTTGAGGAGCGAGGCCAGCTCAGATCCGACCATCAGCCAGTTGATCAAGAGCTGCACTCGCTAAACCAAACTCGCGACTCGTCAGCAAACACCGAGTCGTTCGTTGAGCCAGAAGCAGAGTCTGACGAGAGGCAGGCTTTGTTGGCTTCGACGGCGCCTCGCACAGATTCCTACATCTTTGACGCCTTCAACAGCGGTGAGATTATGATTGCCCATCTCAATCTCTTTGATGTGATCAAAACACAGCTCAAGGAGATGCGTGACCCCGGTCAATCCACAAGCACCGCTCCTCCTACGAGCAGCGGTCTACGTGCTAGGCTGGCGGACCGCAGTGCCTTTTTCCGAATGCGGATTGGTGGTGACCGTGTTTTCAATGTCTAGACTGGCGTGGCAGCAAACTGTTTGGCGTCTTCCCCCCATCCACCCCCAGCTTTCTCCAGAAACTCCCCGCCTAGCTTCGGCTTTGCAAATTTGGGGAACGTTAAGCCTCAGGCGTATTGTACACCTCCGCTCGTATAGAAACCATGACGCCACGAAACACACCGTCTGTAACACCTTCTCTATCCATTTGACCCCTTGCACAAGCTGTGTTAAACTCTACCCGACTTGCTGGCAGGCGATACCGCCCAGTTCCGAAGAAAAAATCTCTTTTCATGACCGAGGAGCCGACTTCCGCGTCAGCACCATCACACGTGCCAATTGTCCGTTAGATCCAGTGCTTGCACCATTTGCGTCTTGCCTCTGGTCTGTTTGCTTGCAACATGAGTGACCACATAGACGACGAGTTCAACAGCCTTGTCGTGTCGCGATCTCGTCAACACACGTCAATTCGCCTTTGTATCACACAATGCCACGCAATAAGGGTGCCACCTTGCCAAGCGCATGCTTCCAACTTCACCTCTTCATCTTGTCGGTGGTCTTCGCTTCACAGCTTTGCAAAACAACCCCTCTTCCTAGCGCTTCGTGATCATGCCACCGTGCTGGGTACTTTTACACAATAACAAACGGTTTGGGCAGAGTGATTGAAAAAGTAGCTTCTAAAGTCGTCACGAGATCTCCTTGGTTGCCGACACGGGCTTGGCCATTACCCCATAGTTTCAGTTCGATCATGTCGCATTACCCCATGGTAATTGAAGAATGTGTTCATCGTTCATACTGTGACTAATGGCCTGCAAGCCTTTTGCGATCCTTTCGCACGTTTTGCTCATTACCTCTGCTGTGGTTCGATATTCCCACGTGAACACTTTGCTCTAGGGCGTTTGCACAACGGAGTTTGAGGGGCCTATGAGTTTCTTGTAACGTAAGGACAATGCTCCTGCTTGAGGAGATATAGTCCTGGTAAAGTCCTTCCTCTTCCTCCCAAGTTTTCTTTCGATTCACTCACCACCATCTGACCTTCCCTTTTTGCAAAGAAGTACTAAACTTGCTTTGATATTTTCAATACTGCACTGCTACACAACCAAGATGCACATCAACGACTTCCCAGACGAGATACTCTCGTCCATCCTCGACTATGCTGCTCAGATGAATGCCGAAAATGGCGTCAAATACACATTTGGTCTTACCCAAGCTCCTCTACCTATCTCACGAACGCCATTGACCAGATACATCAGAGGTCCTGTCCAGCCCGAAGCACAACGCTGGGATGGAGCATCCAATCTCCGTGGCGTTTGCGCAAGATGGCATGACTGGGCGATTCGAAACACCATCAGAACTGTATCAATCAGAAGATGGCAAGGTTCTGAAAGATGGGCAGAGATCCCAACTCGACGTTCATCCTACGGAGCTTACGAGTTTATGAGTAAGCCCAGAGGCAGCGCAGTGTATCGTGATCCCTTTGGCTTTCTCAAGAGCGCTGTTAAGTTCTTTTCTCAGTTCCCAGATGTGGCGGGTGAGGTCCGCCGCATGTTCTTTGATGGGTTTAATACCGTCGAGACAGACCGCATGATATTCGATGTTTTGAGAAGCTGCCGTCATCTCACCTCCGTCAGCGTGCCTTGGACACTGCTGCGACACGGAACTGCACAAGACTGGATTCATCTGCTGGGCATTTCTTCTGAGGATGACGTCCCTCTCACATCTCTGGAGCTGCGTGCCACATGTCTGGGCAGTGCTCAAGAGAAGGAGTGGGCAGAAGTCGAGAATACCCACCCTCTCGCAGATCCTCGTGTCAACTTCTCGCAGCTGAAGCGTTTGAAGATCTTTGGCAACACGCTTCTGATGCCTATTGACGACGAGGACATGTTCAACATCGCACGCAGCGCGAACAACCTCGAAGAGTTCCACCTTACCAATCTCTCTACCGTCACAATTGCTGGAGTCATGGCGATTGTCAACTCCTCAGCAAACACTCTCCGTGTTCTTGAGCACTCGCCTCGCTCCGACGATGGCTTCTTCCATCCACACCCTGGCTACCTCTCTCCAGACACACATGTCTGCGAATCTCTGGCCTCCTGCCCCCGTCTCAAAGACCTCTCCATCTCCATCCCCAGCATGTGTGCCTGCCTCTTCTCTCATGAAGAAGTGGTCTGGGAGGGCGAATGCCAGGTCCGCGCCCTCGAACTCTGCGACCGTGATGGCTCTGCCGACACAGTCAAGGATTCCCTCCGTGCTCAGCAAGCACTGAAGTCACACCGTCTGCGCGATGTCCTCGCTTCGGCACGTACGCTGATGCAGAACCAGAAGCGTAAGCGCAAGGAACTTGACATTGAGCTCTTCTTTGCCGACTGCATCTTCGACCCTGCTGAGCGCGTCGTCCATGGCGATTTTTCCTTTGCCGAGGTATCGAGTGGCGGTGCTTGGCCCATGACTTGGGAACCTTCTGCCAAAGGACCCTATGGATCCACGGGTGTCTACGGTAAGACCGAGAGCTCGTGGATCTGTGTCAGTGAAGATGAGCTCCTGCGCGCTGTGGAGAAGAACTGGTTCAGACTTTGAGAGCCTAGTTGCTCCTTGTATTTCTTTTCCTTCTCTTGTTGATGCTTTTGAGACGTTCACCGCATTGACGAGACTCATGAACCTTAGCGTTGCTTTCATCTTGGCGAACCTGCTTTCCATATAATATGCATTGAGCGAGGACAAAAAAAGTTGCTGTTGTTTTACGTATCATCCGGGCATGGCGTTTGCTTTAAGTTTTTGATATTAGCTTAGCATTTTCATGAAATTAAATCCTCTTCTCTACCAAAAAAATTGTTACAGAAAATACCAATGTTGTGCCCAAGATACTCCATCGATTTCATCAGAACCAGTGTAAGAAGCGATTCAGACCCTCTAATTCGACTTCTTAGCAGCCTCCAGGTGCCATCCAAATACCTTTCTGAAGATGCCCTTGCCCTCCTTCTCAATCACCTCACCATGGCAAGGAATAATGCGCTCAAAGTCCCACTTATCAATTCTAGCCATGCTCTGGTTGAAAGCAGGTCTGTCCGATGCACTTAGTGCGTACCAGACAAATCTCTTCTGCCAGATTGCCGAACCAGCCGTAGTGTTGATCTTGCAGAACAACTTTGTGAGGATACCGGCAGTAGGATTGACATCAGTACGCGAGTACTGCTCTACAGCCGGCAAGTTGAAGAGCAAATCGGCTTGAATAAGAGTTTTTGAAGGCTTGTGGTTGAATACGAGCTCCTTGTTGGCGTGGGCGTGGACATACTCGGCGTCAAACTCGCGGTCGAACTCTTCATCAATGTTCCAGCTGGTGTTGTCCTTTGGGCGGAACAAGTGTGTCCAAGGCAATGGCTTCTTCTGACTTTCGCGCTTCTCTTTCAATGCATCCGGACCGATAAGTTTGGCGTCTGGGAAGGCCTTGTGCCAGTCGTCCATGAAGATGTGGTGCTCGGCGTCGTTGGCACAAATGTATTTTACCGCGCCCATCTTGTTGATCTGGCTTTGAACATCATTCGTGAGAGCTACGGGAGAGAAGACTGCTACGCTGCCGTTCTGCAGGCGGACTGTCAGGTGTTAGGTATAGCGGCTTGTAGCGGGTTCGAGGAAGAACAAACCGAGAGTTCCGCGACCACCAATGTTGATCTGGCCGAAGCGCGCAAAGGGCAGCGAGAGTGTGACGACGTCTGGAGTTACATTGCGAATGACCATGACCTCGTCGGGGTTCGGGGGAATGAGCTTGCTAGTCATGTTGACCGTGTGATGGTTGTGAAGTAGTAGCTAGCTGTTGTGTGGTTGCTCCTTTCGATGAGATATGAGGTGTTGCAGTAGTTATCAGAGGCAGATCAGCACAGATTGGAATGTAAGAAGTAGAATATATAGGATGCTTAAGAGACGTCGTCGATTGAGGAAACCTTCGAGCTACATGATCATTCCATTTGGCTCAAAAACCGTTATGACGTCGCATCGGACCCTTGTTCTGGAGCGCGATGGTCGTTCGGATCGACTGCACCCGGAGTGAACCCCAGGGCTATTTACGCAAATTGCATGGCCGCTGACACATCAGTGCCCCTGAAACATATTGGAGCTCTGCTTATAAAAATACTTTGCGAAATTGCTGTGCTTCTGACAAAACACCTAGGGTTGACGTCGACCCCTAGATAATTTTCCTGCACAATGGCAGATGACATATCATCGGAGGTCAATTCTGGAGAGCGATGGGACATGATAGAACAATTCATTTGATAGATATCCTAGCTCAAGTGACCCAAGTCTCGCTAGTACACTCGTTCTGTATGCCTACTTTTTTGCATGCCATGTCGCAACAAGCGTGAACGGACGTGATTCGATAAATGCTGTATCCTCTGCTAACCATAAGAATCCACTCTCATAACTAAGAGGCTCAAACAAAAGTGTGACAAGCAGGCAATGTGTCAGCTAATTCAAAGCCGAAGCCTTGAGAATCTGGTCGTCGGTATCTGCTCAAGTATTGAAGTCTGACCCTGGTCCACGTCTGACCGCGCGACCCAGACGTCGTAGCGTATCTTGGGACAGTGGAGGTGCAATTCCTTGTCGAGCTAATTGCAAATAGTTGGCCATGACATAGTTCAGGGCATCAACAGGCTCAAGGTTCCTGAGAAAATGCAGGTAGACCTCTGAAGGAATAGATGTTGGGCCAGCTGAACGGTTTCTAGAAAGGACTGCTGCTTGGCGGATGAGACGGGTCATGGTACACTGTGATAGCAGTGGTGCTAAGGAGTGTCTGACGAGCAGATGATAGTTGGCGAACGCAAACGAGATGAAGGCATCCGGAGCGAGATAGCTGAAAACCTCAAGGACGAGTTCGATTGGTAGTCCACGAAAAGAGCGTGGAGGCTGCTGCATTACTGACTGCATCATCGAAGGTGTGTGGTCAGTGGTGGTGATGAGCTTGAGTCCTGAATTGATCAATCCGCGTGTTGTTTTTCTTGAACAAAGACCTGCAACTTCGACCAGACAAATCCAGATAGAAACCAGCTACCAACAGCTAGTACAAGGATGTATGCAGCTGTAGGAAGTAATGACTGAGGGAAGATGTTTAGAAGATATGGATCAAGGACTGGATCGGAATTAGTGACAGAATGGAAATGTGACTTGAGGCTAGGAGCATACTGATATCGACGTAGACAGGGGGAGGATGCTGCATCAAAGCCTGGTCGGTAGTATAGAAATTGGCTGCTGACTGAACGCGAAGGAACAGAACAGATCGATTGGAAGTAGTCGTCAGTTCGCCAAAGTCCTCAAACTCGTTTTCAGCCAGAATGTTCTGACGTTCTTCCGCGTAAGTGCCTAGGTCCTGAAGTAGAGCTGGGTTATCGAAGACGGTGGGAACTTCGAAAGTGTCCAAGAAGAAATCAGTGGGATGCTGTGGAATGTGTTAACAAAGCTGTATTGCTAGTGTGCCAGACTGTTTGACGATACCGTCGCCGCCCAACAGATCCGAACCTCGTAGCGCTGACCTGGACGCAGGCCGTCGAGAGTGTACCAAGAAGATACTCCACGTGATTGTGTCTCGGTGGGAAATATTACAGGAAGAACAGTCCGGATAGAGAGTTTCTTTGATGAAAGAATATCAAGACGCAGGTCCATCAAGTTTGGCCGAGCATCTCCAAAATTGATAGTGTTGGGCGCGGTGAAAATGGTTTTTTCTACATTAGCTATGGCAGGCACGGCCAGGAAGCATACGTAAAACAGTATAGGCAGGAGGAGCATCATCGATGGGTCGGGGGTAGGTGAATGGATTTGATTAGATGTCTTGATGGGCGCATGCGTCCAGATACACAAGCCAGCAGCAGGTCCCAAGAAGACAGCATCTAGCAAGATATGACTTCTTGTATTGATGTGATGATTATTGGCTGGGGTTGGTCGGGGACCCTTGGATGGTGGACGGGTGAGGAAGGCGCGCCAAGGCTTGTATAAACAAACAGAAGGCACGTTCCGCTTCTTCACCTCCTCTTTCACCAGCAGCCGTTTCTCGACGACCACGCCGACCACCCAGCTTCGCCCTTGTTTTCGATTCTCTTTCTGTCCTATCTCTCGTCCGGTTCCAGGTCATCCACAATGCGTGAAGTCATCAGCTTGAACGGTACGTTGATACTCCCTGGAGCTCTTGAGCTCTCTCGCGCCTGACCGCCCCTTGGCCTGTTCCATTCACCTCACTGCTCTCGATGCTGACTTGAATGATTCCAGTCGGCCAGGCTGGTTGCCAGATTGCCAACTCGTGCTGGGAGGTAAGCTTACACTGCCATTGATCTGATACATGGCCATTGGCGCCTGCGCCGTCGCAAAAAGGGGGTTCCAACTGACATTTGTCTGCCTAGCTCTACTGTCTCGAGCACGGTATCCAGGTAAGCTCCGCTCTCAAGCTCCATCGCCGCGCGCATTCTTGCTAACAACAACACAGCCTGACGGTTACCTCACTGAGGAGCGCAAGGCCGGCAACGACGACCAGGGCTTCTCCACCTTCTTCTCCGAGACTGGTACGCCCGCTCGGACACCTTCTTTCGCCGCGACACACAAGCTAACAATCGATTCAAGGCAACGGCAAATACGTTCCCCGTACCATCTACTGCGATCTCGAGCCCAATGTCGTCGACGAGGTCCGCACTGGCGCCTACCGCAGCTTGTTCCACCCTGAGCAGATGATCACTGGCAAGGAGGATGCCTCAAACAACTACGCCCGTGGTCACTACACCGTCGGCAAGGAATTGATCGACCAGGTTCTCGACAAGGTCCGAAGAGTTGCAGACAACTGCTCTGGTCTCCAGGGCTTCCTCGTCTTCCACTCGTTCGGTGGTGGTACCGGTTCTGGTTTCGGTGCTCTCCTTATGGAGCGTCTCTCCGTCGACTACGGCAAGAAGAGCAAGCTCGAGTTCTGTGTCTACCCTGCTCCTCAGGTCGCCACCTCGGTTGTCGAGCCCTACAACTCTATCCTCACCACCCACACCACTCTTGAGCACTCCGACTGCTCCTTCATGGTCGACAACGAGGCCATCTACGACATCTGCCGCCGCAACCTTGGCATCGAGAGACCCAACTACGAGAACCTGAACAGACTGATCGCTCAGGGTACGCGTTTCCAGGCTGTCACAATGACCGAAAACATTACTAACTAATCTGCTAGTCGTCTCTTCCATCACCGCCTCGCTCCGCTTCGACGGTTCCCTCAACGTTGACTTGAACGAGTTCCAGACCAACTTGGTCCCCTACCCCCGTATCCACTTCCCTCTGGTCGCCTACGCCCCCGTTGTCTCGGCCGCCAAGTCTGCCCACGAGGCCAACTCTGTCCAGGAGATCACCATGTCCTGCTTCGAGCCCAACAACCAGATGGTCAAGTGTGACCCCCGCAACGGCAAGTACATGGCCACCTGCCTGCTCTACCGTGGTGATGTCGTCCCCAAGGACGTCCACAGCGCTGTCGCTACCCTCAAGACCAAGCGCACTATCCAGTTTGTCGACTGGTGCCCAACTGGTTTCAAGATCGGTATCTGCTACCAGCCTCCTCAGAACGTGCCCAACGGCGACCTCGCCAAGGTCAACCGCGCTGTGTAAGTTGAATTCTGAATTAGTTCCAAGCACATGACACTGACTTTCTATCTAGCTGCATGCTTTCCAACACCACCGCTATTGCCGAGGCCTGGTCGGCTCTCTCGCACAAGTTCGACCTCATGTACTCGAAGCGTGCCTTCGTCCACTGGTACGTCGGCGAGGGTATGGAGGAAGGCGAGTTCTCCGAGGCCCGCGAGGACCTTGCTGCCCTGGAGCGCGATTACGAGGAGGTTGCTGCCGACTCTGTCGAGGGTGAGGAGGGTGTTGAGGCTGAGTACTAAGCGCACAAAGACGCTTTTGGCTAGCGGCCGACTTTTCGTATCATTGCGTTTATGAAGACCATTGTGGTTTGGGGATCCTTTCAGGTCCGATAGAAAAGAGGACCACACTCATGTTGAAATGCTTGTGTCTTTAATACAGCGACTTTACCGTTTACTTTTTTTCTGACATGTTTTCTCCTTTCCAAACTACCTTGATCATTTGAAACATGTTATAAGACAAGAGAAACACGTCGACCAATACCTGACGCGGCACACCATAGAGATCAGGGGTTCTGCCTCCTCAATCTGGACAAGTAGTCCGACGGATGGCCAGGGTTTGATTGGGCAATCTCAGAAAGCATGAAGACTGTCTGAAGGACGAGTCGGGCACCAGACAACGAGGAATCGTTACGAGACGCATCAAGAGCCTTCCCAGACAATACAGTGTATGGCAGCACAAGGAATCCTTCGTGTCTCCAAGTACTCTAGTTGGCCGTTGTGATCTGGGAAGAAATATGTAGAGCGTACAGTCTGCTTTTGCTCGAGTCTATCTCACTGACAACGCGGACTTTCTCGTGATTGGAACATAGCATACCAGTCTAGGCACATCACCTGAGCACTGTCAGTAGACTGGGTACTACAAGTAAGTGGCTGCGTGGATAAACCCCATGCGCTTGGTATCATCTCCCAAGTACGGGGTTAGGCTGTACGTCACAGCACAGCCCGCCCAATGCGTGATCGTCTCGAGTGATTTTTGTGGCTGCAACTGTCGCGCTCTTCCTCACTCAACTTATTTCAAGGAATCTGGATTCGAACGTTTGCTTCATTCGAATCTTGTGACACGAAAGACTCACAATGCCCGATACAGAACCCGAGGCTGGTCCAGACAAGGCACCACCTAATCTTCCCATCGGCTGGATTGCCCAATGGGATGGAAAGTGAGCGCGGCACGCATGCTCAGCAGCACAACAAGCGACTGACGCAAAACCAGCTCTCGAAAATATTACTTCGTCCAGATCAGTACCGGAGTGTCGACATGGGAAGTGCCTACCGAAGCAGCCCCTACTGTGCCCTCTCCAGGAAACACCCCAGCACAGCACCAGAACCCTTTCCCTGTCCCTCATGATGCTCAAGGACAAACGACACGTGGCGTAGACGGACAAGAAGGCGAGCGTGGACTTGGAGTATGTTCTGTAACATGTCTCACTCAATACACAAGGCTGACTGGACCGTAGGGCATGGCCATGAACATGCTATTGAACTCGAACAAGCCCCAGCAACAGCAGCACTCATCTGGTCTCGGCGGGCTGGCTGCACAGTTCCTCGGCGGAAATTCACACTCGAACTCAGGTCAAGGTCAGAACCAAAGTCACAACAGTGGTGGTGCCGCAGGATTGGTTGGTAAACTCGCTGGAAACTTCCTAGGAGGAGGAAACAAACCACACGGACAACAGCAAAACAGCGGCAGTGGTCAAAACAGTGCTATGGGTGGCCTCGGAGGCTTTCTGGGTGGTCAGCAGTCAAGCGGTAGCCATAGCAATGCTGGTGGAAGCAGCCACGGTGGTGCCATGGGTGCTCTTGGTGGATTGTTAGGTGGCCACGGATCCTCGGTTCGTTCAATACTCTAGATGCGAGTCTTAGCTTCGCTAATCATTCACAGCAAAATCACCAGCAGGGCTACGGTTATTCGTCTGGCGGTTCAAATCAAGGAGGCACATATTCTGGACAGGCTCCTCCTTCGTCGTATAATCCTTCAGCTTCTCATCACTCTTCTCCAGCTCCATACGGTCAGTCTGCTGGCTCGTACGGCGGCCCAAGCGGACAAGCCACTGGCTCGTACGGCACTCCCAACCATAGCGCTCCTGGACAACAACATGGGCAATATCAGTCGTCGCACAACAGCGGACCACCACCAAGCCAGTATGGCGGTCAGCCTTCACATGCTTCTTCAGGTTACCAATATGATCAATATAGCCAGCACCAGCACAATCAATACGGTGGTGCACCAAATCACGGCCAACCTCAACACAACTCGCAGTACAGTGCCTACCAACCTGGTCAGAGTAACAGCTACGGGCAGCAGTCCGGCGGCCAACCCGGCCATGGTGGGCCACCACCAGGACCACCTCATGGCGGACCTCACGGTGGACCACATGGTGGACCTCATGGCGGAGCTGGTTACGGGCAACAATCTTATGGTGGGCCACCTCAAGAACAGCTTACGCAGCATCAGTACAATCAGTATGGTGGAGCGCATGAGCAGTTGGGCCAGCACCAAGCATCGCATGGAGGTTACGCAGGACAGAGCAACTATGGAGGCCCACCCCCTCCAGCATGGCGATAAATTGCAGCGAGTGAGAGACAGTCATGTGAGCAGTGTAGATGGATGGTTTTGGGATGGAAATGCATAGCGTGCGATCAGAGAAGCGACCAGGCAGCAGCGGGTCGAAGTGTTTCTATTCAAACCTCACGAGAAAGTTCAAAGTTGCATGTGAAGGAGGGTGGTGATAAGAGTTTGATGTAAAATGACCAAAGGTCAAAGGGAGCGTGTCGGAGAAGACGCCACATGGTGGCCGTTTAATGAATGACCTGCGTATTCTTCGCCAAGCGCGTGTGGGGGATGAGACGGGCCCTGGTTCACTCTCACACAGCCAACACACACGTCGTCGTCCTGTCGACTTTGGAACTTCAACTCTGTCCTAATTCTCGGGACTCTTCCTGCTTCAACTTCACGCACATCCATCCGAGCAACCAACGCTCCAGCATCTGCCTTGACATATTCCGCTTTCTCCGCACGTCATAACAAGCCACACCTTACGTCCAACAAGACTCGCCCATCATGAACCCCGAGTAGTATGTCGTCGCCGCTCTTCTATGCTACCGCTGTCCATGTGTGAACGACATACTGATCTTTTGCTGCAGAGTACAATTTGCCCCAGTCTCCCAACACCTTGTCGCAGCGCCAACGTCGTCGCCGCCCTCCCGATAACGAACCCCTTAAGACGTGTCGCTCATACAAATCTCCTGCAGATACGACTATCTCTTCAAGCTCCTCCTGATCGGTGATTCCGGTGTCGGAAAGTCTTGTCTGTTGCTTCGATTCGCAGACGACACTTACACCGAGAGCTACATTTCCACCATCGGTGTTGACTTCGTACGTTGGATGCCTACCGCGCAATCTGTCTCGACCAGCTTCAGACTAACATATTCCGACAGAAAATCAGAACCATCGAGCTTGATGGCAAGACAGTGAAGCTTCAGATCGTGAGTTCAGCTTATACTTGGTTGCTTGGAGAAAGCTGTTGCTGATACTTCTTCATCTAGTGGGACACCGCTGGCCAGGAGCGCTTCCGTACCATCACATCATCCTACTACCGCGGCGCCCACGGTATCTGCGTTGTCTACGATGTCACCGACATGGATTCATTCAACAACGTCAAGCAGTGGCTGCAGGAGATCGACCGCTACGCTACCGAGGGCGTCAACAAGCTCCTCGTCGGTAACAAGAGCGATATGACCGACAAGAAGGTCGTCGAGTACAACGTTGCAAAGGTGCGCATCTTCTGCCGACATGTCAAAAAATCTTACGTATACTGATACCTTCAAACAGGAATTCGCTGACAGCCTCGGCATTCCCTTCCTCGAGACTTCGGCCAAGAACGCATCCAACGTCGAGCAGGCCTTCTTGACCATGGCTCGCCAGATCAAGGAGCGCATGGGCAACACCACTGTCAACAACAAGCCTACCGTCCAGGTTGGTCAAGGTAGCACCGTCCAGAGCGGCAGCGCCGGTGGCTGCTGTTAAACCTCTCGCCTCGAAACTAGATACCCGGTCCGCTTTCGCCATCGCACGACGACAGCTTGTTCTTTCTTGATTGCGCTTGTCTTTGCATCACAGACTTTCCAAATCCAGAAAAAAAATCGCCTGGTCGCTCTCTATCCTTGACTTGTTGCACTGGCTGAAGAGATCAATCGTTGTTTCTGGCTTCACAGTGCTTCGGTCCGCATCTGCCGTCTGCTACAAGTCTACCTAATTGGATTGCACAGGGTACATTGAAGGAGAAAGAGCATGAAGGATTGCGAGCTTGAAAGCGGACAATACACCAAGGTGGGAGAGGCTCATTACCGTCTCGTCCTTTCTACTTCAGCAACTTTCGTACAAGGAAATGGGTCATTGCCAAGCTTCCCTTTTTTTTTCTAGGAGTTATTCGTCTTTTGCCATGTTCCTTTAGTTTTACACTCCCCGGTGGCGCTATCAACTGAATTCTTTTTTACTCTTTTTGCCATGCTTTCGGAACTGAAAGCAAGTCTTGTCTGCTTGCCAAATCTGTGCCTCAGTAGTCATCTCTTGCTAACTAGCAGCTTACCGAGAGGCTCCATATTTGCATTTCGACTAGAATGCAGCCTGGCTCTATTCTCTTTGTTCAACTTCTCATCAAGCAACGGCAGGAAGGTGTTAGGTAAACCATAAATCGTACAACTGTTCTTCAGATCACAAAGTTTCCGAAGATGGGCCAAGTTTAGACTTCGGCCAATGCACCACACTCTCTTGAGGGGTTTTCCACGAAGCTTATCAAGTTTGTGATGCGCGTCAGTGTTGATAGTGTCAGAATAGGTCGAGATTATGGGGCAAAGCACAAGAATGTTTCGACTCCTGAACACAACTTCAATACCTCTCAGGCAACAACGGATCGGGTCGGCTCGAGGCCAGCAATCGTTGAACTGTCATTCCAGCGTTCCTGAGGATTATATACGGAAATAACACATTGCTTAGCACGTACGGCCACAGTCAGCTGAAAACTGGGCATCCCGTCCGCTCTGCCATACATAAGCAGTTGAACGGCAGATTAGTACTACGGTGGGTGACCACGTGGGAATCCCTGCTGCTGTACGTTTTGCATCTTTCTTTGTCTTTTTGTTTTTTTTGGTTTTCAAAGTATTTATGTACAAGAGTCGGTCCGTTGTCAACTCTTTTGATGATTGGATTGGCTGACTGGGTTAAATAATTGCATCCTCGAGTGTCTAGCAAAGATAGAGTGTCTAAAAACATTGTGCCTGAAGTAAAGCATGCCGTTTGTTCTACAGATGAGATAGAGAATGCGTACAGCAACTCTGGAGGAACCAATCAATGTACACACTTCACCTCTAACATGATGACATACCACCACGTTCAATGAGCCCATCTATCATTCCCTTTCATTGCTGTTCGAGAGCAAAGAGAGCAGGCTGTTCGATGATTAATGCCGGACCAGCAACAACATTGTCCAGAGTTGGAGCACCGACTTCATTTGCGATGACCGCAACTATAAGTCCCTCCCCGGCATCAAATTCAGCTGGGTAGGCAGACGTGTTGCTCTTGGTATCGAACGGCTTGGTGATGTTGTGAACGCCGTGGTAGTAGACGGCGTAGTATTGTCTATCTCTCTGCTCAGAATACCAGTCAGGCTGGTTGTAAGGGTCTGTGAACTCAAACTTGACAAGCCCCTCTGCTTTCTTGACATTAGCAGTGGTTGCGGGCAAGTTCTGTCTGGGCGAGGGATACGTAGGGTTGGCGGCAGGACAGCTGCCACGCACGATGTATCGGCGTGTAAGGTCGAGGATCTCGTTTGCGTAGGGGAAGACAGTGTCAGAAGGTCCAGAGAAGGGGTTCATGTTCCAGACATCGGTGAGAGCCCATGTGTTGTGTCGTGACTCTACTTCGCCAATGGCAACGAGAGTACTCGCTGTGTCTGCGGTTGTGGCTTCACGAACAAGACCAGTGAGGAAGGCCATGCTGATCACTTCGAAGCTGACTTGTAGACCTAGCCATTTACTCGCATCGCCATTGAAGTCAAAGTCGTAGGTACAAGCACCTGGCTTGACACTGGTGGCACTAATGCTGTCCTGGAAGATACGCAGATGACCTGCTTCGTTGTCACGGATTTGCATGATACGATCATACGTTATGTTAGGCTTGCCAAGCTTGGTGAAAGAAGAACTATCAAAAGCCTCAACACCTTGTTGGTAAAAGTCGAAGATTGCCCATTCTGCACTGAGCAAGTTCTGGAAAAGAAGATCGTCTGGACCTGCTGGTCCGCTCTCGGTTGGCAATATGGCGCCTGTGATGTTTCCTGGGAATGGAGCGGCGGTCTTGTTGTAGTCGACATAGGTTCTTGATTCTCCAGGAATCGGACCGTAACTTGAGTTGGCGAGAGAGGCATTCCAGTTGTTCTGTGAAGCAGGCAGTGCGGCTGCTGTAGTCGCGAGCAAAGTGACGAGAAGGCTGCTGTAACTATGCATCGTGAATAGAGTATTGTGTAGTCAAACACTTGAGGAGATTGCTTCTTGGTTTTGATGCCAGAGAAATTGAGAGAGCATTCTGCCCTTCTTATACCATCATCAATCAAGCCTTGCCCTACGATGCGTCGTCAAAGCCGTCAGCCTCGCGGACGTCAACCTCTATCGACAGCATATCGGTTTCCTGATCAAGAGCATTTCGCGCGTGAGGCTATGTTCTTTGCTATGCTGTCCGATGTATCCTGGCGAATCATATATCAAAGGGCGCGAAGTGTACCCAATGCGGTATGGTATGGGGAATCCTTCTGCCAAGGATGCTCAACATTGGTCTTCAGAGCTTGACTGTTCTTACCTTGATCGCCCACACGTATGCCGCAGCAAGATTCGGATTGCCATAAAGAGTAACGATAGCGCGTGCATCGTTGTATGCTTTCTGAATGATTGGTTCTGGCTGGAAGTACAAGGCAGTGTCGTTGGGGACTCTCGTCCAAAGTCTGGCGCGATCAGCAAGCGGACGCTTCCTCGACGCCGTACTTGACTTCGAGGCCTGTATGTCTCTGTTGTATTCTTACCAAAGAAGAGGACTCTTGCCAATTAAATCCTCGAGCACTGAAACCCGTGACGATGCTCGAACCGCCATCGCCAGTCACAAATCGTGTAGACCAAACATTTAACCAACACGCATTTCGCATGTTGGTCTTGCTGAGATCTATGCTATGCAAGCTTTTGAGAGCTCGTCTTAGATTCAGTTTGAGGATCGCAGTCTCCGTATGAAATGACAAAGTACGCCCGAGAGACTTTTGAAGTTTGGATACATCGAATTTGCACATCGAAAACGTGCTCGGCCAGGTGCTTCGAAGCTAGCTTTCTGTGTGTGTGGTTTTGAGTCTGTAGCTGCCTCAGAATGTACTGCAGAAGCCTCAGAGTACACCTTTAATCATCATTCGAGAAGACACATACGCGGACCAGTCACACTAAGCACAATATGATGGTACGCCAGGCAACGTCGTCGATGATCTAAAGAAAATGATGTCGCGAGGATGACCCTGTGGGATGCTTCCGAAGCTCGCTTATGTGACATGTTGGCATCAATGAACCCAGACGATGCTATTGTTGACAACGTGAAGCGTGGCAGATGGCAACACGATGCATGGTTGTGAGGTACTCCTTAGGATGCGAATGCAAAGTTCGCTTGATTATTGAAGAACAAGAAGTGCTAGGTGCCGTCGAACTTCCTTATGTTGTCGACGCGACGGACAAGCAGATGAAAGTGGACGTAATAATAGAAATACCAACGATCATAATATGAATGCGCCGATGCGGTGAGGTCGGCAGGCAGAAACATGTCAGATTGCCGATGTGGTCTGTTCGCACCGAAGTTCGGTCCCTCTGCAGACTACAGTGAATACGCGAACTCTGCAAGGCCTCGCTGGGTTCGCCGGGTTCGCTGGTGGATGTGCGTCAGCAGAAGAGTTCATCAGCTCCAGATAACAGAGCGATCTCGGTGCGTCTACAGCTTGGTATTAGAATCACATAACAATATATACCCGATCAGTCCCTTGAAATCCTTATCGCTACTACCGATAATGCCGAAGCGAAGGTGTGCAAACGGTCCGTGTGAGTAGCGGCTCTTTCATTTGACTTTCTGTTTTGTTCAGCTAATGCAATAAAATTGGTTGAGATTGGAAAGACAGAAGGCGTCCTGTCCTTTCTGGCATTGGGTAAGCAGCTGAAGTCTGAACGAAGAAAATTTTAGAAGATCAGCGAGCAGATCATCGAATTACCAAGTAGCCAAAAGATTTCACCAAGATCGATGAGACAGGCCAAGGCGTTCCTTCTACGAAAAATGAGCGCGACTGCGTCACTCTGCTGTTCTTAGGTGCTCGAACAGGCTTCTATTATCCAACATGACTTTTTAGGCTGTTCTCCTTCGTCTCCTGATGCCGTTCTCAATCAATTCTCTGATGCGGACGAGCCGCAGGCGATCTCGGCCAACTTCCGTCTGGGCCTTCCTGCTCCTGCATTAAGCAGCGGACCGCCAAGGACGAAAAGATGGATTGAACATGGTTGAGGTTTACTCCCGGTTTTGCTGCGAATAACCGCCGGGATCATCGTACTAACACATGGGTTTCAGACGATCTGCTTTGGCGACCCAGTCTGAATATCATCCCCATGTGCAGGGTCAGGGCAACTCGCGAGTTTGAAATTGTGCACGAGCTGGGCACAGGCATAGGCATAAATACACTAAATCAGGCGTGCCTCCCGCCGCGGAGCAATTACCTATCAAAGAGATATGAGGAAAATTTGTTGGTACCTGAGCCGGCTATCATTGTTTTTTTCCCCATGCTTGCCGGCCACGAGTCGGAGCGCTTCCCAAACCTTTTCGGGATTCCTACCGACCGGCTTGACACAGACATCACTTCAGATTCGTTTTGTGACTACCAACAATATCCGCTCCACATATTTTCTCATCCATGCTCCGCATCTTGTCGTCGACGCTCCGCATCTTTTTCGTGCTCGGAACCCAAAACAACACCTCGAGAACGTGCTCCGTGGGGATATCGATGCAGCTCCAGACATCCCCAGTTTGCCCCAACCTATGGTAAGGAGGATTAGTTGCAGCGGCTGCTCGTCTGGACCTGATCCATATGAGGTGTATGCGGGAACCACGAGAAAGACCGTGAAAGGGCCGGAAGACATGCTTGTTGACCTCGGAGTTGACCAAGCTTGACAACGTTGCCCACCACATCGGCTGTTCGAGAAGAACTAAAGATTGAAGGCCTCACCGGCTTGGCTTTGGTGCCGTAGCCGGCCGAAACATGTGCTGACCATGTATCGTATCCCCATGCCCCAATGGACCCACTGCAAATTTATGGAGTATGTGGAGTTGAGGGCGCACCAGGAGAAAGGTGCAAAACAAGAATCAAAATTGGCAGAGTATAAAGCCAGAGCGATCTGCCCTCTGCAGTTTGAACTACTGTCCGACTACAGCACACATCTCACGCCATACCTTCACCGAAGGCTTGACCGTTCTTGGCCTTTTGAAAAAGTTCGACGCCCATTCTTATTTCTTCTTGGCTCTTTCGGAGCATAAGAGTGCACAAGTCGTCGCCTACAGATCACCAACCCGACCAAAATGGTCGGCTTCCTTGGTATGACGGGCAAGGCCCTGTCTATCGCTCAGATCGCACTGGTCGTCGCTCCTTCTTTCATTCTGTTCGGTTACAACCAGTCTGGTCTCGGCCCACTGCTGTCCGAGGAGAACTGGAGACACCAATTCCCTCAAATCGACACTGTCGACTTCAAGGGTGAGACTAAGTCCCACCACGCTACTCTTCAAGGTCTCGTTGTCGCAACCTTCACACTTGGTGCGCTGGTTGGAGCATTGAGCTGTAGTTACACCGGTACCCTTCTCGGAAGACGTTGGGTCATCTTCATCGGTGCTCTTTGTACTCTCATTGGTGAAGCCATTGAGTGCTCCGCTTTTGAACTCGCTCAACTCATCGTTGGCCGTATCATCATTGGTCTTGGTGTTGGTCAACTTTCGGCCACCGTGCCCGTCTGGCAATCAGAATGCTCATCCGCCAAGAATCGTGGTAAGCACGTTGTCCTTGACGGCATGTTCATCTCGCTTGGTTACACTCTCGAATCATGGATCGACTTTGGCTTCTTCACCCTCAAGACTGGATCTGTCACCTGGCGTCCTCCGATTGCCATCGCCCTGTTCTTCTCGCTCATTGTTCTGTTCTCAATCTGGTTCTTCCCTGAGTCACCCCGCTGGCTCCTCGCCAACAACCGCGGTCAGGAAGCTCGTGAGAACTTGTCTGCTCTCAAGGGTCTCCCAATTGACGCTCCCGAGATTGAAGCTGAATGTGTCGGTATTGAGCTTTCTCTCGAGGATTCCTCGAACAAGGCTGCCTCTTTCAAGGACCTGTTCAGTATGGGCGAGGACAAGCTCGCCTACCGTTTCGGTCTCTGTATCTTGCTTCAGTTCTTCCAACAGATGTCCGGAACCAACCTCATCTCTGTCTATGCATCTGTCATCTTCCAACAGGGTCTTGGTATGGATGCTTACAACTCCAAGCTTTTGTCTGCCGGTACTCTGACCTGGAAGTTCTTGTCCTGCTTTGTTGCCTTCTTCTGCATCGATCGCTTCGGTCGTCGCGTCTGTTTCATAGTCTCTGGAGCTGGCATGGCTATGTGCATGGTCGCTTTGGCTGTTGCAACTTCGTTCCACGACAACTATGGTGCATCTATCGCCGCCGCATTCTTCGTCTACCTTTTCTGCTTCTTCACACCCATCGGTTTCCTCGGCGCCAACTTTTTGTATTGTACAGAAGTTAGCCCCACGCGTCTTCGCGTGGCCATGGCCTCAATCTCTACGGCTAACCACTGGCTCTGGAATTTCGCAGTTGCAATGATTACGCCAGTCGCAATCAACAATATCGGCTATAAATACTATATCGTATATGCCTGCATCGGATCTTGCATTCCCATCTCAGTTTACTTCCTTTGTAAGTCCATGGTTCTACATTTTTTCTGTTATATGTGCTAATTCGACCAGATCCTGAAACCAAAGGCCGATCGCTTGAGGAGCTGGATACTATCTTCAAAGATAGTCCCTCGGTCCTAGCCACCGTCAAGTACGCTAAATACAAGCCTGTACTAGGTGCGGATGAAGTCCCTTATAGCAAGACTGAAGACGTCAATTTCGAGGAGAAGGTCTGAAGAATAAGGTACAGGTGCTGGACATTTTTACCTAGATTTAGACTATTTTTATGTTTACATGTTGTCTCTCAAATCCCTGATCTTGAACACTTTCTATCTGAGCCAGGATGTATCAAGGGAAGATGATTGCACCACCAACAGCCATGGTGGCCTTCCTTCAACGGCCCTACATTTATGACGTGGAGCATTCTTCGGCACGAAACATGAATGATACATGGCAGAAGCAGAGGGCAGTGCTTGAGACAGGGAGTCTCTGCCTTGTTGATTTTCGGCGCAATGATAAGCTTTCGAAGAGACATGTGCTAGTATCCCTCCGCGATGGAGTGACCAAGTTGGATCGGTTTCGCATGCAGGAACATTTCTACTGAGCATATTTTCACAGTTGCTCACGGCTGGAGCTGCTGCCATAGAGGGGATAGTTATATCATCTATGTGAATTGTTCTGGGAAAGTCGCCATGTCTATGTCAATGAAGAATGGTTGTCGTTGGAAGAAACAAAGGTAAGGAACCATAAACATCAGTACAATTCATTCGAGGTTACTGGTTTAGATGGAAATTGGAGATGAAGGAAATTGATTGTGTCAGGCACTGCATAAATATATTCCTTTCTTCATCTCAAAACCATTCTCTTCTGCAAGCAAAGCCAAGGTAAACAAAGGAAATGTGTGGCACATATTGTGCGAAGACGTAAAGACTCATCTGTTTGAAGGCCGAAGATGTGTTGCCACAATTGTACAAAGGAGTAGGAGCATGTAGTCTCTACTCACTTGCCCTCCTTGACGTGGGAATCAGGGATTTGCTCAATGAATCTGAAGTTGCGACCCATTCTGCGGTCAACAGCGATGTAGGATGAGGCCTCAATGAGGGCCGCGTTAGCTCTCAGATCATCAGTGTCAGTGAAAGTACACAAGAGCCCCATACCCTGGCATGCCGTGCAAGGTTTACCAGAACTGTGATCGCACTCAGCAGGGAGAGAGTTACCCAGAAGACGAATGAGGTTCATGGTGTAACAACGATCACATGTCTTCCTCTTCAGGCCATGACCCTTCTGGTTGAGCACCTCCCAAGAAACGTCGATGCGGTCATGAGGAACACCAATGTCGAAGAAGGCTTGTCTGATCTCGTCGTTGGTCAAGACGATATCGTTCTTGGTAAGTGTGACGGGGCGGTTCTGGTTGAAGATTTCCTTCATGTTGATCTCTTGTCTGAGGTGGTTATAAGTCACGTCGAAGATTCGAGCGACGCCATAGTTTTTGAACCAAGCTGGGGCAGCGGCGAGCTTTGTCTGCCGAAGATGGCGAAGAAGACCTTGCATCTTCACCAAATTGACCTGCACACCTCGAATCGCATTGCCGTTTGCATCCTCAACTAATTTGTATGAGAACTGACTTTGTACTGGCATAGACATTGTCTTGCCATTCTCTTGCCATTCAACACGGATGCCAACGCTATTGCACTCAGTATAGCCGCGAACGGAGCTGACAGGTGGGAGACGGGCGTAGGGGATCTCGTGGCGCTTGTTGTTGGGCTTAATCTCAATCACAATAGCAGTGCGTGCACCCACAGGAGGCAATGGTCCTCCTCTAGCGAAGTACAGGACAAAGTTGTCATCGCCCTCGGACTTGACTCCCTCGATCAGCAGGTTCTGGAAGGGCTGGTTGTTGTTTTTGCGAGCTGGATGATAGTGACTACGATAAATGGTCATGCCGGTGGGGTCGACGATACGAGTGTATGGGAACTTCCTGAAGACACCGAATTTTGCGACAGGAGACTCGTGGTTGAGACCGACGACCTTCTCTTTGTAGGTGTTAGGTCTGAAAGTAGGGACCTTGGCGCAAGCCTTGTTGAAGATCTGGCGTGACGTTAGTAAAGAACCCCAGTCAAGAAGTCAACATAAACTCGATTCAAACCTACTTCGATCAGAAGACGAGCTTGAATACGCCTATCAACGGCCTCAGCCTTGATCTCGTCGTCGTCGGCATCATTCTCATCAGTCTGTGTCTCCTCGGCGGTCAAAGCATCAAGACCGATACTACCGACGTTGGGGTATTTGCAAAAATAAGCTTGAGACTTGTTGATGAGGATAAGGGCCTGTTCAGCCCAAGGGCCAATCTTTGCTGCCTGTGCCTTATCACCAAGGTCACAAATTACGCGGTGAGTCTTTTCCTTGTAACCGCGAGCGTATTGGTAGTGCCAGGCGTTGCTGACTTCGATATCTCTGTCGTGTCCTTCTTCACGCTCAAGGCCATCACCTGTGTAGCCGATGTATTGGCCGGCAGCTTTGTCGCGGAAGTAGTACCCGATGGAATAGATAAGCGAGCGCGTGTTGTCGGACTGTGTGAATTGTCTACCAGCCTTCTGGACGTCCCGAAGAACCCAGTCTGCATGACCATTGAGGAGCTTGTAGTAATCCGGAGCAGCCTTCTTGATACCCGCAGTGATCAATGTAGCAAGCTTCTTGGGTCCAAGGTCACGGAGAGTGTTCCAATTGTCGTCAGGGATGAAAGTGAGGATATCCATGCAATGGTACGCGCCTCCAAAGGTGAGGGTGAGCACAGCGGTCAGAGCGTCAAGGCCGCTCACATTGAGGTTGAACTTGATGGTGTTGTTGAGTCTGGCCAGCTCCACACCTTCGCGAGTAATGCGTGTGTCGCCGTGTTTGCGTAGGAGACCAATGAAGAGCCATCCGGCCGGAACCCATCCAAGATCGCCTTTGCTTGTATCGCGGGAAGACCACTCGGGAGCAACGGCAATGTAGAAGTACTGTCGATCGCGGGTATAGCCTCTGACAACGCCTTCGGCGTTGGCTTTGAGAAACATACAGTTGGTTGTGCTGCCAGTACGAGAGTTCTTGAAAGAGCCTGTGCCGGTGTAGTTTTGAGTCGAGTGGGCGCATTTGACGGGATAGCCGGTGGGGTCCCAACCAGAGGGCCATTTGTACTTGTCGAGCCTGACCTTGTCAGGCTGAGTGGCCGTTGACATGATGGGGCGCGTGCTTGTGACTGAGATATGGTCAGATGGAGAAAGAGAGGGAAACGGCTTATGTATTACTTAATTTTCGATTTGAGACTTTTGGTGAGATCGTAAAAGGTCCTGGATACGCAGAGTGGCTTCCTATAGTCGAAGAGCGTCAGATCGGATAGGGCGCAGGCCAAGGCAGGGTTACAAACAAGAGAAGCTGGTGGTCAAGATAATCGAAGTAGTGTGTAAGTGCAAAAGAAGTAAGAGCTGTGTTGAAGAGAGACGGAGGATTGAGCTGTGTGGAAGAGAGACGGAGAATTGAGCTGTTGGTTGATGTTTGCCGCTTGTGTAGCAAGTGAAAGCAAACACAAAGAAGTGACATGTGAAAACATTCACGTCGACTCAGAAAGCGGAACAAACAGTCCAGGCTCCTGCGACATCAACTCGAAAATTGCACATGCAGGGTTCCGTCTGGGAGTGAAAGAACAAGCTCCAGAACAAGGCAGCGATGAACGATAGCCGCTCACCGCAATGCCTGACACAAGCAATTCTGGAACCAACAGAGCTGGAAAACACGAGTATGTGCTGGCAGCGAAAAACAAAGAGAGCTACAATCAAGATTCAAATTCGCTTGGTGATAGCTCAACACTACTATACCAAGAGCAGTCACACCCTATTTGCTTCATAGAACTTCCGCTAGATCAGAGACACTTGTCCACGGATTTGTGATCAAAGCCGCCAGTCTTAGCCGCAACAGTAGTTTGATTGTGGCTGACAGCCATATTGCGACAACCACGTTGGTTCTTTTCCACCTTGTACTCAGCGATCCGCGATTGGTCTGGTCCGATTTGCCAAAAGTAGGAAAGCACAGAAGTGTGCTCAGCTTCGATGAAAAGTTTGACGGCAACTCTAGCAAACAAGAAAGGCTACAGGCGGAGCTTCATCCATCCACTGAAGAGGCGCATAGAGCAGAGCAGATGCAAGCATGATTCACTCTGCTCTGCTTGAAGTGATAGTGGCCTATCCTTGGGTACTCGACGTTGATCCGAACGTAAAGGTCTGGTCTCTCAAGTTCCGACGTTTTCGATATTCTTGGCAATACTTGCAAACAATGGGTGAAATCGCTCAGTTTTCTGCTGAAATCCCTGACAGTAGCTGCGGTCGAATCTCGATGTTGACGCTGGCTCTTGACTCTGAGACTTTGCATGTATGGTGTTCTTGTTGATGATTGACAAGAAACAGAGGGTCGGCATTGCTGTAAACCATCTGGCTCAGACCTGGTATGAGTCTCGTAGTAGCGACGCTGGAGAGGTTTGAAATTCACGGAGAATAGAGTTTGTAAGCAACGACGACTTTGAGCTTAACGGTAAAGGCATACGACACGGCGAGGAAGAGCCAGCGAAAGCGGAATCGTGAGTTATTAGTTGGGTAGCTCGTTTCTCCGCTGATGACACTCAGCCGAGCTGTAGAAATCATAGAAACCATACACAGATGTTGGTGTGAAGTTGCTTTGTGATGTTCGAGGGGTGGCCTTATCTTGCACTCTGTTTCCGACTAGATTGTTGTCCGAATGGGAGACTGGTGACGAAAGCGCAAAACAAAAGCGGTTGAAGAATACGGCATGAGGGATGCATCACGACGTGATTTATACTAAAGGCCACAAGTAAGAACGGCAGAACTGTGGAGCGAAGGTGTCGAACATCATTGGCGTATCGTATTTGAGCTGTCGAGGATGGCACCATTGTTGCAGAATTCTTCTGCCTTCAGCCTAATGAGCCACGATTGTTGATGGCGTCTAGACCTTCAGCAGTTGAAGGCCGATGCTATTCAATGTCTGCTGAAAATTCAAGTTGTGGAAAACAAGCGTGAAGCCATACTGGACAGCGAATGATGCGGAGCGCTGGGTTGAGGTCTCCAGCTGAGTGTGTATTGCTTGCGAAGCACTCGCAGATGATAACAGATGAGCATATGTGTACACCGATATCCCACTCAGTTGTCAAGCAGCGCGGTCGAGAAGTATGCGAGTCATGTTGGTTATAATCCTCATTTCCTGACCAGTCGCTGAATACAAGCTTGAAGGTGAAGAAAGATCGTGCTTCGGAACCGTCGCCAAAATCAAGATTCCCAGGACTGGAGAGCTGTCACGCGGACTCAAGTCATTGCCGACGACTGTGAGAGTTGGTATGGATGCGAATTTCCGTGAAATGACAAGCCTTGAACAACTTCGAAGCTCGACCACTCCTACGTATCAGAGTCAAGAGGCGTTCATGAGACTGCAATCAATGCAATAGCTTTGTTAATCACAGAAGCGTCAGATATTACTTTGCACATTGGTGTGGAGTCGCAAACGTCGACGCCTGACTTTGCCGTTCTCAAAAGGGTTCGCTGGCGTCGCGATGTGGAGAAAGAAGGTGCTTTGTCTCTGGCGGATTCGATCCAGGGTTGTCTGAGGAAGAGTAGTGCTTTTCGCATCCATTTCTTGCGCGCGAACGTCCATGACAAGCTGTCCTGAAAGCAGTACAAAAGAGCTTGGTGAATAGTGAAACTCGAGTGTATTTGGCGGCCCGCCATGACACAACTCTTTCTTTTTTTCTTTTTTCTTTTTTGGGCAAGATGACAGGGATGGTTTGGTACGCTGTGACGGCATTCGCGTAGCGGAATTTTGTCGAAGCACCAGCCCCTGTGGTAGAAATCACTTGGCGAGACGCCAGACCCAGTGACATCTGCAACGCGTCAACGCTCTTGAGCTCACAAGACGCAATCCAGTGATGTTGGGATCTCCACACCAGCGCTGACACTAACCACAGCACAGCATGATTTTACCCATCGCTGCTCTTTATCGCTCGCAGCCCGACGCTCAAGGACATTGGTGATGAGATGGTCAGGAGGCACATGAAACCGGTCTCCAATATGTGGTGGTCGATGATGACGAGAACAAGCAGGAGGCGCATGAAACCGGTCTCCAATAAGTGGTGGT